TACATCTTCGAAAGCTGTGAAAGCCAATTGTCTCACGATAAACACATTGTCAACACTCGTTCTAACGTTCATATTTAATGACGATGATTGTAATTGACCAAACAACGGTGCAAACGGTGTTAGACCATTTTTATCAGTAACATTAGCGACAACGCTCGAACGAATCAATAAAAACATTTTGTCTATGGACTCAGCTTTCAAGCACTATGAATTAAACACTAGTCTTTCGAAATTGTGACAAAGAGATCGCAGCTTTTATCACGGCATTGTGAAGTGTCTTAATAATCCAGCACGGCCACAGAAATACTATACTTAAAAAGTTCTTCAGTCGCGTCAATCTTAACTGGATGGGAGTTGGCGAGGCAAACAATTGCACGATGCGCTCCGTTCCTTCTCACAACATTATCTTTTACACTAGTCGTAATGATCAAGGGTATAAAATCAGCAGTTCTACCGCAATCAGCAATAGTAACAGTACCTTTCCCGAAGTCATCTATATTTTCACACAAAAGCTTCTAAATAAAATCATTCGAGACTTCAGCTTTGCTGGCACATTGACAGTTAATACACATTATAACTTTACATGCAGTTTTCTCATCGTAAGTATGTTACGATCTAATCTAACGAATCTCTTATCGGACAAAATTTATTGAATGACCCATTAAAATAAAGAAAAAAAGAGTAGCGCGCGCAAAGGAATTGCGGAAAGTTAACACTGAAGGTGTCGAATGAAAACATCGACTCACACAATGTGAGCTAAGGAGAAAAGTTTGAATGCATTTAATGCTTTCCTCGTTAGCGCGAAATAGAAAGTGCTCATGGGCGCGCGCGGAAATTTCACCAAACTGCGAGTTCAACAGGAAGGAGAGCGCGTATGGAATAAATTTATTATGATGTGCTAAGTTTAAAAAAAAAAGAAACACTTATCGTCAGAGAAATGTTATTAAAATATATATATATATATATATAAAGAGGCATGCACATATGGTTCGAAAGTGATTACATCACTATAGGTGAGTAGGAAAAAGCTGTGATACAAGCTACATTGTACGTGGAAGAAAATATTAGGCTACTTCTTTTGCTGATGAAGGTGCGTAACTTTCCTTAATTGGTAGGTTGATTATGAACTTGCCAAGATAGCGAAGCTTTTTAGCCTCTTTTAAGATGTGGCTAAGTGGAAAAATGCCTATAAAACAGTTGAATAGACGAGAAAAGAAAATTTTTCAATTTACTCTATGTGTAACGTTTGCAAGACAACTTTCAAATATTTATGCGTTAAAAATCGAACTTTTCCCGCAGATAACGAGATCACATAAATATTGCACAGACATAATACTTTTAACAACAAAAATTCTCACAAGCAAGATCTGCACTGTAGTAAATAAAACTTTATATTTACGATAAATTTCTATCGAGTTTTCGCCGCCGTCCGCCACCTCAATTAAATACAATTTTCTACAATACCCTGCTTAAAAATAAAGCAAATCTTACATCAAATTCAATCAAGAAAACTACAACTTTCCCCGATAATCTAAAGTTTCCCCCAACATATGTATAAACTCGGAAATCTTAATATCTAACAATTCATATATACATTAATACTTAAACGTCCGCAAACAAAAATTAAAATCATTACGTAGAAAAAAAAGCTTTCGTCGCTACACACCTCGACAAGCCAATTAAATGAGAGCGTGAAAGAAAGACACATCCGCGTCGATGATGACGATTCTCACGTATTTTGCGTTGGACGCGCTCATAGTGCGAAGCATTTAGTGCGTATAGCCGCGTTTGCCCGCTCGCCTCATTGTTACACGCTTTTTACATTTGCATAGGCAGGTAATGAATTGCAGCGAGCTTTTCTTTTCTTTCGTTTGTGCGATGAATTGTCTTGCTTGAATTATTGTTATTTGTTGTAGTTTGCGTTATGGCAAGTTGGAACGTAGATTTTTTACTAAAATAATTTTTCTTGATTGCTCATGTTCGTCCCTCTTTCTTCAATGGCAATATTTTTTATAAATTATTTGAAAACATTTGAACGTACATTTCAAATCAAACTTATAAATCGCTTCAATTTAATTTTACACGCTTGAACTGTCGAAATTAGCCTTGAAGTGACAAAGTTTTATTAAATCACCGACTAATTCTTCTCTGTGGTATTTCCTTTTTAAACAGCTATATCGCAGCAGTATCATCAACTCCGTAATGGTATATTTCCTAATAATTTTATGGGTTTTTTTTTTGACCCATCTCCTATCGACAACTTTTTCTCACATACCGCAGATGTGAAGTTAACAAAATTATTTATGCAAACTCATTAAGCCTTACAACTAAACCCCACTTTAAGGAATAATAAACGATGAAAGAGTGCGAGAGAAGAAAATGAGAAGACAAGAGAGTGTTGCGCAGCAGAGCGCTTCTTCTTTAGCGCATTCTTCCATATGCCCCTTTCGCTCGCTTGCAGGATGCCGCCAATTAAAAGTGGACTCCGTACTCGCGCGCGCGAGAATATATGCGCAGGGAGAGCCGCAACGAAGCCCTTCACCTGTTTTATGCTTTTACACATATATACAGCAGCGAGTCTAATGTACTTTGTCAGGTGGTGAATGCTATATGAAAGAATTTCTCGTGTGCCCAAGTATTTTCTTTTTCACTTCTTTTACTAAGGCATTGAAAAAAGATCTTTTAGGTTTGATGGGATGGGAAATATTATATTTACCCGTTTTTTTTTTCATGGGATTCACATTTTACATTTTAAAATATGACTGTTTACATGTACGATCTTGTACTTTCATTTTGTAGAAATCTCACATATCCCATTAAAATTAAAAAGTAAATTACTTATTTAATATTGCGTCATCATTATTCATTTTAAGAAATAAATAGCTTCTTGGAGTAATCGTCCAAATCCATTATTGTGATAATCGTAAGATAAACTAACCCTTAAAAAGGAACTTACCAGTTCGATCTAATTTCTTTTATTTTATTTCAAAAGTACACGTACATCGAAATATACCGCCTTATGGGAATTAATTTGAGCAGTTTTGCCGGATAGCCAGAAAACAAATAATGTACGATATATTAAGATCGCACCAATTCAAAATATAGCAGGAGAAGCTAACATCCTTCCAATCACTTGAAAAAACAACACCACATGCCGTCGCGTTGTAAGAAAGAAAATGAAAAATCACGTATGCGAATGCGATCAAAACCGTTAATTAGAGCTCAATGAAAATGAAGTTCCTCTCGGGATATAAATGCGCGTCGAACCACAAGCTGCTCTTCCTTCAGTGTAAATTAACTTGGCTCTATCACGCGATGTAAAGCTCCCATTAAAAGGCATTCAGATTGAATATTTCTTTATCACAGCTGATGATGTTCACCGTCCGTCCGTCCGTCCGTTAATTGAATTCCGATGTCAATTGCGTCAATAACAGCAGATGGGAAATTCTGCTTTTGCAATTCGACACGGATATATATACGTGTTGAAAACTTGGTGAAAGAGTAGACACGAGTCTTTCTTGCGGTAAAGTTCGATGCACCAGACATGAGAGGGAAGGTTTAAAGCTCGTTAGTGTGTATGACGTTAATCCGTATAGAAGACATGCGAAACTGACACTTCAGGGATGCGATCGAAGCTTTAATTTAATAATACTATTAAGATGTAACGACCATTTCTATAACGTGATTGCGACGGCTTATTCTGTTCTCTTTTCAAGATCATTTTCCCCGAGTGCCCGAAAAGAAATAAAAGAAACAACAATTCATACATTATCTATTAGAAAGTATATTCGCCGAAAAGTCTTTAAAAAAAAAACTGTGCAGCTGTACTTACCATCATTCTTGAACTGTCTTTTAATCTGTCATTAGACAACTTCTTGCGAAGCTGATACTTTCCCCCGTTTACATTCACATTTGTCTAAGATGACTCATGATGACTCGTGCAGCAGCAGCCTTTTAAGTCCAACATTAGAATGAAAACTTACGAACGATATACATAGTTTATACTTTTATTCCGCGAACAACCTAAAAATCTGAATTTCCGTGGAGAAAATCCGTATTTAGATCTCCATAATCCGGTAGAATGCAGTTCCTTGCAGTCTGTAATAATTGGCTGGTGCTCGGTTTTACGAAGGGAAGTGGTATTGTAACGGACAGCATTCAATTTTTTTTTCTCTATTTAAGGATCGTTCTTTGGCTTTTCCTTCGCCGATGCTCGCTCGACTGGAAATTTTGCCCAGTTTTTTTACAACAATTATTTCCATACGCTATCAACTTTAAAAACAGAAGATGACGCTTAACTGATTTCCGGCCTGGCAAACTGAAACTCGATCATGCATTCACATCCTCCGCAAAAAAGAGAGAGAAAAGTCGAGCAATCAGTCCGAATGAATGAACCCTTTTATTTGAAACTCCCTTCAAGCATGGAAAAAAGAGGAGAAGTCGAATGAGAGAGGTCAATGCACACACTTCCACACACGTGCAAACCTTTCCCCTTTTTTTGGCCGGCGCTCCCGTATATCTTCGCAGGCGTGGCTTCCGATGTGTCAAATTAATCGCGTTGTGGAATATAGTCTTAATGATAATAATCCTTCATGCTGCGCGTTAATGCGCATCACACCCAGATGCATTGTTATCCTTTGTGTGTGTTGACCGCAACTTTCAATTTGAATAAGTATTATAGAAACGTCTATTGCATAGCCTTTTAATTGAACTGCATTCGTGAGCTCAATAATGTAACGAATAGAAATGGACGAAGAAAGAAACGTTGTATTTATTATAGCGAGTAGTTTCCACGTGGACGAGGAAAAGAAAAAGCAAAACTACGATGTGTATAAAACCATCGGGGCTTCCGTAAAAGAATCCGTATAGAGTTTCTCTCAGCAGTAAAACTATCGCGTAGTTTATTCAATACTCGACAGATTAAGAACTTAAATGTATAATATTTTAATCCTGTGCAACTTCTAAAAAAGTATATTTCTATTTTGACTGATAATTTACAGGCGGAACGAGATAAATTGGAAGAAACTCGGCAGAAACTGGAACGTCGTTTGGAAGGTTGCGAAGCTGAATTGAAAGACAAAGAAGAAGAACTATTTCTTCAATTGGAACGTAGTTTACGTTTGGAAGACGAAGTCGAACGTACAAAACAAGACCGTGAAGCTTGTATAGCTGCACGCGAACGTTTGGAGAGAGAGCAAGAATCGGCGCTGAGACAGTTGCAAATGCAAGCGGCGCAGAATGAAATCACACGTAGATCACTGGAGAGAGCAAGGCAAGAAGTCGTCAGGCAAGCTACTGCCATTCGCGCTGAACGCGATGCTTTGGAAAGAGAGGTGAACAAACTTTCGAAATTCGATACAATTTTTCTCTCGATATCAATTTTTAATCGGTAATGGTAATCGGAGAATGACATCCGAAAAGATCCAGGTGAACGCGTGTATCACCGAACATGTTAATTTGACACGTTTTTTTCTTTCTTTCTTTTTTTTTCGAGCGTCGTCAAATGCCATGTTGCAGCTTATCGCGAGCGAAGATCATACAAGTTGCCGACAAAAAACATGCTTTATAAATCGTTTTGGAATGATATCCTAGTCGTCAATTACAAAAAATTTCTTTTATATGAAAGGTTTCAACCATAAAATCAAGCGATAAAAAGAGAAAAAATCTTCATTTCCCTTTGGACTTTTTTTTTCTCAACCACAAGAGAGTAACGTAAACATGCAACTGTTTCTTTTACTCGGGCGCAAGCACGCGATTTTCTTTTCCGGATGCCCCGATACTTTAAAGACAAAGCCAATACTTTAATCCCGATCCTGTCTTTTATTTCCAATAGAACGAGTGAGAAAGACAAGCTTGAAAATCGTGACCTTACATTTCGAATTATTAAATTAATCGTGCCTCTCGAGGCTATATTCTTCCAAGCGTATCCATTTCAAGATTGATGTGCTTTCTGTGAGAGCTTATGTAGCTAGAGGCTATCATGATGAATTTTCACTTTTGTTCGAGTGAGTTGTCGAACGAAATTGACGAGATATCATTCTCAATTCGGCTATGCAAACGAAATTAAATATTTGCAATACAATTTCTTATGACTGTTAAATAAACAGCAAATGAAACTGTGTCTTTTTATGATATTTTTCAGATTGAATAAAAATATTTCTTAAATGTTGAAAAAATATACTAATGTTATAGCATTTTCCAATTTTCAAATGTTAAAAAAATATCTTAAAGTTAGAAAAAAGTGCTAGTCGCCAAGATCGATAATCATAAGATAATTACCATATAATTATTGACCTTAGAAACTAGCTCTTAAACTAAAAAGTATTGTTGATTATCAAAATGAATGTCTTACTTTTAATTTAACTTCTCAGTATAAAATCTTTTTTCTTAAATTGACTTAAATAATAAAAAAACCATTCCTTATTTTCAATAGACTATTTGGTTTTCCGTGTTTGCTTATCACATTTTGAAGTCGAAAAATTCTCGCTTCAAGATGTCTAGTGTATATGAGAATTAAAAAAAAAATGTTGATAAACTCATTTCAAAGGCAATTTCATCGCTGTTCATAGCAAAGGAAGTATCCAGGCCAAGAGTTGACCAAAAAACTACGTAATCTGTATACACGTGAATTGCCTAGTATATAATTAAAAAACATTTGTTCATAGAACGAAGAGTTGAAGGAAAAATTGCGCTTGGAGCAGGACGAACTTGGCGAGGAAAGACGACGTAACGAGGAAGGCGTTGCAGCATTAACACATGAAGCTGCGACTCTGAGACACGCTGCCAGACACCTTCGTGCCGCTGCTCTACACGCGACATCGTGCCGCAGGCGACGCAGGTGCTCGATTTGCCTCTACGCTAGACGCACTTTCCAGGATGTCGATGACTACCGCGACGAGTGAGTTTACTACTACTTTGCGAGTTGATGAGCTGCGTAATAAGAGGAGATTCAGTTGTTGAAAATTTGTGTCATTTTTTATTTGGTAAAATATACAAAAGAAAGACAAATTATAAGTAAAATTCGATAAAGTAATCTTTGTTCTTGAAATAAGCATACACTAAATTTAACAATTTTTTCTCCACTGATGACCTACAAACAAATGAATCTGAGAACATACGATCAACCAAAAGTAATTAAATTCGCTGGTTACTCAAAATAAAACCATTTTTGCTGTAAATGATCGTTCACTCTTTGCAGAACTATTTTTCGTTCAGTATACAGAAAACTGGTTATTTTCCTAATAGCATTGCATGATGAGTTTTCAAGTAACTGAGCTCCAGGAAAACTATAACGTGCTTATTGCTTCAAAAACGCTTGAGAGTAATTTATAACAGACAGGACGAGTGTAATTAACGTGCTGTTATGACTTTGATAGTCACGACCTTAATAACATGTTTTTTTTAAAAACAAAAGAATGTCTTTTAATAATATCGAATTATTAAGCAACATTACGTTATTACTTTCTCAGAGCGTGCTAATGATAAGGTATACAAACTATTACAGTGTTTTTCACAATTGGATCCTTTTCACCATTACGCGAGACTACCTTGCGTTAGTTTGTATAACGAAAATCTGTTTCTTCTGCAGTAGCAAATTATTCAAGTGCCTGCAAGCTCCACTACAAGATCTACGCACATGGCTAAGACCAGCAACACCAGCAGCATTACCACCTTTACGTACGAGTTCACCACTGGAACGCGGAGTTGATGGTTATATTGATGACTCGGACGAGTGCTCCGAGGATGAAGCGTACTCCAACAATCAACACAACGAGGTTTCTCTCTCGTCTACTGCCTCGAGTGCGCCGCCTACTGCTCGAGCTTTCTCCTCTGACTCTGGGTAGGTTACTGCAGGCTGCCTTAATTTTCATAATTTGTCTGATTTTGAGAAATGTGTCTTCGTATTGCTGGTTGCTGTAGAATAAGTGTTTCAAGAGTCTGGCGAAGTAGATTTATCAATGAAAGTGTAGATATTACCTTTATCTTTTGTAGAAGTGACTTACATATTTTTGTCAAATTGACGTTTTTAATTTTACTTCACATGTTTAAATTAACATTTCTTCCAATTTCATTGATTTCAACACGGAACACGTGATTAATGACATTTCCAAGTGGCATGATTCTCTGCAGTTACATTTGGTAGGCTAATAAAATAAAATGTTTCATAAACTAGTCGACTTAACGCAGTGGTAGATTCTAAAACAAAAGTTTAAGCTTGTCGTTTAAAAATTACTGATAGTTTCCAGTAAAATGTAGAATCTTCACCATCGAGGTATTTTCGTTATCGATTTTTTTAATAATAATACATACATTCATTTTATCAGGTTCTCCTCGGAAACAGGCGACCGTCGCTCGCGCTCCTACGAATGTGGCAGTCGAAAGATCAGCGAGTCGTCGAACAGCGAACCTGGTGACGCAGCAATCCAACGCAACGGTACCTTCGTACGATCAAGGTGGACTTCATCTTTCCGCAAGCTCCTTGGTCGCAAACCTAAGTCAAAATCAGAACAGGCTTGAAAAATGGCATTGTAGAGATTGTCTATCTAGTTTTTCTTTCGTGGAGAGACATTTAAATTTGATGCGAGACGATTGGATCTTACTTCGTGCCTTCGATAACTTTATTCATGTGGCCAAATGCGAGACTTTTGGTTTGTACGAAAAATGATCTTTCTTTTTTAATCTAGAGGTGCGAAGTTTCTTGTTTAGATGAAGATACGTTTCTTGTTTCAACTTTTATTTTCAAATTTTTCGTGTCGTTATTCAACTGTATTACTTAGTACCATAAGACGGTTCATTCACGAACATATCGACAATGTTTGGAAGAGTTCAAATAAAAATGTTTATTGAATAACATATACCGACGTAAATATGTTACATTAGGTTATAAGAATTTTATTTTTTAAAGTTGTTCTCTGTGAAAATGACACATGAATTTATAAATAAGATAAATTAATATATCATTTATAATCGAAACCTATATATAAACTTTCTGTAAGATGAAATTACTAAAAAATTGTGTAACAATGATATTTAACATTTACAGTATTTAAAAAGTGTAGTTTTGAATAAGTAAGATGTAGGCATCGTCTCGCATCAGTTTACTTAATATCTCGTAATATAATAGGTCAAATTAAATTAAAAAATCTAACTAGACATAAAGCATTCCTATTAGATTCGTTTCAAAAACGAAAAATATGAAAGTTCAATTATCCAAAAGACCTGCTTTCATTTACTCTGTTTCAATGTTTGACTACTAACGTTTTATGTTCTGAAGCAACTGTGATAACATACGAGATCGCTGTGCCGAAAGAAAACTTATCAAGAGATTTTGTAAATGAGATCTTTCATAAAAACGGTGATTACGAACGTGATCTTATGATTGTATGAAGTTTCAAAAGAAAATAGATCGAGATAAACGACACAATTTCATGCATTTCACAAGATGTTGAATAAGACTTATTAAGAAATCGTTCAAAATGTGTACGGAAAAAAAATTGATTTCCAAAAATCAATGTGACGTGTTGATGAAGACAATTTCTTTACAGTTTTGGCAATTGTTTATTTTATTATTGCTCAATAAACCTCGCACAGTATCTAGTTTTGTGTTAAAAAACAATAAAAACTAAATTTCTCCAAAGCACATCATAAACTAAACTGCCAGCTACCTTTTTATGAAAACTAGGTCAATTGAATTTTTCTTTTCGTTGACGAATATTGATGTGAAAATATATTAGCAAAATTGTAGAAAAATAGTTTACGTAAATGAATCAATCAAAAGATTGCAATTTGAGAAATAGCAAAATATAAATCTTATAGTGTAGTGTAAATCATAATAAGTGTATTCATAAGAAGACTGTTATGTTCAGAGTAAATCACGACGAAGAAGTACTTAAAACATAGTTTTACTTATAAATACTTATATACATATATATTTATTGAAATGATATCGTCATTTTTTACTTGAAACATTTTCCATTTAAATTGCTTTCTTTTCATCTACCATTAACATTATCATTTAAAAAAATGATGGTACCACAAATATCAATGACTTAAGAAATTTAAGAAAACGTGAGCTTTTCACATCGACTATAGTTTACCTGTTACAATTAAATTACTATACTTATGGTAACTAAAATCACCAGAGCCTTGAACAGCAAAGAATACGATCATAAGACAACTTTCAAACTCGTGCCTTATTGCGAGCACTTGTTGATTACAGTTTTTAAACCCTCGTTTTTAAGATTTTCAACATTACTCAACGAATTAAAAAAAAGATCAATATATCACTGTATTCTATTTATGTTAAAATGTGCCTAGAAGATAAAATTTATCAATGAAGAATGACTTGTCTATGACATAATTATCAAATTAAGAGCAATAAAGTCATGGATCATTCATGAATCAATATGAATACGTAATTTTCAAAAGTTCATTATTATATTATTCATTGCTATAAACAATCAATTAAATAATTATGTAACTATAATAAAATATTTTTAAATATTTTTATCGAACAATCAAGAAACTACTCAGTAATAAGTTAAATCTTAACCGAAACATATAATTACATTTATGTATTTGTCATGTTATAAAAAATTGGAATCATAATAACCATAAACTTGTTACAATTTTAGAAAATTTGTAATATTAATTTGGTATAAATAAAATTTGAATTTATGTAATAAGTTAAAATCAATCCAAAAAATGTTGTCTCTTAAATGGATCTACTGTACGGATCTACGACTATTTGTTATTAATTAATATTATTGAAAGGCTTAAATTGCTATCCAACTATCGGCTCTTTGCTGTTTACGCTTCAATAAATTCATAAATTGATAATTATCGGTAGGGTGTACAAGGTATAACAAGGTTTAATTGCTATAAATCGTAGATTTTCTTTCAAAATATTGAACTTCATCGTAATAATATTAAGATAAGGTTATTATTATAAGTTAATCTCTAAGCATAAATATTGTGTCAAAGCTACATACTTCTTTTAAGTTATAGATTTGGGAAAACTTGGCGTCGAGTAGATATTATTACTATATAATATAAGTTATAACCCATAAGTAAACATTAACAAATGCATTTTTTCTTTTCGTTTATCTTTTTACTTTTAGACTGTAACACAATGATGAATTTTTCTACGATGTACAAAGCCTTTTTATTTATTAATTTTTGTCTAATATACGAAACAACCAGAGATGACATTCTATACCTGCTAATCGAATAAATAATGTTATATTTTTGTCAAATGTTAACTATTTGTAACTTGAAAGGAACGGTATCTATGGAAAACTTATTTTTATTTTGTAGATCTTAAAAATCAATTTTAAAACTATTGTAATGAGAAGCTTTTCAAAGATTAGTGAAAAAGGTATAGAATTTCATTATGAATAATGAAGTAGAAAAAAACGAACGAAAAGACACTTGTGTCCAAAAATTACGGAGCAAGAACGGGAACGAGCTACGTCTCTGCCTCCTCGTGCCAGGACGAGGGCGATAAAGAGGATTGTTGCCGAATTGTTTTGTATTCAATGGGCCTCGCAATAATTGAAGAGTTATGCTTAAAAATGTAAAAGCAGATATTTTTAATTCAAAAATTATTTGTGGTTCTCACTCGAATCAAATGATTCTCAAGTATAAGTAACAAAAATATGCATAGAATATTAGCTCAGCACTCTGACGAATACGAATTTAATTTAATTTTAATTCAAAATACAACATTTTTACAATACAATTTTTAGTTCAAAACATAATTGTAGTTCAATCAGGGCAAATTTTGAAAAGATTTCCAGTTGTTCCAATTTAAAAAATTATAGAAAATATAATGTATTAATAACATTTTTAATAGAATTAATTTTTTGAATATTTTGTAACTATCTAATTAAACTTTAACAATGGAAGAGTGACGTGAGTTGTATTTTTGATTAAAGAACTTTCTCTATATTTTAGCTTTAAACATTTTTTTACATTTTTTAATCAGCTTTTACGTTTTTTAACCTTGTTTAACTCTTCGACTGTTGTAACAGATTGAAGCAAGAAATATAATTCTACGACTGTGTATGAAAATCGCAGTTTGAAAAGTATACTCAACGTTGCTGTATTATCAAATCGAAGATATTTAGTATTGTGGAAATGTTTTTCGGAATTAAATGTAAAGATATGAACGATAGCATTTCAAATGAGTATTTATATTGTAATAAGGAAAATAAAATAATTATCTATATTATTTACAGAATTTAGTTAATCTATGCTCAAACTTTAGAATGCGTTTGTGAATTTATTCGCATTTAAAAAAGATCCCGACAAAACAAAAAATTAAATCTCAACGCAATAACAAATAGTAAATTACATACGTAGGCCGAGAAAGTAATGGTAAGTCCATAGCACGTGAGAATTAAGGCAAGTCCATAGCGCATATAAACTGAGAAACGAACGTTATGGACTTGCTAATATAGCCTCCTTGGGTAGTATACTATTTGTTTGATCAGCAAGGCCGGAATTAGCGTGTTAATTTCGGTTTCGCTGGTCAAAAAAAAAGTATATGTACAACGGCTGGTAAACTCATAGATTATGATTAAGAACTGAGGCGTGCTATGGGTTTTCCAGTCGTGGTACATATACATACTATTTTTTTAACGTGTTTAACAACGGAGGCGAGAAAAAAAATAAAATAAACAACCGAGGCAAAGCCGAGGTAAAACAAACCTACCTAGCCACAAAGTAATGCTTGAAGACGCGGAGGTAACCAAAGAATTTTCTTTAAATATATATCAAATCACTCGCGCGTTCAATTACTATGATGATCTTGCGAAAACCATTGGAATTAAACTTTTAATTATACTATTCAAAAAAGTCCAAATTATTTATCTTAATAAGACTTTATTACAATTTATTACAAGGCTGATTGCTTTATTACAATGATGATGAGCTGACCGTTGATTTCACGATGATGATTGCTTTACAAAGCCTAATAATACGACTAACAATAAGATGAGTAAGATATTGTAAAATTTATATAGGTTAAAAAAGACAACTTGTAAATAAAATGGCTTTTCACAGTCAGTAGAACATGAATTCCTTAAGCTCCCGAATCACACGACGAGAAGGAAAGATTATTGAAATAATAAACACAGTATTTCTTTTGGCCACAATACATTATTTTCAATAGTTAAAACTTCTTAAAACTAAATACATTCATACGTGATCACAACTACATTCATACAATATTCACACATTATCATATCTGCATTCACACACTATTCACACATATTTACGTATCCGCATTTCAATTGCCAATAAATTTAATTCTTTTTCTTTGGCGTAGAGTGATGATGGTAAATTTATGATAGATTTACTATCATAATTCGTTAGAATAATTAATACAATGTAATTGAGCTCAATTCGATTAATGCTTACGTTTGTCAACAAAGTCCGCTGGTATTCGTAATACCGTTGTTATTTATTGTATCACTAACAAATTCTATGACGTAGTGAATGTTGAGGATTCCTTGAGATCAACGAATTCAAAAGCCTCGACGAAACTAGATACATAACCACCGATGTCAGTCATTGATGATTTGTTCCGTGGCGATGATTTCCAGTCTCGTTAGATCACAGGGGTGGCAATTTCGGCGTTGACCTTGCCTTGCATCCCGCTTCGGAGACGGCAGCAAGCGCGACGATATGCAGTCACGCTGGCGGGACGGCAGTTCGAACAAAAGCGAGCGAGCTATGATGTTCGTTAATTTTATTTAACTCTCGCTCATGCGCAGTGATCCGCAACGAATCTACACACGCACACACACAAATGTGAAAAGGCGCGAGGTTCAAATCGACTCGTTACATTCCTCCCCTGGACTTATGAGGGTTGAGAAGAAGTCCATATAGGCTTGGGTAGACTGACATTCATGATCTGCTTTAGTCAGTATTAAGCGTCGTCTTCCTCAATTCCATGATTCACACATTTCAAATTAAATATAAATTTAGATCATCAATTCTACAATACATACATTTCATTCTCAAATTAAAGTCATTTTCCATATATGATTTTTTAGATATTCTATGTACATCTTTACAAATAATTCATAAGTATTCGTGGTTTTCGGTTTAGCACATCGTCAAAACAATTATCCTATCTTAAATGTACTCATTCATTCTCCTCACTCATTCCATACCTTAAATCTATCTATACATGTTTTGAAGTTTACATTTTGAATAATCACTAAGATTTTATTTACATGTTTGAAAATTATATTTCGTCATCATTTGGATCTAAAAAGGTTACGAATCGGATCTATTTTTATACTTTCTCAAGTTAGCGCGATTGTAAGTACCAATAATCGCACTGGAATCTTCAGACTCAGTTATTTCAAATGCATTTTCACTGATTATTTTAGAAATACGATACGGTCCTTCGAATATATCGAAAAACTTCTGCGTGACCTTGTCTAACGCTTTTGATAAATGTCTTACACGTAACATCACTAAGTCACCTATATTAAGTTTTACTTTAGATATTATTTTTTGTTTTTCACAACGTTTTTTGAAACTTTTTTGAATATTCTCTCTAGCAAGAGTTATAATTATTTTATGATCAATTCTCGGTTGCATTGGAAACTTAACCAACTTTTGTATTTCATCTTGTATCGATTTTCCAAAATGTAATTCGTTTGGCGCGAAACCTGTAGTAAAGTGAGTAGTTACATTTAGAAGGTTTTCAATAGTATTTATATGATTCACCCAAGTAGTATGCTTCGTCTTACACAAGGTCCTAAACATTCTACCCAATTCACGCATAACTCTCTCAGTGGGATTAGATTGTGGATGCCTTACACTACTAAACAGGACTTTGACACCTATGTTTTCTAGCGAATCTCTCCATTTATGTGAGGTGAACTGAGTACCATTGTCGCTTAATATTCTCTCGAACTTTCCGCATTCTGGAATGTATTTATTCAAGATTTTATCGAGTGAACTTATTGTGGTAGCTTTTCTCAATGGGTATAAACGTACCAATTTTGAAAACACGTTTAAGACGACAAATACATACTCCATTCCTCCCCTGGCGCGAGGGAGGGGTCCATAATAATCGACTGTGACCAAATCTGAAGGTGAATTTGATGCAACCTGATTATATGGTCCCTCCATCGCGACTGATAAATACTTAACCCTCTGACACAAATCACATGTTAATACAAACTTTTTTATTTGCTTATGCATGAATTTCCAGTAATAAAATCGCTTGATATAAGTTAAGGTTTTAAAAACACCCGGATGGGCTAATTTGTTATGAACGTAGTTTATTATTTTATTTGTTAATGTAATTGGAATAACAATACGATAATAATGACTTTTATTTTCGCGGTGAAATAAGGTTTGTTGATATATTTCAAAGTTTTCTGTTTGTTTTTTGTTATTGTTGGCAAGAAGTTTATTCGTGATTGATGTACAATAACTGTCCTGTGATTGCAATTGATTTAAGTTCTTTAACATATGCTTTAAAGACGGTTTTTCCTCATTTACTGCCATAATTACCAAAGGAGAAACTTCATTAATTTGAGAAGGAAAAATAAATGTATTGAGTAAACCAATCATTAATTTTTTATCCGTTTCTCTATGAAATCTTCCCATAGGATTACGACTGAAAAAATCAGCAACTACATTGTCCGTACCCTTACAATAAGATATATCATAACAATATTGTTGCAATAACAGGGACCATCTAATTAAGCGCGAATTATGGTAAACGGTGTTTTGTAAAAATGTCAGACCTTTATGATCAGTTATTATTTCGAACTTGACACCTATCAAATAATACCGAAACTTTGTAACACAATATATAATAGCTAGTAATTCTATTTCGGTAGTAGTATATCGAGTTTCTTCAGATGTTAAGCATCTACTCGCTACCGAAATTATACATTGATTTTCCTCTTGGTCAATTTGATATAATGTGCCGCCTATACCAATCAAGCTACCATCACACTGCAACTTAAATGGGCTATTAGGTATGATGTGACTCAAGCAAACTGCACGAGCGAAATTTTGTTTTAAGGCCTCAAAATTTCTCTCATGCTCATTTGTCCAATGCCAAACCGCATCCCCAGCCAACAAATCTCGAAATGGCGAAATGTAATCACTATGTCGCATAACAAACCTGCGGTAGTAATTACATACACCTAAAAATTGCTGTAAATGTGCTTGATTTTTTGGATGTTCAAACTTAATTATTTCATCAATTCTCTTCGGGTCTGGCTCTATGCCTTTATTCGACAAAATATATCCAAGAAATAAGATTTTATTTTTGAAAAATTCTGATTTTGAAATTTTTATTGTGAAATTATTTTGCAATAGTTTTTGAAAAATTATTTGTAACGACTGAATATGACGTTCAAAAGTGTTAGACGCAATAGCAGTATCATCTACATAGGTTATCAAATTTTTCTCTATATTAGAAAGTTGTAGAGGTATTTTCTTTTCTATTTTTTCTTCGTTATTTTCTTCAACTAAAAATTTAAAATTAATTGGAAGAGAGGTTTGAAGTGAGATGGCAAAAGCTCTAATGAGCGCGCTGCCAGCTGTTTTGATGCCAAAAGGCACGCGAATCCATTGATATGGTTTTGAGTCAAATTTAAATGCGGTTAAAGGTCTTGACTCTTTGTGTAATTTTACCTGCCAGTAACTATTTCGTAAATCTATTTTTGAAAAATGTTTGCATTCATAAAACTTTTGCATTATTTCTGCTATAACAGGGGGGGATTCCAAATCATCTTCAATGTTATCATTTATTTGTCTTGCATCCAAACAAACCCTTAATGAATCATCTTCCTTAACCACTATACGTAAAGGACTACAGTAAGGACTAATTGAAGGTTCTATTATACCTGCTTCTAACATTTCATTAATGACCCTACGTACCGGTTCCTGTAAGGCTGATGGTACGGGATACGAGCGATTAATTTTTGGATTATTATTTTTCAATACCAATTTATGCTCATAACCCAGTGCACATCCCGTTTTATTCTCAAACAATTTTTTATATTTAATTAAAAGATCATGAAAAATTTGTTTCTCCCCGTCACTTAGATTTTCAGTTGAAAACGCAATTGAGTAAAGTTGATCATCAAGACTTTTTTCATTTTCTTTTTCTTTATGCATTACTCTTGTATTCATGTTATTCATATATATGCGATTAATATTAACACAATTATTATAAGTATCTAATAACTCAATATCTAGATCCATAAGATCATCGTAAACATCAGACAAATTGTCAATATATTCTATATTATTTTTCCTAATAATATTTTCCGTTGGATTTTGATTAATTTCACAATTGTTCATATTTATACCATTATTTTTATTTCTCTCAACGGTTCTTAAATCCTGATAATCATTCAGTTCATTATTTTGCGTTTCGCATATATTATCAATTTTAATATTTTCATTTTTAATTATATGAATACAAGTTACTTTTTCTTTATTTCTTATTATTAATCTTTCTAAATCTCCTCTCTCAAACAAAACCAAATGAGTAGGGATCACTTCATCTTTCAATCTCAATTGAGTCTTCCAATAATCTATGATCATACCAAATTTCAAGTTGAAATCATTTCCCAGAATTATATCTGTCGACAAAAAGGGCACCACTAAGAAATAAAACGACAATATTTTTGTATTAATTTTTAAATCTAATGCTACTTGTCTTTTAACTGTTGTAGATTTTTTTCCTATAGCTGTTGATACTATTACGTTTGCTACTGGTAATTCTAATATGCGTATTGTATTTTTTATTTTGTTATAAAAGTTTTCTGATATTGCTGTTATTTGACTACCACTATCCACAAGACTCCACACCTTATATTTGTCAACTTCAAGTAAAACTCTGGGGGATGAAGGTATTTTATTTATTTCTGACTGTGTGTGACTCTCACTATTTATTACGTCATGAGATAAATCTCTAATTACGTCATAATATTGACGCACTGATGAGCCATAATTCAATGCGTCATTTTTCAGTTTAAATTATTAAAGTTTGAATTGTTTTGTTGGCTATCATCAATAATTGTACCATTTGAATGAGACCTATTATTTATGTTTGGAGGTGGAATCGTTAAATCAGGCAATTGAAATTTGTTTTGACTAAAATTTTGAGAAGGTTTATTATTTGAATAACGTCTACTGTTATGATATCGTTGGGGATTATAATTATTTCGTACTCTATTAAATCTACCTCGACCTCTATTAGTATAAGTATTTATTTGCCCGATTTGAGCTTGTGTATTGTTATGATTACTATGTGAATTGTATTTATTTTCAAAATTTCTTTTATTTTCTGCGAATAGAAGATCTAAATTTGTTAAAGTTTTAACAATCAAATCACTCTGGTTACAATCTATTGAAGCCAACGCAAGTTTTGCTGATTTAGGTAACTGTTGAATAATTGAATAATTTTTTTCGTAAATTGACATAGTTGGTCTAATAAAATTTGCTTTTCTCAACTGAGAATAATAAAATGATTGTAAGTTCTCATGATTTTGAGGGCTAAATTTCCCTTGCAACCACCGATTCTTAGTTTTAACTTGTACTTCTACTGTGTAAAAATTTTCCATGAAGGCAACTTTAAATTGATCATAATTCTCAAATGGATTTTGTAATTCCATCCATGCTCTAACTTTATTTTTAAGTAACATAGTAACCACGTGTAGCTTTCTCTCACATTGAATTTGTTTTAAACGGAAATATCTCTCCACTTCATCTAAAAATTCCAGAGGATTTGCACTATTTTCATCAGAAAATGACGGGACCGTTATATCAATTTGATTTACTTGTACGTTTCCGATCAATGATAGAAAGTCATTTACGAAATTTCGCTGTACGGCAACCGACTCTACCTGGATATTATTTTGTTGAGGTTGAACACTTTCTTGAACTTGGCGTAGTTGTTCTCTTGATTGTTGTAATTCTTCCTGAAGTTTGTTGCCATTATTCGTTTGCTCATTCAATTGTTGAGTGAGTCGCCGTATTTCAGCTTCTTGCCTCTCTAGATCCGCCTGATGACGTCTCGCCTCATTTCTCGGATCGTCAGGAATGACATTCATGTTGTTGTTTCGTGACCTCGTACTCGTACCAAACAAATTAGTAACGATTTTGTGTGATGTTCTTCCTGATCTCGTCACGTAAGTCGAGGACTCATTGGAATTAGCCATGCATTTTTTAATTTAGGAGTTAGGTTACCGCGTGGTCGGGCGCCAATGTAAAATTTATATAGGTTAAAAAAGACAACTTGTAAATAAAATGGCTTTTCACAGTCAGTAGAACATGAATTCCTTAAGCTCCCGAATCACACGACGAGAAGGAAAGATTATTGAAATAATAAACACAGTATTTCTTTTGGCCACAATACATTATTTTCAATAGTTAAAACTTCTTAAAACTAAATACATTCATACGTGATCACAACTACATTCATACAATATTCACACATTATCATATCTGCATTCACACACTATTCACACATATTTACGTATCCGCATTTCAATTGCCAATAAATTTAATTCTTTTTCTTTGGCGTAGAGTGATGATGGTAAATTTATGATAGATTTACTATCATAATTCGTTAGAATAATTAATACAATGTAATTGAGCTCAATTCGATTAATGCTTACGTTTGTCAACAAAGTCCGCTGGTATTCGTAATACCGTTGTTATTTATTGTATCACTAACAAATTCTATGACGTAGTGAATGTTGAGGATTCCTTGAGATCAACGAATTCAAAAGCCTCGACGAAACTAGATACATAACCACCGATGTCAGTCATTGATGATTTGTTCCGTGGCGATGATTTCCAGTCTCGTTAGATCACAGGGGTGGCAATTTCGGCGTTGACCTTGCCTTGCATCCCGCTTCGGAGACGGCAGCAAGCGCGACGATATGCAGTCACGCTGGCGGGACGGCAGTTCGAACAAAAGCGAGCGAGCTATGATGTTCGTTAATTTTATTTAACTCTCGCTCATGCGCAGTGATCCGCAACGAATCTACACACGCACACACACAAATGTGAAAAGGCGCGAGGTTCAAATCGACTCGTTACAATATATTAAAAAATATTAGGCAGAATTTTGTTTCTATAGAAATAAATAAATTATGAAACTGACATATGTCTTTATTTTACTTTGTTATACAAATTAAACAGGAATATGACAAAAATGGCCAAAAAATCTATTGGAATATCATTATCACCTTCAGATTAATCTGTACGGCCATTTTCTTACAAAAAATGAAAAATCCAACGATGCCTTCTAAATATCAGTTTCATTATGATACATGCTAGCAATTTGTTTTTGTTATAAACATAAAAATAAGTGACAGCTGCATTAATTAAGGTATTAAGTAAGTCCAGTGATGATGCGTATAAAACTGTTTTCCTTCTGTACCATTTCAAAAAAATGAGGTGAGGGAGATGGGTCTATATGTGAATGGACGTAATTCTTGAAGTTACAATAATAACAAAAATATTAACAATTTAAATAAGAAACTTGAAATAATATATTTGATTGCCTATATATCCATTTATTAATTGCTAAACAATTCTTTCTCAAGTTTCAGGAGTATTATGTTACGGCGCAAGGATAATAATCAAAAAACTAATCAAAGAAATAGTTCACAAAAGAAAGCTTATTTACAAATCTTATATTTATCCTTTACCAGTGTTTATTTGTTTAATATTACAAAATTCTACTGTCATTTGTCGACATTAATAATATGTTCGTCGTCATCGTCATCATCGGAATCACTGATCCATCCATCTTTGTCGCGGATGTATTCACTATTCCAGTCATCTTCATCGTCGTAATTGCTCAAATCTTCTACTTCATCTTCATTGTAGTCATTGTCAAAGTCTTCGTTATTTCCAGTGAGCATAGATGTTAAACGTCTATATACGTCATTGGAGCGCACGTTTTCCGAATCATCTGACGATGTTAGAAGTTTATCAAGTCTATTAGAATTGTCAGGATCAGTTAAGATTTTTAAATCATTATATTTGAAATATTTGAAAATAGTTTCTAGACAAAAATCTGGTAGGCTGATTTTACACTCTGAGGTGATGACGTGTTTTGCCAATTTAATCAATCTAGCTCGATCACGAGCTCTTCTGTACTGCATCATTAGTATACCACAGAATATCGGAAATTCATTACGTAAATAATGAATATCGATTAAATAATTGTCTATTAGTTTGCGATGTGCAACTGGCATCGCTAAATACTCGGCTCCATAATCTGACAACATATTTCTTACCGGCACTACGTGACCAATTGTCGAGTATTTTATTATTATCAATTCGTGGTTACAATCACGTACAAAGCTTCTACTGAGGCGCCTATATTGTTTTAATTGTATAATGGGATTTAAGACATTGAGTGGAATTTGTTTCATTTTCCAAGCATGTCTTAAGAGAATCGCGACGACATTCTGGCAGTCTTTTTTACTCGTACAGGCCATTTTTAAAGTGAATACTGGCTGCCCTTTTTTGTCAATAACATTGATATCAGCTCCAAGCATTAGCAGAGCTTCAACCGCTGCATCGACACATTCAGAGCAAGCTCTATGAAGGGCAGTTTGACCTAAAATGTAAAAAGAACATTAACATGACTTAATCATAAAATCTAGTAAATGCATCATTTTTTTATCTACATGGTTTGAAATTACAAAAAGCACGCGCCTAATAAAATAACATTTTAAATACAATAATATTTAATACCCAACTGACACACCGGGCATCATATATATTTATAGCGCGCGCGACGATCCCTAACATGTGGCTATATAAACTAATTCAAAAAATAATGTGTTAACTCTAACAAATATCAACTTGTTACTTAAATGTTTTCCCTAATATTCTCATCTTTTGTCTACGGAAATCATTGTAACCAACTTTTTTTTAAATACCGATACTATTTGAAGATTAATAAAATTAGTTGCGACAGAAATTACTCCCTGGTTAATTTATATGAACATAGGAATCGTGCACAACAATATTTAAAAATTGCAATTTCATACGTTATAAATAAATGATTAACCTTATTTTAGAAATTAACTTTTTAATTACCATATGCGTCTTGCCAATCAAGTTCATAGCCCACCTCTAAAAAATCACTGATAGCAATCAAATAAAAATCCAACGAATAATCCTCACGCTTAACAGCTACAAGGCTATGTATAATATTGAATTTCGTTCGGATATCATCTTCTGCGTAATAAGTCTGCAGTAGTATTTGACATGCTGGCATGACGTCCTTAAATATGACATTTTTTAGTACAGTGTCGAATATTTTCGTAATCAATTCTCCGTCTGAGGCATCAATTATAGCTCCTTTATCAATAAAATATTTAAGCCTTTCTATAGTTACATTTTTATTTTTCACAAAACAATCCATCGGCGTTTCACGTGCTATGTTTTTGGCATTGATATTTGCACCCTTTCTGTAAAAGTTTATTTTTCAAAGTAGCTATTTTGGAAATATTCTTGTTGTTTGTTAACATTTACTCGCTCAGTATTGAATGCGAATGGCTAATTTTCTATTACTGACAAAATGTAATATAATTGAAATTAAAGTTTTACGCAATATGGAATTAAAGATCCTAGATCAAATGCACACTAAATTGTTTAAGCCGATTATAAAAGTTTTTTGTGTTTATATTTTTTGTTGTTTTTTTTAAATATTTATATTTATATAAAAGTCAAAGCAGTAAAAAATCAGAACATCTTTTACATACCTTATCAACTTGTCAAACAACATAAAATTGAGGAAGTTGTGAATAATAGCAATGTGGAGTGGTGTATTGCCGTAGGCATCCCCGTCGTTGGCATTAGCTCCGTTTTCAAGCAGTATGTTAATTACTTCTTCAGCGCGGTAAATGAAAGCAAAGTGGAGCGGTGAGAAACCGGCATCATTTATAATAAAAATAGATGTCTTTTGATTTACATCAACGCCGTTATCTAAAAATTGGTATACAATATCTACGTTGTTTCTCAAGCATGCATAATGAAAATGCGAGAAACCATCCGGATCCGCAGCGTTGAAGTTGTAAGATGATTGACTTGTCAATAGCAAATCAGCGATTTTACAGAAAAGTAATGCTGTTGAACCAACGTGAAAATCAGTACCATATCCTGAAATGATATATAATATAACGTCATGATAAACTGTCAAGTTTAAAATGGTGTGTATAGTCGTGAAATATACATATACAAGTACTTACGTGCATCTTCGATTAAATCGTTACTTAGATTGCTAGAATACCAATAATCATCATTAAATCTTCTAAAGCGCTGACTGTTGCTATCCAATAGTTGGTGATATTCTGATCGAAATCGCCGGTAAGCCAAATGTAATGGAGTGATCCCATTGTGAGCAATAGTAACATCGGCACCTTGTTGAATTAAGAGTTGCAGCAATCCCATCAAATTCGCAGGAGTGTCTCTCCGCGCAACGGATTGAAAGACGACGATTAACGGTGTTGCTTCCGAGTAAGTCTTGTCATCTTTATTCGTGGATTGTAACATAACAGCGTTCACATTGGCTCCCATTTCCAATAGCTCTTTTGCCCATTCGAGGTGACAAATGCTACAGGCCATGTGCAATTGAGTCAATCCGCTGGAATCGAGTGCAGTTAGCGACGTTCCGGAAAGCCTCATTTTATCCACAAAGTATTCGGGAAACATACGTTTTCTAAACATCCTTTGTAAAGGGCTGTCATGCTCGCGATTGGGATTCTCTATAAAAATATTGGCGCCGCCTTCGATTAAGGCACGCACGGCTTTCTCGGAATCCGAGTCGATGGCCAGGTGTAATGGCGTCAATCCTTGCAGTTTGGAGGATAAATTCGAGCCCGAGTCTATGGGCCAGGAAACGTCGACTTGTGCACCACTTTGAAGTAGTCTTACGATGGCTTCGTCGTCGTCGGCATAGGCAGCAACAAAAAGATGTAAAAAACTTTCCGAGGATACGTCTTTCTTGAAAACTTTTCTTTTCTCTCGTGACGGAAAAATGTCTAAAGTCCGATCGAGGAACTCTTTGGCCCGGGACTTGTTTGAAAACATATTCAAATCTATCGGAATCCGCCCGCACTCATCCTTTGCAGAAGTCTCAGCTTCGTTTTCAAATGACATTGCGCTAATTCTTCATGATAACAATTGTCGTGAAAATGTGGATATAAACGTTACATAATATTTTTATGAGAATCCCCTTAGAAAAAAATGATGAATGCCAACGCGAGACATTTTATTCGTAATCTGATCGGCTGAGATATCGTCACGAGATATATACTATTGTGTAGTAGCAAATGATCGGGTATGTATGGTTTCTAGTGAAAATGTTAGTATTAGAAATTCAATTTATATCATTTTCAAATTTTATTTTCTCGGAAAATATACCTATCGGAAAACACCAACCGAAAATTTTTTTCTACAACTAATTTTCAAGCACTACAATCCTTCTGAATCACCCTGCATATAGCTATTGCAAATAAGAAAAAATTTTACATACCTAGATATCTGTGTTATAATAAGCTATTAGTATCCAGTTTGTTTACTGGACTACGGCGTCGCTGCTGCCAGCTTAACGACTAACGAAAGTAGGCGCTCAGCGCTCAACGTCTACCTCTATCTTTGTCGCCTAAACCGAACTATTGACAGAGATTGTATTCTCTGGAAAGTATAAAAGTATTCTATACTTATAAGACATATACAAGAATCACGAGGACTACAAGAGTAGATTACAGAGTACTACTACTACTTTGTTGAATCGTGTGGCTCTGTATACTCAGGATTGCAGCTGCACAGAGTAATATAGCTGCATTTAAACTGCACGAAATGATAACAGTAAATTCGCAATAACAATTATACCATTCCAGAGCAATGATACAATTGAATAATATTAAACTTCTCCGTGCAATGAATTTTATTTGGAATTCAAAATCATCAACAGACAGTTATTATTGCCCTTGTATCTAAAATTTAATATCCTTGATAAAAGCAATGAATGATTTTAAAAAAGAAACTTAGTTTTTTTTAATTTTATAATGATATATATTTTTTTACAATCAATTTAAAAATATAATTATGCGAAAAATAAGATTTAATATCTATATTTATTATTCTGGCGCTGCGATCAATCAAAAAATACATTTAGACCATTGAGAACAGACGTGGACCTCTCGTGGCGTAAAATAAAACTGAAAGAATCAATTTTGCGCTCTTACCACATCAACTTGTTTATTGTTTATAGCTCGTAAAAGGACCAAAAGAAACATCGGTTCATTTTCACAGATTTGTTGCTCGACTGATAAATCAAATTTCAACAACTTCTCAACAGTAATCGGATTATCAAGGAACATTGAGCTTCTAAATCACACAAAGTATTTGTAATCTCTTCGTATAATTGCTGGGATCACCGTAGTTAACAAGCGTTGATACTAATCTGGTATCTCTGCTTTTGTGTAATTTTTTGGCAAAATGTAAGTCGCCATCTTCCACGATATCCAAGAACAATTTTAACTTGACTGCTGTTAACAACTGTTAAATTGAAATGTTTATCAAGAATATATTTGTGGAATATCTAGTCATTTTATTATAAATTTTACAATTTCTTGAGATACATATTGTAATGACGGCATAAAATGCAGATCAAATAAAATTTGAAAATTACAGTATAAATGTGTTCAAAAAGTCAATGAAATTTCAAAATTGAAAAACGGCGCACTGAAGAATTTAAAGATAACCCTGTACCAAAAATGAAATCTTATTTCTATAAACAATCACGTTGATTTTTCAAATATTAATGAAATAAGAATCTACCGTTTATTTTCCGCGAACAATCTATAAATATTTTACGCCAAGAGATGGTTGGCATTGAGATCCTTACAGTAAGCGGAAACAATGACGCGCTCATCTAGCAATGTTTTACCTGATCGAATAAATTAATCGTTAAAGTAGGTCGTGATGTTGATAAAAAGAATTACTCCGAAGATATTTAAACTCCCTACTGCGGGTTCCCGCTTAGTCGTTGAAAGTACTTGAGCGCATGCTTTCGTCGAAGGAGCTTCGATTTATTTATAGTTGTTTCAAATTATACATGTTAACATATGAAAATAATGAATTCAATCATGATTAGTCACATGTGAGTGCCCGATCGTTACATCTTAATTTATACATTTCTGAATAATGTGACGTAAGTAAATGTAATTTTACAATTTACAGGAATCCGAAAGTCCAGTTACTCTTATTATTAATCGTTGGTGTCTACGGGAAAGCTCAATTAAAAAAAAAAGTATGCATAATTGGCGGTGGAGTATCCGGCTTAATTTCAGTGAAACAATTATCAAGAAATCTGAACAATATAGAAACTATTGTATTTGAACAAGCCAGTGACATAGGTGGTCAATGGAAATATACGGATAGTACTGATGTAGATGAACATGGTTTACCAGTGCATAGCAGTGTGTACAAAAATTTGCGGTATTGACTCATTTTGTGCTCTTAGCGTATAATTGTTATGAACTGGTATTTGATAAATATGCAGTTATTTACTGTCTAATTAAAGTTGCTTAAAATAACGGCTTTTGTGTTGTAGAGCCAACGGCCCTAAGGTACTAATGTCCTTTCCGGATTATCAAGAATTCCACGGAGAAAATCGCAGTTATGTAAAACATGAAACTGTTTTGGAATACTTAAAAAATTATACTGCACATTTCAATCTCCGACAATATATTAAGGTGAAACATTATTTGCAACATCACAGATTCTCTGTACTATTATCATCATTTATATCATCATTTATATCATCATTTATATTTTATAGTTTGATACTTTTGTGAAAAAAGTAAGTTACACGGATGATAAAAAATGGCGTGTTGAAACGCAAGACTTAAATCTCGATAAAAGCGAGGACTACACTTGCGACGCTGTTGTGGTTTGCAATGGGTCAGTCGAAACATCTTCATAACACTGTTGTGTATTTAACTAATCAATACATTTTTCAGACACTTTACCAGACCCTACTCGCCTATCATTCCTGGGCTTAGCAATTTCACTGGACGTACTTTACACAGTCATTTGTATCGCAAACCAGAAGAATTTACAAATAAAACGATAGTGATCTTAGGGGCTTCGTACTCGGGCATTGACATTGGCATTGAGTTATCAAATTTTGCCAAAACAGTTTACCTTAGCCACCGACATAGCAGGTGAATATTTAAAATATGTTATCATGCAAATATTTATATAGAAAATAAGCAGTTTATTTTCATTTTATTATATAACTATTTTATTTCATGATATTAGGATAACGAGTGAGCTACCTGAAAACATGATCCAAATACCAGGTGTTGTAGCAGTAAACGGCACTGATCTTATTCTTAACGAAGGTTCGCGGATAAAAGCTGATGCTTTTATTATTTGTACTGGCTACTTGTACGACTATCCATTCCTGGACGAAAGCACTGGCATTACTGTAACAAAAGGCAAATATGTTCATCCGCTCTACAAACATTTCATAAATATAAATCATCCAACAATGGTGTTTGTCGGATTACCGCATCCCGGTTTTCCTTTTCTAGTACCTTACATTCAGGTAAATTTACATATTTCATTTATAATTGATGTAATCATTTTAGAAGACTTCGATGATTGCGAAAGTCTTTCGAAAATTTAAACAGCAAAAATTGTTAGTATATTGTTTAAATGCCATATCAGACGCAGTACTTCGTGTCCTTACTCCGCGGGAAAGCGAAACTGCCAGCTCGCGCGGAAATGTTAAAAGAGTCGCAGCTTCCACCAGGAACTCCCGCAACCAAAGCACATTTCATGGAAGAGGAAGTGCTCGATTACTACGATGATCTCGCAAAAGCCGCTGACATTGAGCCTCTATCTGATTCATTGAAAAGAGCAGCGTTGATTTACGTCGATGATAAAAACAAAGATGTGCTGCACTTCAAGGAAAATGAACTCATTATTCGAGGTGACGGCCACGTTGCGCTTATCAGACCTAGCAACGCTACGACAAAGATCGACTATGGATACTGAATCATCTGGTATTTTGATTTTGTTATTTTGCATCTTTGAAGGCGAAACGATGTTTCGGCAATTCTCACACTATTTCTTTTCTAATTTGTTCTTTTTCATCATTATTTGATCAATTTTATTTTTCTGTTGTTGTATCTACATGTACAATATGAAATTTTAATAATATTTAAAAATATTATTATTTCGATTGAAATAAAGATAAGTCTACAAAGTTATTCTTTCGTGCTGTAGTTTGTAGTTTGTTTCTCTTACTACTTTTCTGCGCGTTCAGACACCGGCTGGTTTTTTTAATTATTTTAAGATTATCCTACTCAAACTTTGTGTTTGTGCTTAGTCTAACACAATCTATTTAATATTTCAACCACGTAACTGTGAAATGTAATGAAAAATTTGACTTTCAGCAATTGTCAATTTTTTGCTTTTTATACGTACGATAGCACTTGATTTTGCCAATTTAATGTGCTATTGAAATTTAATTGCTCAAACTAGGTCTGAGAATTAAGTTAACTTTTTCATTTTTACGTGCGCTCACACCTACAATTTCCACATTGCTAAAAATAATTGTATACGAAACTAAACATATATATTCGTCATTATAAATTAGTGTGGCACTTCTTTTATAATACGATCAGATTTTTAGTGGATTTTTATGGGGAAAATTGTCTTGCGCGCTCGAAAAAACAGAAAGCGTGCTTTCAAATCAAGACGGTCGGAAAAATTTAACATAATTTGGTACCTACTGCACTAATTTAAATCATTTTTTTTAACCTGGGGTAGCTTTACTAATTATTAACAATGGTGCTTTTACTGTCAATAAATTATTCTTTATACATATCACATCACTTAAACAAGTTACTCTTTTTACATTCAATTGTGTCTAAACAATTAAATTTTAAGGTGTAATATAACATTGTTCAGTTCCTAATGATTTTAATAATATAATTAGAATAACATTCAGATATACAAGTAATTTGACAATCGGTTCCGATAAAGATCAGACTTGCAGATAAAATATTGTGTTATATAACTTTAAAAATGTAACGTCAAATTTTACTGAGTGAAATACGACGCCCTAGCGACGACCAGCAGAGAGTAGAGAAAATCTCTTCACGCTCCGCACGAGTGTAAAAATTTGACTACGCTGTTTTGCCGTTGAAACAGGCAAATCCTGCTTTCTTCACGAAAGCGCCGAGAAAAGCTGTTTTAACGACAGCGGGACATCCGAGTAAAGCACAAAATAAAGAAAAAGTCTGTCCGCTGGCGGTTGAAAAAGATGAGTAATTATTGAGACAAAGGGACCCAGCACTCCGCCACAGCGGGTGTTTTTTTGCCCGTTACCGGACAAACTCTCCTCGAATGTATCGGCATTCCACTCCTACTGAAAGCATCTTAACGAAGAAAGACCGACTTGCCTGTTTCAGCGGGATAACGACGTTACCAAATTTTCACGCTGACCGAGCGGAGCGTCGAGAGATTCTCTCCTCTCTCGTGGCCACCAAGTGGTACGGTTTCCGGTGAGTTCTGCAGCCTCCGAGATTTCATTTCCCAGATCAAAATTTCAAACCACTTTATCTGCTTTTACTAAGATATATTTGTCACAAATAAAATTAATTAAATGCTTTCGCTAAATATCGTGTTTAAACAACATACATTTCTTTGTAGCATTTATTCCTTCTCAAACCTTTCTCGGCACAATAATTACCAATAAAATCAATCTCACAATTATATATTAGGCATATGATCACCTTGGCAAACATTACAAATTAACAGTTATCAAGATATTTAATTTTCAAAACTTCTAATTCATAGGTTTGTTATTCGATATAACTATTTCAGAAGTATAAAATTAACTTTGTGGAAAATTTCGTAAAAAATTGTATAATTGTATTATTCCTAATGCCTAATACTCATTATTGATACTCTTGTCTATTTTAAATATTGACATTACTTTCAGTGATTTTAACTGAAGAAAGTTACGTATAAACACTATTTATTTATTTAACCGTGCAATCTATAAAAACGTTTCGACGATGCATCGTCAGTTTTGCATTTTAAAGGGGAAAACTCAAATTTATGAATTATTTGTTTACGTAAAAGGATCGGATATATAAATATATCGTTATAAATGATATGCTATCTTGATGTGAATGCTTCAGCCATCTATATTTATTTATTAAACAATGCTTTATTTTATAAAATAATATAATTGTTGAAATTAAAACTTTGTTATGATAAAATAAATTACTTAAAAGCTTTTTAAGCACCTCACAGCTGATTTATTATTAGTCGTTGAAATAATTTCATTGTAAACATTGTATTTTATTTTTAAATTATTTTTAAGCTTCATTATAAAATATGAAAATGAAGAGAACTAATATGAAATGATTAATATGAAGTAAACATTAATTAACATAATAATAATCGTAAATCAGTATTAACTATTTTTAGGTAAGGAAATTGATGATTAAATTAAATTGTTCATTCGACGGGATTCGAATATTTTGGCTGTCCTTTTTATTAATTGTCGGAACCTATGTCATACTCTCTCTCTCTCTTCCCTCTCTCTTCTTCTCTTGAGTTGAAAAAACAAGTATAGTGGTGTTGAACGTATTAGTCACAATAACATCACGATTATAAGATTCATTACGAATAATTATATAAAATTATGATTTTATTTTCAAAATAATGATTATTTCAAAAGTAAGTAGTTGCTCCGCTCGCTTAAGTGAATAAAAATTAATTATAGGATGACCCCAAAGAATTGACGTATAAAATAATGATATGCATATGTGGGGATAATAAAAAAAAACTTTTGTAAATCTTATTATTTTAATTACATATAATAGACCCAACAAGAATGAAAGTTAGTAAAACCAGATATAAATTATTAGTTTTTGACTCATAAATAACAACTGGCTATTTGATTTGCTGAAGATTGTGCTATTAATATATATTAATATATACTTATTTAATTTATGTAAATTATCGAAAATAGAATAGCATCCTTGTAATTTTTGGATAGATTTCACTACTTTCAATAGTTTAGAAATAGTTAAAAAAATGTAATAAACGTAATTAAATGTAATGTTCTTGACTATCAAATAATAGAATATTTTTTCAATTATGAAATGAAAGAAGGGATACTACGAAAAAAGAATTCGTGCAATAGTTTACTTTGACAAAAAATTTTTTAAAGAGTACATAATTACAAAGATTTTTCATACATGATAAATTCTGATTTATTCAACATTTTCCTTGTTTAATCTACAAAAATCTTCTGTCATTGGATTATAATCATTGAACTTTTTTTTAATGAGGATATTGCAAACTGATCAAACGTTTTATCTTATCGAGTAACATAATTATTGAAAGCATGGTACATGACATGTGATAATAAAAGATGAAGATTGCAGGCACAAAACACGTTTATTTTAAAAGCTACTCAGTACGAGCAGCTTGAGGAATGGTGAGGAAGTTCGGTGTCGTGCAAGGCACCAAGCACAAATAACACAGGCGCAGTGCCATCCGTATGAGCGTATATACACTTACAAGCTACTTAACAGTTGAAGTAGTGTTATTTTATGGATAAAATAAAGTACCCGAAAGTTTTTTAAGGAACTTACAGATGGTTTCTCATTAGTTGTTAAAAATTTATGCGCGTAAGAATTGAATTGAATTTAATAGCGATTTATAGACTTCGTTATAAAGTACAAAAGTGAAAATAACTGATATAAAATGATTAATGCGAAGTGAGTATGAACTAATATCATTTATATAATGTACTAATCATAGTGTAGAACAATTTTACGCAAGTATATTAGTGATTAAATGGAATCGTTCATTCGGCAGGAATCAGATATACTTGATGTTACTTTTACTAGTCACTATTGTCTACGGAAAAAAACAGCTAACAAAACAGCGAGTATGCATAATTGGCGCTGGGATGTCTGGCCTGGTTTCAGTGAAACAATTGGCGACAAATCTTAGCAACGTCGAACCTATTGTATTTGAAAAGGCTAGTGACATAGGCGGACAATGGAGATATACAGATAGCACTGATGTCGATGAGCATGGCTTACCTGTGCATACCAGTATTTACAAAAATTTGAGGTATTGTTTCATTTGATTTCATTAGCTAAATACACACTTCATAAATCTTACAAGTCGTTTAAACTTATTGCGCTGTAGAACGAACAGTCCAAAAGTACTCATGACCTTCCCAGATTACAAAGAATTTCATGGAGAAAATCGGAGCTACGTCAAACACGAGACTGTCTTGGAATACTTGACAAACTTTACTGAACACTTTAATCTTCGTCAATATATTAAGGTAAAATATTTTTCTGAAGATTGAAGGAATTGCTGCACATGAATTTGCATATTCATTATTTTTTAGTTTAATATCCTCGTAGAAAGGGTGAGCCAGCGACATGACAATAGTTGGCGCATTCGGACGCGAAACTTGAATCTGAATGAAATTGAAGTTTACACTTGCGACGCTCTGATGGTTTGCAATGGGTCAGTAAAAGTAATGTTCGTAATACTGCTATATACTGTTCTTGATCAACAATAATTTCCAGACATTTCACCAAACCCAATGTGCCGATCATCCCAGGACTTGATACTTTCCCTGGGCGTACATTGCATAGTCACACTTATCGTAGACCTGAAGAATTTTCCAACAAAACGTTAGTAATCTTAGGCGCTTCAGAGTCGGGCATCGACATTGGAATTGGAATATCGAAATATGCCAAAACAGTTTATCTCAGTCATCGACACAAAAAGTGAGTATGTTATACGTGTCCCAACGCTTCTGTTTTAATCTGAAAAAATGTAGGTTCTCTTGGCCACAAGAAAATATTCTATAATTTCAGGTTAACAGTCGAGCTACCTAAAAACTTAATACAAATACCAGGTGTCGTAGCAGCTGACGGCAGTGATCTTATTCTCAGTGATAGTTCGCGAATAAAGGCCGATGCTTTTCTCATGTGTACTGGATACTTGTACGATTTTCCATTTATAACCGACAGTTCTGGTATTACCGTGACAAAAGGCAAATATGTTCATCCGCTCTACAAACATTTTGTAAACATTAACAACCCAACAATGGTATTTACTGGATTACCATACCCTAGCTTCCCCTTTTTTGTTTCATATGTTCAGGTAATTATTTTTAACATAATTTTTATTGATTATAATTATAAATTGTTTATTAAACTACTTTATTTTTATCCAATATAATGTGCGTTAACAATTTCACATTACTTTTGAATATCGATTATATAATCTCAAATTGACGTGTTAACAACATCTAACGCATGAGAAAATAAAGTAAAAAGATATAAAATGATATCTAGGCGCAGTACTTTCTCTCCATACTACGGGGTACAGTTAAACTGCCAACACGCAAGGTAATGCTGAAGGAATCGCAGCTACCACCAGGAACTCCCGTAACCAAGGCACATTACATGGCAATAGAAGTTCTCGATTATTATGATGATCTCGCAATAGCCGCTGGCATCGAACCTTCATCTAAGCCAACAAAAAAAGCAGTGGAAATTTTCTTTGATGATTTTAAAAATAATCCGATGCACTTCAAAGAAAATGAACTCATCATTCGAGATGACGGAAATGTTGAACTTTACAGGCCTAGTAATACGTGCCACTCCTAAGATTAAACACAGATACTAAATTATCCGATGTTGTGACTTTGTTTCTAAAATAAATATTATTTTAAATCAGAGGCCTAAAAATCTGTAAATATGTAATTGTGTTTTTTTCTCAAAGAATTTTATATTTCTATCCGGAATGAGTGTCGTAGGCTGAGGTGAGAGGTCTTGCGGAGCGAACATACGAGAGTCATTTTATCCGTTGTTCTAATCAATACTTAATTACATCAATAAATTAGAGAAAATGGATTACAGTGATCCGTTACATGTTTTATGATGAAAAAAAATAAATAGGTGATATGATTACAAATCGAATTTCTTAACTACGCTTACAAATTTTGCTGCACTCCTTTTTCCGCTTAGCAAACCAAAACTTTAAGTTAACATAACTTAATTTCAGAATTATACAAATAACTGAAAATGACCAATAAAAATTTTAGAATTTGTGATTTCCCTTTCCACTGAGTTGTCTTGCATAGGCTAAATATTTACACTTGTTCGACATGCACATTGTACTGGCTGTAACGGTCTTGAAAATTAATCGAACAGTCTGAATAAACATATCAAAACCTGAGTAGTATGAGTAGTAAGTGTATTTATGATTTAAAATTCATAAACATTTATTGACGTTTATGTTTTTATTATCAACAGTTAACAGTGCTTTATTAATTATATTAGTTATATTTTAGTTATATTTTAGACATATGATATACTACAACCCCCTTAAAAAAAGAAATAATAAAATTATTATATTTGAGGATTTCTTACCCCAATAAAATCCATAATTTCTCTAATTTATTTGAATGACTCTAAGCCTATCACCTGCTATTTCTTGCGCGCAAAGATGGTGACGGAGTACCATTATAGAAATCTGCTTCGTCGATTTTGTTATTCTTAATGATATATATTATGCAAATACCTGAAATAGTCACTCTTCAAAAATTATTAATGAAGAGATGCTGAGTTAGATATTTATGAAAATTTCAAGATCGATTTTTAATAAAACAAAAATGCAGATAATATTATGTTCAAGGATATTTTCATGTTTGTTCTTAACGTATTTGTGGATTAGATATTATCTAAATCCCAAATGTAAATTTCTTTTGGATGTCCAACAATCATGGTGAAAACCTTGTTTGAAAAGTTGATAGGTTTTATTTAAAAACATTTATAAATCGGGAGATGAGGGAGGAGAGGGCAAATTATATTAAGATCTATCAAGCAGCAAATTTTTTTGAGCGTCTTTTTTAACATCAAAATTTCTCCTGAAAATTTTGTTTTCGCAGTCGAAAGTTTACTCAATCACTGTTTGAGGTTCTACTTGTATGAATGACTCCAAATATTTTTTCAAACTATTACAATCTTTTGTAGAGCCATTGTTCAAACCTGCTTATTTTTTATTCATTAAAAATGATAGTAGTATGGTAATATCAGAAAAGCCATTTTGTTTACATTTCGTTTTTCAACAAAGCATTCCGTCAATGCGTCGACAGCATTTATTCTTATCATACGTGCATAATTTATTGAATTCTTCATGACAGACGTACAACTTGAAGATCATGTTAAACAAGACATTTGCTTGGCGCATATGAAAGTCACTTTCATAAAGTTAAAAAAATATTTGACTTTTATAACTTTCAACTCATAATTGGTTTATTATTTGATAAAGCCATTTAACATGTTTAAGAGATGTTGGTGTGATATATTACTCTTCAAAATCAACTTTATGGAAGATTTTAAGAAATTACAGAAAAAAATTTTTCATACTATCTGATATTTATTAATAATACTTTTATGAATTTGAAAATTTGATATATTACTTTTGTTTAGCTTAACGAATTAAGATATTGTGACGGCTAGCCGTAACTTAGTTTTTTTTATTTAATTATTAAATATGACGAACGGAGTGGGAACCTTCCTGATTTCCCACGATGAAAACGCATTCGAAATATAAACTTTGATAGTGGCCCGAGCCTGCGTACTCAAGCTTACAATCAACGCTCTATCCTGCTTTGTCCCACACGCATGTGTTGACAGGGGCCTACGATCATCGCGTATACATCGTAAAAAAATGCAATCTATCTTTTTTTTTCCCACTGATTTTTAAGAAAATATCCGTAATATTAAATAGATTTTCATCAATTTTGTAAGCCATTATAATGCGCATCTTTTTGTCACCGAATAACCAATAAATAGAACAATAATGTATTTTATAATAAATCGTAAAAGGTTTGAATTTTTCTGAATGTTTATAATAGTCACTATGTATCGTCATAATTAATTAAGTTTAGTACAATTATGTATAAGTAATTATAAGCTATAGCGTTACTCTTGCTCTTAAAAGTGGCACTCCGAGAGCCATCTCTGGAAAAAAGGGCCCAAGTTAAAAAGGGACCGCCCTTTCTCTCTCTGAAAATTCACGCCCACAGACCAATAAAGAAATTCTGGATATGATTAGAAAATTTTCCACCAATACAAAATTTGGCCGTTATCGCTTCATGGGCCTGAGGAAAGGGATTTCCACCCAACCACTCACGGCTTATAAAAAGCTCTATACAAGGCTGGAGAGGAAGTTAGAGTAAGTGCGGAGTGAGCACCAGGAAGTCCTTAATAAGAAGTATTTACCAGTGAGTGAGTCCCGGAGGAAGCATCACAGAAGAAAAATCACCCAAGTATATTCAGAGCATATAGAGAGAGAAAGAGGCCAAAGAGCAGAGAGAGAACGCAACTTTAATAACAAGTGATTTGATAAAATAAAAGTAAGTAAAATCTTAAATCTGGCTATCCTTTTCTTTCTTTAAATAATCCGCCTTTCTTTTGGAAATTCATTAAGCGTGAGTCTGGTGAATTTCCATTAAAGTCCCTTAAGAACACATTAAGCGTGAGTCTGGTGTGTTCGTAATAACATTTGGTTATTACATTCCGCGTTAGCATACAGTTTTCTCAACGCAACAATATTGCTCGTCCCGGCTTATGTGTTACACGATAGCCAAATCAGAGCAACCCTGAGTTTACGCTTACTCCAAGCGTACCTGAGAGTGACCCCGACGTCACAATATCTTCGAATATGAGTATTATTTGCTTAGGATTCAATAATTAATCTAAGAAAATCGCAGTAAGAAATCTCAGGATTCCTTAGGATTAATTATGATTAATCCTAAATGCCTACAATCATTATTTTAGACAATCTTTTCAAACTTTTTTTGTTCATTTCTACGCTGCTAAATCTATTCGAATAATTAATACCCATTTTAAGAAAACATAATATTCTTTATTTATTATTAAACAATTAGCATTTGTTCTACGACATTTAATTTCAAAATATAATTCCGAAGATTTGTCATGCATAAAATCTCATAATTTCATCTATAATTTCCTTGTGCAATCTACAAAAATTTTTTTAGACAAACTTTTAAAACTACTTTTGTTCGTTTCTACGCTACTATATCCATTCGAATAGTTAATATCCATTTCAAAAAAGCATAATATTATTTATTTGTAAATAATTAGCATTTGTTATACCACATTTAATTTCAAAACATAAACCCGAAGATTTGTCATGCGCGAAATCTCATAATTTATTCTATAATTTCTTTGTGGAATCTACAAAAAATTTTTTGTTGATGGATCGTCAACATTGATTTTTTTAGTTCCAAACTCATCAAATAATATTAATATATATAAAAGAATAGGATACTTAAAGAAATTGTTATAAATCATATTCTATGAACTCTTTAACCTTCTATGTTGATTCATTAAACAATGTTTTATCTTATCGAATAATATAATTGTTGAAGTGGAGTTCTTATTATGGTTAAATAAAGTACTCCAACGATATTTAAGGATCTTACCACTGATTCCAGATTAGTCGTTGGAAAAAGTTGAATGCAGATAATCAATTTAATTTGTAAAATTCATTTTTAAATTTGTTATAAAGTATAAAGCTGAAATTAATCCATATAAAAATGATTGGAAAAAAGTGAGTGTTAGCTAATATAACTATAATAATCTACATATCGGTATGAATTAATTTTTTGTAACGGAATTGTTCATTCAGTAGGAATCGGATATTTTGGTTGCTCTTTTTGTTAGTTATCGATGTCTATGGCATCTCTCAGACGAAAAAGCAAGTATGTGTGATTGGTGGAGGGATGTCTGGACTAGTTTCGGCGAAGCATTTATCAGAAAACAACATGGAACCAATTGTATTTGAAAAGGTTAACGACATAGGCGGTCAGTGGAGATATACAGATAAAACTGATGTCGACGAACATGGTTTACCGATACACAGTAGCATTTACAAAAATTTGAGGTATTATTTCTTTTCATTTCATATGCGTATTGTACACACTTAGCAAATCTTACTAGCCGTTTAAACTTATGTGCTATAGAACGAATGGCCCAAAAATACTCATGACCTTCCCGGATTATCGTGAATTTCATGGAGAAAATCGGAGTTATATCAAACACGAGACTGTTTTGGAATACTTAACAAACTTTACTGATCACTTTAATCTTCGTCAATATATTAAGGTAAAATACTTGTCTGAAGATTGAAGGAATTGCTGCATATGAATTTGTATATTCATTATTTTTTAGTTTAATACCCTCGTAGAAAGAATAAGCCAGCTGCCCGATGAAAAGTGGCGCATAGAAACGCGCAACTTAAATCTGAATAAAATTGAAGTCCACACCTGCGACGCTGTAATGGTTTGCGATGGGTCAGTAAAAGTAATGTTCGTAACGCTATTGCATGCTAACTTTTATCAACAATAATTTGTTACAGGCATTTTACCAAACCCAATGTGCCATCAATTCCTGGAATCGACACTTTCCCTGGGCGTACATTGCACAGTCACACTTATCGTAGACCTGAAGAATTTGCCGGTAAAACGGTTGTGGTCTTGGGTGCTTCATTCTCGGGCATCGACATTGGAGTAGAAGTATCGAAATATGCCAAAACAGTTTACCTCAGCCATCGACACAAAAAGTGAGTATTTCCTGTTTCTTCTTTTTTTTGAAGATGTAATGCAACGCTATCGCCAATCGTGATCTTGAAATTTCAGGTTAACGGTGGAGCTGCCTAAAAACATGATACAAGTACCGGGTGTCGTAGCAGCCAGTGGCAGTGATCTTATTCTCAGTGATAGTTCGCGAATAAAGGCCGATGTTTTTCTCATGTGCACTGGATACTTGTACGATTATCCATTCCTAGATGATAATTCTGGCATTACTGTGACGAAAGGCAAATACATTCACCCGCTCTATAAACAATTAGTAAACGTGAACCATCCAACAATGGTGTTTATTGGGCTACCGCATCCTGGCTTTCCCTTTGTAGTTCCTTATGTTCAGGTAAATGCATTTTTCGTGGTATTCTAAATTATATAGAATGTGCAAATAATTTGAACATCGTTTTGAAAATTAAAAAACAAAATCACTGAAACATAGATGAACGTTAACGAACTGATTATATATTAAAATCCAGGTGCGGTACTTTGTGTCCTTGCTTCGGGGCAAAGCAAAGCTGCCGAGCCGTGATGTGATGCTGAAAGAATCGGAGCTACCACCAGGAACTCCTGTGAGCAGGGCACACTTTATGCAAAGGGAAGTGCTCGATTACTATGATAATCTCGCAAAACTCGCTGGCATTCAACCTATATCTAAAAAATTACGACATTTAATAGACATTTATCTTAATGATTTAAATAACAATCCAATGTACTTCAGGGAAAATGAATTGTTTATGCGCGATGGTGAAGTCATATACATTCAAGCTAAACGCTCTTAAAATTACCGATGAACGTAAAATTTACGCGACTTGATTTTATATAAACGTATTATCGTATGAAGTCGATAAAACATTTCGTATCATATTTTATTTCACATTCGAAAAAATTACGACGAATGACTCAAAAAAATGTAGGAATGTAATCATCTTTGTTAACATTAAATTTTCGTGTATTGTTCGTGCTGTATATATCGTCGAGCATCGCGTCTTTATGCGCTAATTGTAATCACACGAATTGATATTTTTAAATAAAAAGGACGTGCGTGTAAGTTGTCAAGAGCTTGTACCTACGTATTTCTGTTAATTAATTTTTTTTTTCTCGTCCGAAATATATGTCACTAAGTATTTTTCTAAAATTATAGTAGTCAGACAACTGATCGCAATGCAAAACAATGTTATGCTTTTGATTTCTATTTATATCTATAAACAGTGAAAGTATTAAGTACATACATCACGTGAATAAAAACACAAACAACCTTTAATAACAGTAATCTTTAATAACAGTAGTACTAAGATTCGTTATGAATAATCAATAAACACTTATGGTGATTTAAAAAGTAACCGATTCTTTATAATATTTTTCCCAGCTTATACATAAAACAAACTATTGTTATAACATTCATATATTAGATATAAATAATAATTATATTTGAAGCAACTTTTTAGCTGCTATAAATAATCGACAGTATAATCATTAATCGCGAGAATTCAAGAAGATTAAGTGGTAGGACGTAGGGTTTTAATCGGAAAGGGATTTTACCGCTCACTGAGAAAGCCGATAGGTAAACCAAAGCATAGTCGTCAGCGAGGATAGATTTCGTTGTAGTCGTGTCCGAGTTTTCGAATTGAAATTTGTGCGACATCGTCATACATTTTTTTCTTGTATTGCAAAGCAAAATCGACGACATTTATTATTGGTAAGATTTGCCATTGTGACAAATTCTTTAATAAGATAATTTTAAGAACATTTTGCACGTCTGATCCGGTTTTTATTTTCTGTTATTGCATTACTTACATTTCAAAGTTTATACACACACCCATTCAAAGGAACTTTTTATCTGGTTTTGTAAGTTTTTTCCAAAATAATGATTAACATACGTTAGAAAAGTACAAATAAGATTTTGAAGAGCACCTTCACGCTCGTTACGTTCCAGCGGACACAAAATGTAGTGCAGAATTTGTCATGACTGAATCAGTTGAAATCAAAATAGAAAAATTCAAATGTAAATAATACCTGGGTAGCAAATGAAATATCGGAACTAGTAAGTGAGCCGTTGAAAATATAAGTAACTAAAGAAATTCAATTTCAGCAAAATTTGGATTTATCTCTAACCACAACAGAAATGGGAACCAGGCAAATGCAACAAAACATGCTCAAGCTGCGCATGGCAGTCCAGAATCGCAACGTATCTCTCGTGAAGAGTCTGATGCATATGAAACTAAACTTGAAGACGCAAGAAGGTGGTCAATTATTGTGGAGTACAATACTAAATCTGGAAATCGCAGAAATTCTAATACTCGGCGGTGTGGATCTTGACGTACGAAATCCAAGCGACAATACGAGCTTCTTACTTTGGTTCGCAGCGAGATCCGATAAAGTCGACTGTTTAAAACTAGCATTACTGGTGGTGAAACGTGGCGCAAATCTGAATTTTCGAGACCGGGAAGGTAATACCGCGCTGCATTTAGCTGTGCGTAATCAAGCGGTGCCACTGATCAAAGCCCTGGTGGATAAAAGATTGAGTGTCGATATCGCCAATGTCGACGGTGAAACGGCTTTTACCATGTGCGCGAAGAGTCCCATAGCTAAGTCCATAATAGTGCTACTCCTTCAACAACAACCCCTAGATAGGGCCAAGGTAAATAAGAGACTTTTGGACTCGATGCAGTTTTTGCTCTGTTCGGATAGCGATGAGTTGTTCGGGATTGCACAATTACTTGACCTTGGTGTGAATCTCAATGACAAGTGCGAGTGCGGCTTGACGCCAACTGCATTGGCTATTGCGCGGGGTAAGTCGGCAGTGGTAAGTCATTTTTACATCAAGCGCATGCAACGCATTGCTAAACTCAATTCTCCCGCGTTTCTTTTTTTTTCAACAATGAAACAACATTTACAGTTGCCGTTGTTCCTAAAGCACGGCGCGGACATAAACGGATTAGCGACGAATCTTTCTCTCCCATCAATCAGATCATCGTATGTCGAACAGTCAATGTTATTGGATTTACTCTTAGACGAAGCTACAAGTGTTAATAAATCTGACAAGTCTGGCAGAAGTCGACTTCATCTCGTATGTTCCTGTAGCAAATTCATGTCTCCGCGAAATTTACAGCTTCTCTTGAACCTCGGCGCTGATGTGAATGTGACTGACAAGTTTGGCTATACCCCGTACTGTCTTTTAGATCCCTCATCAATGAATGAGTATCAACAAATTTACATCAAACACTTAGTATCGCTATGTTGGAAAGGCATCGGTGTTAAAGAGGTTGACTTGCAACTTATTCGCAAAGGGCCAAAAACTAATAAATACTTTCAGGATTGCTGGCAGGAGTTGGAAACAATGAAGAAAAATTCTTTGTACAATAACTTCTCGATATTTGATTTCTATACTAGCAGTTTCAAAAAATTATCATTCATGTTGAGGAATAATGAAGTTGTAATGAATTTCAAAAACGATAAATGGAAACAATTGTTCCCGATTTATTTTTACGACTTGGAGATGATATTTAATATAGCAGAAACAAGAAAAGATTTATTACGTTCGGCTGAAGATATTGTAATCAATGGGATGTGTGGAACTCTTCCGATACGTGCAGTAGAACGAATAGGGTATCATTTGTGCTCGGCCGAATTGTATAAACTGCCAAATATGTTTTATTTCTCATTGTACGAGCACACACACTTATTGGTGTTTGACCAAGCTGTTCCTTCTGTAACATAAATAAAAATTTATAAGCTACTATTATACATATCTATAATTATAGAATTCTCGAATATATATATAAGAAGATAAATGAAAAAATTTTTTATTTCACCACGAGTAAGTACAGTATTTTAAAATATTACGATTTTTATTATTTGATATTGTAAACAATCTTAATAAGTAAAATCCTGTACTTTTTGTAAATTTACTTCACTATTTAAATCATACAGTTTTTCATATATCATATAGTTTTTCAACTTCAATATTCCCGAAACGTATATAATTGTTCTGTCATTAAATTCTAATTTGCTTCACGAAATAATCACCTCTTATCACGTTTATAATGCGCAGAAAAGTTTTTTTTCTTTTCATAAAATATTATGTGAAGAAAACTAAAAGGTACTTTAACGTGTTAATAGGAAAAAATAAGCTATAATAGTTTGAAATTTTTCGCTAAAAGTCCAAAATAATCCGTATAATTAGACTTAAGTTGTCTACATCTATTTACACAGATTCTTATGAATTTTCATATGAGGAATCGATAGATTACAATTAAAACTAAATACAAGTACCAATAATAAATATTTACAACTAATTAGTCAACGATAACATTAATAAATTAGGTTACTGCACATAATAATAGATTCGTATATATAGTTATTAACAATTGAAGAAGGATGACATTCTAATGTTGATAGAGATCAACTTAAAAAAGAATTATTGTCAAAGCAACGACTTGACCAACAAAATTGAAATTCAACGCCATTATTACAAAGTAATCTATCGAATCGCATTTTTTTCGGCGATATCATGTTTATTTGAGGCAAAATTAGGGGTACCAATTTCTCTATTTGCTACTCTCTATTTCTTAAAAATTTAAGAAAGATTTGGATTTTAATGTGTTATAAATATTATGATATTTTAGTCTAAGTCTAAGACAAATAACTTATTTACCTAAATAAAGTTTTGCTAAATAGAGTAAGTATTGGATGTAAAAAATTTTTAAGTATATTTCAAATTTTACGAATCTTCCATTTACGTTACAATTTTACATTGTTTTTACTTCGCTTATTGAATTTCCATAACTGACTACTTTCGGGTGCGGATAGATGTCGCTTGAAAACTATAAGTAATTCTAATTACTTTTGTAAATATATTTACTAAAAGAATAGTAAAAATACACTTATTTTGATACCACTCAATATATATAATTATAACTTTATCATAGAGGTATGATAGAGTTTTTCAAAATTTTCTATTTCGGGTCACGCATACGTGAATATATTGGAAACCACAAGTTGAGGCAGGGCCAATGTGTCTAATAGAGCTGCTTCTCTTGAAAATAAATAGTCTTTTCGCGTTTCTACTATCATGATTTTATACTCCATAAAATATAATGAAATATATTCATAAAATATAATGAAATATATTCATAAAATATAATGAAATATATTCATAAAATATAGTGAAAAGACAGTCTTTATTTTGAGATTGTTACTGTGACAATTCTTAGAAAATGTGTCGTTTTTTTTCGATATGAAATTGTCTCAATATCCTTCATAAGTACGCAGAACAGAGAAATGTTATAATTGATATTGATCGTTTTCATCTTTTGCAGCTCGCTGAGATATTTATTATAATGCTTTAGCATTCTCGGCTGTTCACAAATACTTTTTCAATCTCTTTGTTCAACCTCAACATCAACAGTTGTCATGACGGCCAATTTTCCTATCAAGCACTCGCGTAATTGATTCGACAAGGGTGAAGAATCAATCACTAAGTAAGGTGTGTTACCGTATATACTGCCCGTCAATCACTTTTGCCATGCTTACCTCAAAATTAGGCAAACTTGAAAGTTTTGTATCTCGGTCGGAAATCATCGTATCACAAAAAACAGCAGGGCATTTTAAAGGTAATTGCAAAAGCTTCCATTCAAGACGTGCAGAGACTTAAAAATGAAAATTTGTGTTGTTTACAGTAAAAAAACTGATTAAAAAAATTTCAATTGTTATAACCTCGACTTAAATCAATGCCAATTTAGAACCAGGCGGTGGAGGGCAAATCGACCGGAGGGGTTCGGAGAGTAATGTCTTTCCCTTTAAAATTAGCCCCCGCGGGGTTCTATCCGATGTTTTTTAACCGAGTTACGGCGTTTTTTGTAAAAAAATAACCTTTTTTTTCAATCCTCAATTACTTCGACTTGCTTACGTTTTGGAAAAAAATGCCAAGGAGAAAAAAGTTTCATTTTGTGCCCAAGAATACGAAAATAAAGTCAAAATAAAGAAATAGAGAAAAAATTTTTTTCGGTTTTTTAGCGCATTAACCTTTTAAGGACGGGACTGGTTGATATATCGACCACCAATTTTGTCAGGCACTCCACGTGACATATTCTTTCATTTTATGCACAAATATTGTGCAAAAAAAAGTCAAATTTTAACGTAAAAATGCCCGTCCTTAAAAGGTTAAAAAAATTAAGGAATTTAACTTTTTTTTTACGCTTCGTTTTAAAATGTCTAGGGACGTAGTAAATCACAAAAAAACTAAAACTAAGCGTAAAAAAAAGTTAAATTCCTTTATTTTTTTAATGCGCTAAAAAACCGAAAAAATTTTTTTCTCTATTTCTTTATTTTGACTTTATTTTCGTATTCTTGGGCACAAAATGAAACTTTTTTCTCCTTGGCATTTTTTTCCAAAACGTAAGCAAGTCGAAGTAATTGAGGATTGAAAAAAAAAGGTTATTTTTTTACAAAAAACGCCGTAACTCGGTTAAAAAACATCGGATAGAACCCCGCGGGGGCTAATTTTAAAGGGAAAGACATTACTCTCCGAACCCCTCCGGTCGATTTGCCCTCCACCGCCTGGTTCTAAATTGGCATTGATTTAAGTCGAGGTTATAACAATTGAAATTTTTTTAATCAGTTTTTTTACTGTAAACAACACAAATTTTCATTTTTAAGTCTCTGCACGTCTTGAATGGAAGCTTTTGCAATTACCTTTAAAATGCCCTGCTGTTTTTTGTGATACGATGATTTTCGACCGAGATACAAAACTTTCAAGTTTGCCTAATTTTGAGGTAAGCATGGCAAAAGTGATTGACGGGCAGTGTAAGTCGATGTTGTTAGGATTTGTGCCAAGCCGCAGAAATAAGCGCACGTTTTCAACGTACGCACTGCGACAAGCTGCATGAACTGGCTGCTGTTCGGCTTTATTTTTGACAGCGTGAATGTTAGCTCCTCTTCATCGCGGGACAACAACATTGTCCCTCAAGTTCTCAAGGACAGCTAAATGTAACGACTGTAGGGTCCCATTTAGAAAAAGGAATTCGGAGTCACGTCAGCTCCGTGATCCAGTAACACATTGAGCCGCAGCATGGAAAAAAACCACGATTATTGAAAATTATTCTTCATATGGATATTTTACAATTACTTGCAAAATCATTGTAAAAATATAATGATAAATATGCATGGACATACGCACGAAAAAAAAAACAAAAATAGGTCGAATATAGAACCTTCTTTTTGAAATCAACAAAAATAAGAAATATATAAAAGTTGAAAATAATCACTTTATCATTTTGGCGGTAGATTATAGCATAATAAAATAGTTTCCAAACGTCATAGAACAACCACAGCATCAACTTTTCATAAATATTTTCACTAGTAAAGGACAATGTTTGCATATACTTCGGTTCCTTACCCTTAAGCAGCTTGTTAAGGATTTACTGCATGGGCACTGTATACACCTCCGTGATTGACAGCTGCAGTGGGCTTCTGATTGTTTTGCACGAATCCCCACTGTTATAATGAAAAGCTGAGAACGTGACAAGCATAAATCACAAGATTTAGCACTCCCTGCAGTTTTTTCTTCAGTTCTTCAAGGCCATTAATAATTATCACGGAGAATCTACGGACGTTACGTTTTCTTTACGTGTTCTCCATAAATTATGTCTATTTTAGAAAAATGCGGTTTTGCATCGTCTATTGAGGGCATATATCACTTATTTATGGCGATGGGTGGAAATAGTACATTTCTACAGAAAGAATTTTTCACGAGTCACGAATTTTGTCAAAAAGCCTTTTCGAATCAGTTAAGAACAATATTTTTCCGCATAAGAACCAGAAATAAACGCCGAAGAGGCGATTAGAATGCAGAATAATTCGATATCTCAGAAACCAATAATTTAATAAAGCCCATATTGTTAACAAATAATATATACGATATATATTCTCAAATTCCCTAAAGATCAGTCCTTCATCACCAAAAGTTACAGCGTAATGTATTTTGTAAATTTACTTCTTTTTAGTTATTTTGTTACTTCGTAGATATGATCCGATGGTTACGGTTAGCCTCTCATTTTAAAGGTAATTCAATTACCTACGACTTATTCCGTTGAAGTCCAAGCGTTGCTCTAAGATTTCAGATTTAAATGCGAAAAACACGATTTTGCAAAATTCAAACGTCCTTTAAAAAATGAACTTATAAAAATTAGAATTTGGAAACGTATACGTTGCCATTTAATTAATGTCAATGGAAGTTATTGCGTTATCAGTAAAAAATTTGTGACAAAAATTATTACACAAGCTCGAGAAACCAACGCTTAGTTGAAATTTCGACTCATAGACGTCGTATCGAAAAATAAAGTTAGATGCATTTGCAAGAAAATGACTGTACCCTTGCGTAGATTTTTTCGTCCGAACGAAGAACTATTAAATAAAAATTGTAAATTGTAAACATAAGTAGAAGCAGTAAATCATTTGGAAAATATGAAAATATAAAAATTTTTTTAATTTCAAGTTCCTAGTCTTTTGCTTTAATGAATTTGCCTGTAGTGAACATTTTCAAGGTCAATAAATTATCGTCTTTTTAGTTACATGTAATTTATATCATATTAAATTTTATATATTAAATAATTTTCAGGTACTTTGCCAATCCATTAATAAATTAGTTACACTTGATTGTATATCTGTTTTATCCGTACCACTCTAAAAATAGACAAAGTTTTATAAAACATCTAACAGCCAAAGTTAGCATCCAATGAAACAGTCATTCTCGCGCTGTTGTCGCTTGAAGAGTTTTTCGGTACGAGTGACTTTCGTGTATTGTGTGTATTTTTATCTTTCGCATAACAATAAATTATCGTATAATTATTTTCTCATTGCATTCGGCTGTTTCGAGCTGAAAAAATAAAAAAAAAGACTTAAAAAAGTGTAATGGATGTCGAAGAATTGCGGGAGAAGCTGAAGCAACAAAACGGAAAGTTGATCTTCGGCTTACGAAAGTGTCACCGTAAATACGAAGAAGTATTATTCCGCGCCATCCAGTGCAATGAGAAAACTTTCGTACGCGAGCTCCTCACTCAACACAATTTCGACTTGCGTACGCCTGAAGGCAGTGACATGTTATGGCGTGCAGTGCTGAAAGGCCACCCGGAAATCGCGTCGATGTTAGTTCGCGCGGGTGTCGATCCGAACGCTCGTCGGCTGGAAGACGAGAGAAAATTAAGTTTCCTGCATTGTCTTCTCATAGAAACCGACGATCCGCGAATCAGTCAACTCGCACAATTACTTATTAGATACGGTGCCGACGTGAATGCACTCGATGCCCGCGGTAACAGTGTTCTTCTCTACGCTGTCGTTCAAGGAAGCGCGCTTATCAAAGATCTTTTGGAACGTGGTGCTCGGGTTGATGTGGCAAACAATAACGGCATGGATATTCTGTTCGTGGCTTCATGCCAAGCTTCTGCGAGCAAACTGCTGCCTATGCTTGTTCAGCATGGTACGAATGGCGATTTGGATAGAAGAAATCGTCGCGCCATCAGAGCGATCGAGCACATGATTTACGGAACTACCGACTTGGATACCATACGGATGCTGTTAGATCTCGATGTGCCGATTGACTTACCGACTATTAATGGATTTACTCTTCTTCAAGCCGCTGTGTCAAGGGAAAAAATCGACGTGGTAAGTGTTTCTGTTTCGTTCGAGTGATACACTTGTGGGAGTATGATATAGATTATTTAGAAAAGTTCGCTCGATGCAATTCGAAATAGAAAGTTTTGCCGCTATTTTCATCTGCATTGTACTTGCAGGTAGAGCTATTATTGGCCCGCGGAGCTGACGTTCATAAAAAGTCGTCGTCTGGCATGCTTCCATTGTACATAGCGTCGTCTCTCAAGCTGTCTTACGTCGCCGAGCTGCTTATAAAACAAGGCGCTACGATTCACAATTGTAATGACGATGGGCAATATCCGATACACGCTGCTTGCCGGAACTCGTCAGTACAAAATATTAATCTTTACTTACGCATGGGCGCCAATGTCAGTGTTGTCGACAAAAATGGCCGAACGCCGCTTTCCGTAATGGTTAAATCGGCAACGACTGCCAGACGATTAATCGTTAAACATTTGGCTGTTTTGATATCCAAGGGCATGGATATTGGAGTAGAAGATCACGCGATTATCCACGAACATCACAAAACTTTAGAATTTTTCGAGCAATGCTTGAGCGAATTGCAGAAGATGAAGGAGACAAAAATTTACAATGACATACCGTTTTACTGTTTTTTCAGTAAAAATACTCGCGAATTATCCGCGCTTACGAGAAACATCGATTTGTACAAGAATTTCAAACAAGATTCGGCTAAATTGAGCAAATTGTTTCCGCTTTATTACCAACAGATTTTCGATATATTTAGCAGGGCTACCGAAGAGAAGAGTATTTTGAATGCGGAACAAGAGTTTCTAAGTGAAATTTTTCATGATATTTTACCGTACCTTGTAATAAAAAAGATCGCTTATTACTCATGTTTGGATAATTTGAAGCGTGCAAGGCAAGATTTTTATTCCACATATCCTAAATTAATCTATTATAAAAAATTAAATATAAATTAAATTATTTTAATTATGAATTAAAAATTTTTTTAATTGGAATGTAAATATCAAATTTGTTAATTGGAAGAAAGTGATTGTTGTGAATTGAGCACGTGACATAGTTTTTGTAAATAAATTGATTAAGTTTTTTAATGCGACGATATTTCTTTTATACCTTTAATGTGTTAATTCATAAATACATTCATTTATTTATTTAATTTTCGAATAACAAAGTGTTTTTCGAAAAGAAGATATATACAAATAAACGGTCACATAATGAGAGAAACCACGTAAATTTATAAGATTAATTAAAAAAACAACTCGACTTCAAATTCATCTTTTCCAATTACTTTCAAAGTTATACTTTATATCTCGGAAGCAAACCATCCAAATAAGCTCACCGTTCTTCAGATCGCTCTCATTATTCTAAAGATATGAAATACATTTAAAAATCTGAATACAGAACTTGTTCCTTTTTCACGTTGACTAAAATACAGAGCATAGTCACCAACTACTTCTTTCGTTTTTCGCGCACACGCTCTACAATTTTTGAAGTTTCCTTTCGTAAGCAAATAAAGGGTGGTCTTATCGTACGCTATTAATTTTTAATCTTAATAAAAATCTATGAAAATCTTGAAAAATTTATATTATAAAACGAAAGTTCATTAATGTCACTTTTAGTGACACTTAGTCTTTCTTTTTTTAAGTACGGCAGTTTTCGAATAAAATGTAAAAATATTAGTTTTTCATAATTTCTATAGAATACTACAGACTTAGAAAAAGAAATTGCAAATTCACATTCTTAAGGATCAGAAACCCCTTGACAACGTAATAGCAATATTTCCGTGACACTTTTTTTAACTCAAACCCCTATATTTGACTGAACTGAAAAAAAAACGGCGGGAGGTAGACTCCAGCTAGCTAAATTTGACGAGCGAAGAGAAAGAGAAAGATGAAAGCAAGGGCAAAGGTAAGTGATGAATGAGTCGTAAAAGGTAGCTACAACCTTTCTTTGTTACGTCTATATGTCCACATTCCGTTCTACGCTTTTTCTTTGCGAAGTCCAATTTTATATTGCGTTCCCTTTATACTTTTCTAGACTTTTTATTCTAAGGATGTATCTTCTTGCAATAGCGATAGCGTTTACACTGAAAAAATGTCTCTCAGGGTTCTAAAAAATTACTTCACTCAACATAGTGCAACAATTTCCAAGGACCATGAAAGAAATTTTTCCATCGGCAACGCTGCATCGTCTGGTTAAGGTATACGCCATTCTTTTGTTGCAATTTCAAAATAGAGGTAGGTTTATTATTGACATGCACTGTGTTGTTTTCTAAATTATTTAGAATAATTAACTTATTTTCTTAAATAACTCAGTCTAGGTGCTAATGAATAAAATGAGAGAGTGCCCCAAAACAGCCCCCCCCCCCCTTCTGAAGAAAAATCGTCTTGGAGATAAAATTAATTGAATATGAAGTTTTTAAGATGTGAAATATTTTTGATAATTTATTCGTTACGCATACTACGCAAAAAAAAAAGATTATTTGTTTACTCTGATTTTCAGAATCATGCACAATGTTAAATCTTTTCAATAAAGAGTTGTGTTAACATTAACTTTTTTGAGCATATATTTGACATTTTTCAACTGGCGACAAAACAGGCCAAGCTTATTCCGAGTACTTGAAGAAAATTTCCATGGAGATATCTCTATTTGAACGGCTTCTACAAATCAATAAAGAAAACTTTCAATTTTCAAACAGCCAAATATTTAGCAATTCAACTTATAGTATGCCGTACGATTATACTTTATCATGAGCTTCAAATAATTATTAACAGACAAATAACGTGATGCTACAATATACTTAGTTTAAAATATTCTTCCTTAAAAAAGAGATATTTAAAAATAATGAAAGTGGCGTTGAAAGCAAGACAATTATTGAGCAAAAATTTTTGCTAACAAAGACAGGCTATGAAGTAAAGTAAGAGATATGCGAAAAAAGTTAGAGAGGAGTCCTTCGCTACGGATGGCCGTAATAATATTAGTTTTAGACGGAGAATTTGAAACAGGAATTGAAAAGGTCACTTACTAAACTATAATGTCTTTGAATATACCTATACAGATGTTACAATGGAAACTTTATGCCCCTGTATTTCGTAAACAATTAACTAAGCAATTAAAATTTTCAAACATACGATCTTTTATATTTTTTAACATTCTTGCAAATAAAGCAATATATTTTTATTAAAAACATTAAATCAATTTTACTATATATTGATCTATGTATAATTTTTTCTCTGAAATCTCATGCTGCAAGGTTCACCTCGGTACGATTGTTAGAAAAAAGATATAAGTAAATGGAAATATATAAGTCCAACGTTATTTTTACCATGATGTATACCTTCAATTCCGCAAGAAAAGCAACAAAAGCAAACACACTGTTTGGGTAAAATACAGATTCGTATACTAGAATGACTGGAATGTAAGCTCTGTTGCTCTTCCTCCCTCTCGCACTCCGCCCCCTCCTTATCTCTCTTTCTCTCATTCTTCTCTTCTTGCTCTCACAATGAAGCTTAAAAGATACTAACCATTAATTTTTTATTCTGATACTCCAATATGACGTTTATCGTAGCATTTGAAAAAATAAGATGGGGAGTGTAACGATATTTTGAAGAGAATTTTAAAAAAATTCACTGTCCTATAAGCATTAAATGAGTTTAAATTTTATTTGAAACGATTTTGGCGATAAAAAAACGAAATAAGATAATAAGTTTTTTTATTATACAAAAAGTTTTAACGGTTTTAATTCTGTTTGTATATTAAATTATTATTAAACTATATAGTTCTTCAGTAAACAAACCAGTACAAGATATTTTACCAAATTTTCTTATAATAATAAACATATTTACAACATTTTAGCTCAAAATAGCGAGATTTTTGGACTGCAAAAACTAATCTCTATTAGGATACCGAGCTATATTTTGAAAATTTATACAATGAAACAAATACTTATTTGAATGACAAATAGATCGAAAAAGTTCAAAATTGTAATTGTATCATTATTAAAATAATACGAAATTCCGATAACAAACTTTCACTTAGTCAATGAAAAAACTACTAAAGTTTTTATTCTTTCCATTTTCATAAAAAAAGTCGTTAACCCTTGTAATTACCTATATTAATATAGATACACATTCACCTCGATTATTACGTTTACACAAAATTTGCATGATTATGTCATATCGTTAAAAATATCATTGTTTATGATATAAGCGATTCAAGCATTTTTGGTAATAAGCCGACCTTCTCGGACAGTCATTTATCTTATCTAAATCGCTCTCATGAATATCAATTTTGTTGAAAACCAAAGTAGCAAGATGTTTGATAACCAATTTATGAGCCGCGTTCAAAGTCACATTAGACTCTGGCCAAAGTAGTGGCTGTTCGCCCATCTTTTCGTTCGCCTCAACACTGTGGCTCAATAATAGTAGTACCTGTAACGAAAGTACATAGTGTGTATTCGAAGTGAATTGTTTGAACGTTAATTGTAAGACGTCGCACGAGAATAAAACAAAGACAGACTGCTGAACTTTCACGTCGAATGCTGCGGTAGCTCATCGACTACCTTCTTTTTGGTTATACCTGCACTTTTATATCTAATGCTTGTTAGTTTTATTAATTATTTTGTAAAGCTTATTGAAAAAGAAATTTAAAAAACTGGAATCGTAAAAATGTAAAGATCACAAATTAAAAATATCGTAAACAAATAAATCTATACTCGTTCCTCTTTAAGAAATTTAAATGTTACAATGGAAGATTCTCTTCGTATTTCTAGAAATGGCTCACTTGTCTAATCTCTTTTTTGATTCTAAAAGATATGTCTTATATCTCTTAGGAAGCAAAGAATCAAAGATGCACTGGTACGCCTATATTTTGTTCAATCTTGTAATAGTACTTTGAAAAAATTACTTTTCATTCGCTAATTAAAAATTAAATTTCCTATATATATATATATATATATATATATATATATATATATATATATATATATTGATCTGCTCTTCTACGAGCGTCTACCTTCGTTACTTTATCTTACCGCTTTAATGTTTTTGTAATACACAGCAAAACGGAGAATTGTCCAACCACTAACATCCAAATCCAAGATAGGCAAATCGAGCCTCAATAAAGCCTTTATTTCGATCACATTGTTATCACCTTTTTCAATCAAATGAAGTAGAATACCGACGACTAGCTGAAGCTGATCATCAGGGTCATGAATACTGTTAACAATAATCGGCAGTAACTCAGACGATTTGGAACTCCGAGCAGCCTCAAGAACAAGAAAACTCTCCTGAAAGTGTGCACCATGTTGAAGCAATTCTTCGACAAAAGGCACAGCCCCGTGTATCACCGCAGTTTCAAGAACACTGAATTTACCCATGTAAGCATTAACATCCGCGTTTCTCTCAATCATCATTTTAGCCAATTCTAAACTATTTTTCTCATCATCCATTGTAGCCAAATAGTGTAAAAAGCTTGGTCCATCTGTGGCTATGCTTACGTTCACATCGGCACCTTCTTCAATTAATATTTTTGCAATATCTCTGTTACGGCGAATTATCGACATCCACAACATATTGATATCGGATCTTGTAAAATTAAGATCAGGATTGTGCTTTATCAGTTTCCGTACCGCCGCTGTGTCTTGGTCCAGCACAGCGAACCATAAGCAGTTTGATAAATAGAATCGGCCCACGGTCGATGTATCGATTTTGTCATCTCGGAGTGCCTCGCGTAGACTTTTCATATTCGATTGCAATTGAATCTCGCCTGCTGTGATTGAAATAGTGTACATGGAATCGATGAAGTCAGAAATGTATTTTTGCAGCGTTTCGTAAATCGCCATTTCACTGAAAACCAACAGTAATAATTATTTCAACATGGATTACATGGAAATATACATGGTATAATTAACATTCGAAAAAATACGCGATCCACAATTTATAAGTGAGTCATCGGGTTATTTTACTTACAAATTCAAATTTTTGAACGTCGAATAAAGAAACTCACTGCGTGCTTTAAGTATTTCGCAGTCAAGTATCGAGACCGAACTAACTGAAATACGTCTAGACACAGTCCACGTATAAAGGCAGAATATCAAAGGAATGAACAGAACACAGTAGGAAATTGGATTAGTTGAAAGAATTAGTAAAAGCCAATCAGCCGTAAGGAATATCATTCTTTATTTACACCCTAATTTATCTGATTTAGTGATATTTATGAACAAGTGATTTTTAAATAAATCGATGGTAATTTCTTTATACATTGTTAATATGTTTGAGTTTTAAATCCATACTTGCTAAAAAAACCTGAAAATAAAGATTTCAGTACACTTGCTAAAAATCTAATATTATTAAACAAATAAATATATTTTATAATATTTTTCTTCATGCTTTTAATTGAAGAAATAAAATGTTTTTTTCTAAAATCATTACTAAATTAATTTTATTTACCTGTAAGTTATAAAAACTTTATTTTATGACACAATATGTCAATAATAATAGTTACTTTTATAATTATGATTTATTCAGTAGAAATGCAAATGATAATTTATTTTAAGTTTATTTTATTCGTCTAAATACAAACAATATTCTATCTTGTCTGGTTGGTAAAAAATATAATAAGCTCAGAAGTAGATCGTTTGGTAAAACACGATACTTTTGTCTTTTCTATGCAGTTTTAAACTTAATTTATTTAAATTTACTGTTAAAATTACTGATGAATTCTTAATTTTTCACCAATATTGATAGTTGACTTGCACTTTTTGCCTAAAAGAATAGTGATAAGTCGTTTAAGATTTTATTTTTTTTATATTCACTAACTCTTTTAAATAGTTTTCCTATGTTTTATCAGTTTCACGTTTTACGGGAATAGTTTCAAGATCACTGTTGTGAAATTTTTGCCATGTTGACTATAAGAGTTAAGACATTCTGCCACAGTCAAAAATTCAAACTTAATCGTTGCAAACGGAGTTCTGACTTGTATGCTTGTTACGCTAATCTTAGTGCAATATTTTATTATGTTAATCTTACTGCAGCTTGATAATTGTACCCATTATCATAAACCAACTAAATATTTTGAGAATAACATTGCTGTTTGACTAATTTTTCAAATAAACGTACAGTAAATAATTATACTAAATACAATTAGTTAATATTTATTAGTTAAGAATCTATACTCTGCAAAGTAATCTGTCTTTCGAAATATAATAGACGACGTCAGTACATAAAAAAGAATAATAACCGCACAATATTTTTCTCAAGAAAGATAAAAATTTCTTTCCAAATTTTGGATTTTGTCGAGACACAAGTAATATGCAATTATTTTGAGAATAACTAAAGGAAGAATATTATGAAAAATTTGATCTACAAATTTTTCTTTGGAACTTATAATATTGTTTCTCATTTCAGCAATTCTAAATCTAATTTCCATATCTCTGTTGTAAAATGGAAACTGAATTCTCCTTAGTTCTTGATTCTGACTATAATTTCTGATGAAATCATTGTTTCTCACTAACATCGACAATTGTTCCACAGAATAACTTATGATACAAAATTGTGTAATATTACCATAAATTATATAATGTTGCATGAATACTAATTCGTCCATACAATTTTCAAAAGCAATATGAGCTATAGGTTTATCACAAATAATCTGCAAGTCTAGTTCAGAAACTGTAATACCTTGACACATCAATAAAGCAATATGTTTAATGACGACTAGCACAGACTGATTTAAATAGTTGTCTTCACATGACATTAGAGATAAGGAAGTCCAGCCTTTATTCGTTGTGACAGATATATCAACTCCAAGTTTCAGCAGTAATGTTATGATTTCGTCTGATAAATTCGAGCAAGCAAAGTGTATAGGACGACTGCCGTGGTTAGTGCAGTTCTCGTGAATATTAGCGCCGTACTTGATAAGTACCTTGGTGATCACAATATCTCTTAGCGATATCGCAATAATCAACGGATAAAAACTTTTGTCGGTTCGTAAATTGACGTCCGCACCATGATCCAGTAGAAATGTTATCTGTAAAGGTAAAATGATATTTTATTCAACTTGTTATATAAAATTTTTACAGGCACTATTTGTAATACTCAGGACCATAAAATGTTCTAAAAAACAAATATTAAAACAAATCACTTACCAAATCAAAGTCTCTCATTTTCACTGCAATTTGAAGAAGAGAGTGTCCTGATTCGGTTTTTCGGTTCAAAGGTATGCCTAGATTTATCATCATCCGGAGAATTTCATATTTTATAATTGGTTGCAGCATGAGGAATAAAAATATAGCAATTGCACGGTTGTCTCTCGTTTCCACATCGGGATCATTAATGATTAATGGTATCAATTCAGTTGGTTTGTGGCAATTGGTAATCGCAGTCAAAGTAATATTTGTAACTCGAGCTCCCCTATTCAAAAGTTCCTCGACCATAGCAGTCTTTCCAAAATATATGGCCCAATCAAGGACAGTCGTGTTATGGTTGTTAACAGCATTGATCTCAGCTCCATTATCCATCAAAAATACAGCCAAATCGATATCTGGATATTCCTTTACAGCAAGGAAATGCAAAAGACTCAACCCTCTGCTTACCGTTTTTACGTTCACATCAGCACCTGCTTGTACTAGTATCTTCGCTATTTCACTATTACATTTACTTACAGCTACCCATAATAATGTACCATTCTCTACCAACGGTAAACGATCATTATTATTAATCGTTTCTCTTACAATTTCTATTTCATTCAATTTAACTGCCATCATCAAAATATTTTCCACCGATCCAGGAAATAACTCCATCGTTTGTCGTATCGTGGAATTTTTCGTGACGCGACCGGAGGAATCAGGGAAGAGGTTGAGGTAATAACACTATAAACTCACTATGGATTTGACAGGCACTTTAATGTACACTTTAATGTAGTTTGAAGTACAAAACTAGACTGGACTGGCTAAGGGAACGCAGCCCTTATATAGCCGTTTGAGGGCGTCCACGAGGAGAAAGCGACGCAGACGCTTTCTGCAATTATAGACGACGCTTTCACTTTCTAAAATTTAATTATAAGTCCTTATAGTATAAATCAAAATTTAAAAGTGAGATTGAAATGGGAACTCAGGTAGTTCTCATGACCGTGCGGCCTCAACAGGCGACACAGAACCACACGACTGTCTAAAAGTAAGGTGCTTCGTGTAAACACGATGTGCTCTGTTTTACCGCACGAGGCGCAGCCGAGTCACGCACATCGTGCATGCGCAAAATACTCGTCGAAAACCTATCACCATTTATTCACAAGGTAATAGGGTTTGAAGCGCTATTTGGTGACGATGAACGCAAGTTACGGAGACAGAAACAAATTAGCTGTCTCTATGTATTGTGACATATGTCAGTATAAAAAATGGCATTCAAAATAAATAATAATGTAAATAGAAGCTCAAAAAGTGCAAGTAATGAAATGACAAGTCTTCTTGATGAAAGTAATACAAAAATTTTGAACATAAGTAATGACTTTCATTGGCTCCGGTGTAAGGTCATATGTCAAAGACGAAGCAGTTTTAACCCTTTGCGACATAGTGGTAAGTATACTTACTACCTTTTTGAAATGAGATTTTCATGTATGAAGGGCTCTAATAAATCGTTGCTCACGGGGATTTTTAATATTTTATCCTTCTAATATGTTAATGAATGTATAACTATATCAAATTATCGATTTTTAGTCGCCATTTTTTAAAAAATGGCTGAAAAGTGCACGAAAATGACGATTTTTTAGAAAAATGTGCCGCAAAGGGTTAAATTCATCACACCTACAACTTTATAATGCAATTAAGAAAAGTGATAATTATTTATCTACTTTACAAAGTTTTGTCCAGTTCATTTTTAGTTTATTTTTTGGAAATTTGTGAAATAAAATGGCACTGTATGCCCTTTGTCGACAAATGGAAATTATGCAACGAACGTGTACATTAGTTATTTCTTTACAACTTTTAGCAATTTGTCTTATGCTTGCTCAGTTTCAATGGCTAAAATTAAGGAATTGAAGTTCGAATTAGTAGACCATCCACCGTATTCACCAGATTTGGCCCGTAGTGACTTTTTTATTCCCAAACCTAAAAAAAGGGCTTGCCGGACAGCGATTCATCTCGAACGAGGAGGTTATAACACAAACAAATGGCTATTTTGAGCAACTTCCAAAATTATTTTTTCTGATGGTTTAAAAAAACTTGAAGGACGTCTGGAAAAGTGTATCGAGCTGAAAAAAGATTATGTTAAAAAATAAAAAATCTGCTTAAATAAATTGTTTTTCTATATTTTTTTAAGGACTTATTGATCCACCCACGTATATACTCCAGATGCCCGAGAACGCTTGTATTATTTTTTTTATCCGAGGAGGGGAATCTTCTAAATGGCACCTACAATTGTGGAAGTGTGGATCAACCTGATACTACGCAAACTTTTTCTCTTCGGTTATCAACCATAAGGCTATAAACTACTTGTAGTAATAACACTAGGTAATAGTTATTAGTAATAAACCACGTGTAGTAATAACACTTGTATAAAAAGAACTATGTATTAAATATTGTAAGTGATAATTTTATATTACTAGATGATTGCATGAAACCCAGCAAGAAGCCATCTAGTGGTTTGACATGAACTATTTATCTGAATTACACACTCTATTCTATTTTTATCGGCTGCCGCTAGATGACTCATTGCTGGATTTGACACGCTCATCTAGTAAACTTATCATCATTACAATACTTATCTATCGAATCGAAAATGAAGACATGATCTATCTAATTACACTAGACGGTCCATGTACTCGGGTCAACTCAAGATTACCCGCCATTCCCCATCATCATTTGTTTTTTGTGATAATTTGAAGTTACAAAGTGAAGGAGTTATAAGGGTCGTTATAAGCAATATTGCTCACACGCTTAACTTTTCTAACATAGCATATTGAATTCATAAAATCCATTATTGTGAATATCAATCCTATTCTACGTTCTCTTTCCTTCAGGACAATTAGAGTGCTATTTGAGTTAGCCTTATTTATCCTCAAGGTTATGGATGTTGTAGCTTCACGCCTTCAAGATTTGTAATTCAACTCTGCTTCTACAAATATTAACTTCACTAAACTGGTTGGATAATTTTACTAATGAATATTAAGATCTCTAAGTCGATATACAGATTCAAGAAAACTTTTATAAAATAAACCAAAATACATGTTGAATTTCAGAGAAAACTATTGAAAACTGAAGAAAATTTTATGTTCATTATTATCCGGATACATCAGTAAATGGTGTTCATGTCGGTTCGACTGCAAAAGGCATTGACGTCAACTCTTGCGCGCTTTCTAAGCAAAATATTAACTACCCTCGTCAATCCATATTCTACAGCTACATGTAAAACGCTGTTGTTCAATTTATCTTTAGATTTGTCGAGAATCGACCGATCGGAAACATGTAACTAATGTACGTCGTATTCTACATGGTCATGATTATGATAGTGCTAATATGCAATTCGTGATGGCGCTCACGAGCTCGCTATCGTTCCTGTTCAGTGCCGGCATCAAAAGAGCTTGCAACTGCTTCCAAAGAGTTCGTTTACGATCCACGATATTTTACATTTATTACGATGTCACGATTGACGTCGGATTGAGTATATTTAAACTGTTGGTAATTTGTTTGCATGATCGACACATCACTGCTGTATGTGCCATGACATCGTTTCCTTTGACTGCTGCGCCTCTGGGGCTGACTTTTTGGCTCTTCTAAAAGTGCATATTATTAATATTTCTTCTGTACAGAGTTAAGCTCGTTTGATTAATAAATGATTAATAAATGATTAATAATTGATTAATAATTGATTAATAATTGGATGTTTACTTGAATGTCACTAGTTGAACATGTCAAATTCGACATTACGCACTAAATATTTGACAGTTTGCATCATTTTTTGAAACCGTATTTTTAACATTTTCAATATTCAAGTAATTACAAAATTATTTAGAATGCTTGTGAACACTATAACATTTTAAGAAAAAAACTAAATTTTTCAAGGAATAAAAAGCAGTCGTTTTGCTATGAGTCAATATCCCAGTAAGCTAGAATTGTTTCAAAAATGTTACCAAAATAGTCTGGGCAAAATTGGCGATAATCGTATTTTTTAAACTCAACTGAACAATAAATCTCAGTTTGCCGGCGGCTAACCTGGTCAGTGTTTGTTTAAATTAATTTTTTGAAACAAATGATTAATACCTATTTTTTAGTCAAGAAAATAATATTTTTCAATTAAATAAATCATTTGGAATAAAAAAGGTTCTTATTCATTTTCGCCTAAAGTTTATAGTTTTCGAGTAAAAAATTATTGAAAATCAAAAAGATTTCAAGTTTGCGATGTTTGAAACCATTGATCAGCGTGAAAAACAAACTATTTTAAAATGGCAAATAACCTATATCTAAACTTGCAACCTTCATCTACAATGTCTAAAAAAAAAGAAAATTAAAAACTCAACGACAAACCCCATTTTTGGCAATAAATATGTAGCGCATAATAAACATTTAGAGCATTTATAAGCTACGTAGCTCGAGTGCTCAATCGACTGCTTCTCCGGACTGTAGCATCATAATAGAAGTAAGTTTTGTTAATTTATATATTAACAAGTAAGTGTATTTCATTCACTACAATTTTATTAAAAAAAACAATATTGCATTATATAAACAATGAAAATAAAAAGTAACTTAAGGTTGAGAAACAAATATACTACTAAAAACAAAAATAATATGTTCTTACATTCATCTATGTTACATTTACATAAAGGTACACATTGTAGGTTATCATTTCTACAACTACAAGACTTAGTATCACATGCATTTAACTAATCTACTAATTTATCTCTTAACTAATAAAAACTATAAATTCAATTTAATTTTGTTTCATAAAACTGATCTTTTAGCATGAGTTTAAAGCATATATTCGAAGAAAAGTTCATTGCATATATTATGACAGGCGAATACTGCAAAACTTTTATTTTGAAAATCGGCGTATGAAAAAACAAAACATTATTAGTTTTAGAGTTCTTATCGTTCAAGACAGACGATTCGGTCGTCAAGACCATTTTGAAAACGTATTTTTATTGTGTAATGTGTATTTTGCGAATTTATTTTAATATTTCGAGTGCAATATATCTGACTAGGTTAATATTATGTAAATATTAAATTATTACTATTTTTAATATTATTAGGTTAATATTATGTTAATATTATGTTAATATTAAAATATTACTATTTTTAATATTATGCTACAATATATCTGACTAGGTTACTTTTGTTAAGAAAAGGAAGTTGGAGGTGATTAGTTTGCCATTTATTATTTGCAAAAGTGTAACTTAACGAAATAACTACAATAAAACCAAAATCCGAATCGTTTTTGATTATTAAAAATATGGCTTTTCGTAGAAAAGACAATGTGACAAATTAATTTAAAAAATTGTCTATGAACAATATCATAATGTTATTACAAATCCAAGTAATATTATAAAAAATTCATCATTATTTTTACACGGCGCTATAGATAATAATGATTTCATAGAAGAAACATTAAACGGGAAAAAAAGAGACATGTCACTGCTATGGTATTATATCAACCTCGTTTATCCGACTCTCTACGTGTTATAAATCTTACTTCAAACGATAACATAAAAGATATTAGTTCAGATTTTTTACACGGCAACACCCTAGAAAACTTTGTAATCACCAACAGCAAACCACATGTTCCTTTTTATGCAGATCTAGATACGTTTAAAATTTTGAGAAATCATCACTCAGAATTAATATAGATACTTAGCATGTTGAAAATTAACGATAACGGCATGATTGAACATCAACAAGAACAAGTTATTCTGAGTTGGGCTCCTTTTCATCAAGTTATAAGTACTGAAAATCATGCAGTATTCAATATTGGTTTTGTAATTTAATTCATCATTCACCTACATTTTCCGCAGTTATATTTACAGTTATGAAAAATGTTGTTGCTTTATCAGAATCAAATGGAAATACAATGTTTCAAGTACAAATATGGCATTTCATTTAATAGAAAAGTTGATTTAAAGAAAGTCAAAAAATTATTTTCTTAACATTTTTTAATATGTCTGAAACCTCTTTAGATTGCGGCCTTGATATTTGAACTAAAAATAAGTAAGGTTTTCCGAACTTGAAAATTTTTTGTTTAAACAAAATGGTGGCCGAAATGAAACATTTTTTTCTGTACCTTCACAAATTTTTTTCTGGAAAACTATAGACTCTTATTAAAATTTTCTAAGAACAAAAATATCTTAGAATCAGTCAAGAAATACTTTAGAATTTTTGAAGAATCGTCCGAAGAAAGTTTTGAATTTTCGAAGTCACGAAATTGCAAATTAAAAAATCGCATCGAAAGGTTCTGAAAAAATTTGAGAATATTATTTATTTGATTTTAAAACATTTTTATTCTTAGGAAAATTCCAATTAAGAATGTAGTTTAGGAGAAAAAAAATTCTAATGGAGTTTGAAACATGCATTTGTTTAAAAAAAAACATTATTAATATTATTAAAATATTGATAAACAAATACTGACCAGATTCGCTGCTGGCAAATTGAGGTTTATTATTCAGTAGAGTCGTAAAAACGCGATTATGGAGAAAAATTTCACCCAAATTGATTTTCGACGAATGCACTTATTTTGTCCGAATTTAAAACATTGAGCAACGATTCTAAAATATTATAAAGAATTTATTTTATTCAACGAAACTATTGTGGAAACATTTCTGCAATATTTTGATGACACTTTTGGAATGTTGTCCGAACGTCATTAAAATATTTATTAAAATAAATACATTTAGCTTACTATAAAAAATTTTGAGTACTGACCAGAGGGAATTTATTTGGTCAATGTTTTGATGACATATAAACGTTTCCAAAAATGTTGTTAAAATATTGTAGAAATGTTTCCGCAACATTTCTGTTGGCTGAAATAATATTTTTAAAAGGTTGCCTATATCTTGCCAAAAGGTTGTCAAATATATTATAGTATTATTGTGATAACATTCGGAAAGCTGTATTCAGCAACATTATAGTACCATTTGGCTTTAAACAAAGGTGGCCGTTTGCACGCTACGGAAACATTTCTGTACCATTTTTAACAATTGTCAAAATGGCTTTAATATTTTCAAAAAATTGTTTTAACATTATTTTGGAAGCAATCATCTCTGGCTGGGATGCAGTAATCTGTGGTTGTAACTAATAATTCTATAATTTTATTTCAATTTTCTTGATCATAGGAGTTGTCCCTATAAATAACTACACTCTTGTTTTTCTTATAGACGTTTCGCAATTTTATTCATTTGTTGCCACCTCAGTATACATCTGTTAAATATAAAGTGAATTACTTCAATATTACATATATTAATTAAATCAAATATAGACCTACGTTTTTTAATATGCTTTATATTGCAATGCAGATTAAATTAAAAAATTTTTTCTCCTCCAATATATAACGTCAATAATTAAAATTATAACATCAAATAAGTAATACAATAATTTACTGTCAATATGGTATAAACACATCATGTCTAGCAAAGTAAAACTAAGTGAATACGTTTGTATGTCAAACGAACGTTTGTATATCAAAAAACGTTTGATGTTATAATTTTAATTATTGACGTTATATATTGGAGGAGAAAAAATTTTTTAATTTAATCTGCATTGCAATATAAAGCATATCAAAAAACGTAGGTCTATATTTGATTTAATTAATATATGTAATATTGAAGTAATTCACTTTATATTTAACAGATGTATACTGAGGTGGCAATAAATGAATAAAATTACGAAACGTCTATAAGAAAAACAAGAGTGTAGTTATTTATAGGGATAACATGTAGGGACAAAAAAACGTTATATACATTGTTCAATTATGATTGCATATTTTTATTCAACTTCTTACATAAAAATGAGATAACATAAAATAAAACACATTTAACAAATGACAAAATATTTCAGCTAGGTATAGCTACCGTGAATCCGCTACGGTTTAAAACATTTGTCGGGCATTATTTCTTCGTTCAGTTCTCTTAAGTACAAAATACATAAAATTCGTTAGCGCCGCGCAATAACAGCAGATGAATGTTTTGTAACGAATCGCTCAAGCACGTATAGTGGAGAGGATATTTCAAATCCAGATATCTTTGATTAATATCGGCTCCCTTTCCTATCAACAGCATGCTTATGGCCGAAGTCGCATATTTGGTCGCGGTATACAATAAAGTAGCCACATCTAATGATAGACCATCCAATCAATTTCATCTATAAACAAGATGAGAATATAGTACATTAATGGCATTCTGCTCGGAGTTTTTGGCGAGAAATAGATCACATTTAACTTTCCACTGCCGAGAGATTCTTAAAGATAACAGCAATTTTGAAAAGCGAGATGACATTGGAATCACATATAATTATACGGGTAAGCCATGACGGTTAAGAATTTGAAAAGGAATTCATTTTTTAGGGCATCTTCGTTTCTATCAACAAACATCAAGAGTGCTACGTTAGCACGTCTTATTTGCGTTTCGAGATCAGCAGATTGAATTAATAATGGCAGTAGCTCATCTGAAAGCTCACTGCACACAGCCGCTTCTAAGACAGCTACCTTATTTGTATACTGCAAGTCTAATCTCTTAACCATCTCGACGATTTCTACCAACCCTTCTTGCACGGCCGTAAACAAAAACGTGCGCCCCAAATTTTCAGTGATATTAATATCGGCACCGCGCGCAATCATCAGCTTAACGATGGATGGATTTCGGTGTCTAAAACCGTGCAGAAGACTAACTGTATTACGTGCTTTATAATTCAATTCTGCTCCTGCAAATATTAAAGCTGAGGCTAACAGGCCATTGTCATTTTCCAGGGCTTCCCATAAAAGTCTGCTGCCATCGTACTCGCGACTCACAATGTCTGGTACTCGATCTATAATAGCGCATGCATAATCCGAATCGTTTTTTGCCACAGCCACACGTAACAACGTTCCAACGTCAATGGATTCTATTTGTGACCATTTTATGGTATTGCCGATGAAAGCTTGGCGCAATTCTGATGGATCGGTGATTTGAGGTTCGGAGTCCATTTTCCTTTTGTCTTCTGAGTGTTCGTATGTAATCAATTGATCCTGCAAGAATGTTTAAATAGTTAATTCTAATTAATAAATGTGTATATACAGTGCCGGTCAGCCATTTTTACCCCCCCACGGGCAAAATCAGTCTAACTTCAAAGTTTTATATCTCTGGTAGAAATTAACGTAGAGACGCGCGTCGGTGCGTTTGAAAGGTCTTTCGGAGAGCTTTCAAATGATATGACTCACGGTTGCCATCGATTGTTTTTTTTAAATTTTGCAACAATTATGCAAAATTGAAAATTCTGAAATTTTTTTATTATTTTTGACAATTAGCCAATTTTGGAAAAAAAATCGTACGAAAATTTGAAGTACACCATTTTTTAGCTATTACCAAGCCCTATCTGAATCACTCATCAAAAATTTATTTTCGTCAAATATGACGCGCGCACGGGCATTTTTTCCTGGAAGTGACAGTTTTTTTCAACATTTTTTATCTCCGTCAAATTGTAACAATCGAAAAAAATTTATAGGTGAAAAAATGTTTGTTTTTTCACGTAGAATACTGCAATAATTTTCTTTTCGGTTTTTCGAAAAATTTTTTTTTTCGGTTTAAATTATTTTTCAAGGTCGAAAAAAAAAGATTTTTTTTTTTATGTAATTTACGATACTTGTTATATAGTATTATTGAATGGGTGGAAAATTTTTTTTGTGGTTTCTCATCTTTTTAGCGTACCGACTATGAGAAAAAAAATTGAAAAAAACCGAAAAAAAAAAAATTTTTCGAAAAACCGAAAAAAAAATTATTGCAGTATTCTACGTGAAAAAACAAACATTTTTTCTCCTATAAAATTTTTTTCGATTGTTACAATTTGACGGAGATAAAAAATGTTGAAAAAAACTGTCACTTCCAGGAAAAAATGTCCGTGCGCGCGTCATATTTGACGAAAATAAATTTTTGATGAGTGATTCAGATAGGGCTTGGTAATAGCTAAAAAATGGTGTACTTGAAATTTTCGTACGATTTTTTTTCCAAAATTGGCTAATTGTCAAAAATAATAAAAAAATTTCAGAATTTTCAATTTTGCATAATTGTTGCAAAATTTAAAAAAACAATCGATGGCAACCGTGAGTCATATCATTTGAAAGCTCTCCGAAAGACCTTTCAAACGCACCGACGCGCGTCTCTGTACGTTAATTTCTACCAGAGATATAAAACTTTGAAGTTAGACTGATTTTGCCCGTGGGGGGGTAAAAGTGGCTGACCGGCACTGTATTTAGAGGTTCAATGTTTTCAGTTGAATCAAACAAATTGCGTTTCTTGAAAGAAACAATAAGAAAAAATTATACTGAACGAGAATGGTAACGACTATATCAAACGGCTGTATGTATTCTTATTTAATTATTAACCCCTTAAGGCCCAGGCTAAAATTAGGTATGATAGTATCAAACTAACTATTGGAAACAGGGCATGATCACAAAAATATATCCGTATTTTTTCTTTATCTTTCCATTTATTTTACAAGAATTTATCCATATTAATTAGTTGGATCTTGTTATTGTTGGTAATCTTATTAATTTTACATATAAAAATAATTTTAAGTTGATGCAAAAAAAAAATGAAGTGATTTAACGTTATAGATTAATACTATTGAAATCGAATTTCTCACGTTATAACTCATGCGGAATTTCCCCGGAAAAAAAGTGTGAAATGGCTTAATGCCATCGATCTCTTCAATGAAAATTTATGCCGTAAAAATGACTTCCCTCACAGCTTTTATAGTTCACAAGTATAAAACAGTAACTTACAGTGTTTCCAGTATCCCAAGCTCCAATCGATACTGCTGAACAACTTATCGCGGATAATGTTATTGCTTGCACTTTTAAGAATATAAATATTTAATCTGTAAAAGTGCACTGCAAAGTCAATAGTATTAAAGTCACTATTTATAATGTACTGTATAATAATCGACAACGACTACAATAACTTTAAGCTTCGTAAAAATGCTTTCTTTTGAACAAAATTTGAGCAAGAAACCAAGAGAATCATCAGGTGCAAGAGCTACTGACAGACTGACGGCGTTGACAAAGTAGGAACCATGGTGGGGATAAGGTTTTCCAAGCATTTGCACTAGTATAGTTTGGTGCACGGACCCCCCTCTTCCTTACTGAAAAACGCCCAATTGTCCTTACACAGACCGCCAGAAATCTTAGACATCGAGGTCTCTAGCACTACATTATCTTTTCTTTCTGTATGCTCAATATTACATATTACGATACAAATATGAGAATAGTATATTCGTATACTAGTACGACAAAATGATTCAAGCCTTGTATAGACAGTTGCGCCCGAGCGAAGCTAGGTTAAAATCACTTTCTCGCACACATATCTAACTTGATTTTTTGATACGACGTGCGTAAAGTCGTGTGTCGAAATAGTACATTACGATACAAGTGCGGTAAAGTAGATTTTTTAAACGCCACACGAGACGAGGAACTCTTTCGCGAACACGCGTCGTACAGTATTTTTCGATACGACGTGTGGAAAAATACTGTACTTGTATCGTAATGTACTTTCCGTTTCGTGTGCCCTTTACGTCCGAGCGATGCGAGGCCCACAACGATAACTTCTTTTTCCGAACAGGTATCTTACAGTAGTGTTGGATACGATGTGTGCAAAGGACAATCCAAGACCGCGTAAACTGTTACCAACGTGCCATATACTTGCTATTACATTCGTGGCGACGAGACGTATATCATTCTTCTGCTCAGCGAGGCTGTACTGATCCACCGTGGCCAGGAATTTCGAGCCATTGAACAAACAAATCTTTATGAAGAAATTGAAATGAATGAAAAACAGATTGAAATATATCGAAGGCTTTTGCACGAGCAAGAGAACGGTTAGCAGTTTGAACCAATTTGTAAAAATAAAATAAAATAAACCTTATGTAAAATTAGCAATAATTGCATTTTTTAGAACGTAAAATTCATTAAATTAAAGAAAAACATTATTCTTGGAAAACAATAATATATTTTTTACGAAACTCAGTAACATATTAATCTGCAATTGCGACGTATGATCGTCAGCCATTAGAAGATAATAGCAATCTGCAGGCTACTTTGGATTTTGGCGGATTGCAAGTAAATGCAAGAAAATAATCTTTTTTCGAGACTATTTTAATTAAAAATTAATGTGTTCAATTTTAAGAAAAGAGGTACTATTCGAAATATTTGTGACAAAAATATAAATGAAAAAAGTTTTATTGAATCTACGTGAAGCAACAGCATGTTAGTTAATAATTAATGAACATAAAAAATCTGGTATACGACTAAACACAAATATTAATGCCTAAGTTGTTTTTCTAGTTTTTAATTAAAATTTAAATGCAACGTTTGCTGTCATCGAGCACTTCTTTGTTCCAACAAATAGTCATAATTGATTTCAAAATGATGTGATCAATGCAAAGTAATTAGTAAATTATAAATATTGGCAGAACTCTCAAAAAAATATAAAATTTGCAATTCCTAATTTTGCAAGATTCAAAATATATTGTACATTGTTTCAACTTTTTATTTCTTAATCAGAAAAAAGCGGTGCAAACAAATTGTTCGATAGTACATTTGTTCATGTGCCGACAGTCATTCGATTCCCGAGACAGCTGACAAGCTTCTAAATTTCAAATTATTTTCTTTCAAATTCTGACAACGGTCGATTATATATTATATCGATGCTAGAGAGAGAGAGAGAGAGAGAGAGAGAGAGAGAGAGAGAGAGAGAGAGAGAGAGAGAGAGAGAGAGAGAGAGAGAGAGAGAGAGAGAGAGAGAGAGAGAGAGAGAGAGAGAGAGAGAGAGAGAGAGAGAGAGAGAGAGAGAGAGAGAAGACCCTAGACCCTAGATGCTGAAATATGCTTCTTGCTTCTGACTTATATATACATTTACGAAGTGCTTAAATCATTGTTTATGGACCATCTAACAAGCAATTAAACTTTCCTATCATTAAAATGAGGCTCCTTCCTCCGTTTTTTCTCTGCCCTTCCTTCTTCAACTTCAATGCCACTACCTATTTTTTCTGAACTTTCTATATTAGTCTACCTGTCAATTTCGCATCAATGTTTCTCCTCTCTTTTGTTCTCTTTCGGACTTTTTTTCCCCTAAATGTCGACAACAGAAAATGCATTTTATTGCCGGAACGAGGGGATTTTTGGTAAACTTGTGCATTGTCTATTGTGCATAGACCTACCAGACACGAATTTTATTTACAGCACATTTTATTTTTAATGAAAAATAATATTTTCTATATGGTTAATTAAGAACATAAAATATTTTATTGCGACATTATATTATGCTATGAATATCGCATATTGTAAACAACCGGCAAATAACTCTCTTTCTCTCACTCACTCATTATTGCACTTTAATTTGCACAGACACAAAAAAACAGTCATACAAATGAATTTTTCATTCTATATATTTCATTTATGTAATAAAAATCTGAAGAGACTCACCTTTTTCGGGTCATGGAAAACTTCTGACCTGCAGAGTTGTCTTCACTTTTTAGTCATAGTGGACGATATGCAGGATGGCATAAATTAAGGTATGTAATTTAGTTTTGATTAATTTTTATTTATATCGATACGTTCAGTATTCACGACACAAATACGTATAACAAAATTAACTTGAATCTATCTTATTTACATCTAACAACTTTCGTAAAAAATACATATGAACTTGGTTCATAAAAATTTATAGCCTATTTACATTTTTCAACTTATAGAAACTAAAATTCGTGTACGATTCCGTAATTCGATAAAAAAACATTTTCGTTGAAGAATACAGGAATAAAGTATCGTTCTTTACTTTTTGACCGTAAAACTATTTACAATATATAAATAATATTTTGAAACTCAATCGAAGACGTTTCTATGCATTGCACGCAAAATCATGAAATTTGGCTTGAGGCAAATTTATTGCAAATCCTGGAATTTACACTGTAATAATAAATTCTCCGGAAAATAGTTAACTCTAACAATGAGCAATCTTCAATGCACATACCCAATATTTCTTTTATCACAGCATTCATTGCACTAACCTTCAGTCGCTCATGACGGAAAAGTAATAATTTTGTTTCATCGATATAATTTGATCAAGGCACATGTAACGAGTTATCATATCAACCGCGACATACGGCAAAATATTGCGAGATATCTCGTTAACAATTCGTCTCTTTTCGGCCGCCATAATTTTCATACGCTGCACTTGTTTGTATATATGGCGACTCTCTTTGTAATACAAGGGGAACGCTTTTCTCCACTTTGTCTTAAAGTCATCAGGCATGTTCGAAAAGTTCAATTTTACTAGCGACATTAAGTTTTTCACACTCCCATCTAAAAAGCGAGAAAATGTGACGCGCTCACAAATGACCGCCTCATTCATCATTTGTAATTCCGTCAAACATCTTTCGTAGTAATCCTGCATATCGAGATTCGCGCGAATCTTTAGCAAATCAGTTCGATTAACGGTCCTTTGTTGAATCATCGAGATCGCAATGTATTTGATAATACAGGCCTGAATTTCATTGAAATTTTCCGTCGAGATGAATGAGAACGGAGTTCGACCACTTTTGTCAATGATATTGATGTCTGCCCCGAGGCGTAACAGTAGCTTGACGTTCGGCAGTAGCTCTTGTTTGCACGCCGCGTGAATCGGGAACTGCCCATTATAATCGTCGCTACAATCGTGGACGCTAGCACCACTCTCGATGAGGATCTTGAGAATCGTTGGGTCTTTGTGCTGTGCAGCCGCATGCAGTGGGACTTTGCCGTTTCGTAGTTTTTTAGTTAGGTCCGCGCCGTACTCTAGCAATAATTCTACCTACGAGGAAAAATGTGGAACGTTATTGGACGCCAGTGACACACGCGAACTTGAAGAATATTAAAGAGATGCTTATACTTACTTGATCGATCTTTTTGTCGAAAACCGCCTCGTACAGCAAAGTACATCCTTTCCTGCCTTGCGTATCAAGAGGAAATCTCATGTCCAATATCATGCGGATGTGTCGGTAATTGGCGTTTAAGTCGCTTAGCGCGCAAAAGGCGTCGACGCATCTTTTATTTCTCGTCGTGACATCTCCCGAGTATGCGATGAGCATCGTCAGCATTTCTTCCACATATTTGCTTTTGGCAGCCACATAAATTACGCTGTGCCCCGCCTTGTTGACCACGTCAACTCTTGCGCGCTTTCGAAGTAACATATTCACTATCCTCGGCGATCCATATTCAACAGCTACGTGCAGAACGCTGTTGTCCATTTTGTCAACAGCATTCACATCCGCTCCAGACTGCAATAGCTGTACCGTGAGTGACGAAAATCTATCTTCACTTTTTGCCACCAGCCAGTGCAGATATGTAGCACCAGACCCGCGGTTAACCCTATTTAAATCCGTACCAGCGCGGATCAACCTCTCGGCAACATCCAGCTGCTCCATATACAAGGCATCCCACAAGGTCGTGTCGTTGGGGTCATTGTCAACCACCGACAATGCAAGTCTACAATTCGTGATAGCGCTCACGAGCGCGCTATCGTTTCTCTTCAGTGCTGACATCAAAAGAGCTTGCAGGTTCTTCCACTGAGTGCGTTTAGGATCTACGATATTTCGCATTACAATATCACGCTCGACGTCAAATTTGTCGGGTGAACCCGTGACGGGATATAAATGATCATTATCATTATCGACACGTCGCTGGTACGGGTGTTGTGACATCATTTCTTTGGATTGGCGTGTCACTGGTGCTGACTTTTTAGCTCTGCTAAAAATGCATATTATTAATATTTCATTATATACCGCGTTAAGTTCGTTTAATTAATAATTTAATTGGATCTTTACTTGAATCTCGACAGTTCTGCGTCCTGCGAATGTGCGTTTGAATTTACCATCGGGCTGGAGCAACTTAGTAAAAACTCTTCTAGGAGTCTTCTTGGGTGTTTAAGAATACCTAGTAGTCATCTGGTGTTCATTTGTTATCTGTGAAATTCCTGTGAAGAAAAATGATTAAGCGTGACACTCAAATACGTTCATTGTTACTAGTTAATGTTCAATGATACAATTTCTTATGTATGCGCGTGTGTGTGTCCGAAGTTTGATGGATTAAAAAACCGATTTATTTATAATAATTTTGTGTGATTTTGAACGTTTTTGTAATAACATTCATAATAAATTCAGTTAAATAAATATTAACAATTTGATTTACGATCGTATAAATTGCGTTATTTTGATAGGCTTGCAGAATCAAGAACGGTACATTTCAACACACGACGCGGAAAGTATAATTTTTCCGCACGCTCGGCAAAAGACACGCGCTCGAAATCGCGCTTTCCATGTGCTGCTTTGAAAATGAATAAACGTACGTGCAGTGGAGGAGCAAAAGAAATAGTACACGAAACTTGGGCTGAAAGTTGGATTTGATATCCGGTGACCCGAAAGTAACATAGGTCGAGAAGTTATTACTTTCGAGACGTTGAACAAAAAGTAAATTTATAACGATTGCGCGTCTTATACAAGCCAATAATTATGAGCCCCATAAAAATAAAAAATCAACAAAGCGTCATCACGAATCATCAGATGCACATGTGTCCCATAGTATAGAGAACTCGCTTGTCTCTTATAGGCAGTAGTATGTGGAAAGAGAGAGGAGAGAGAGAGGAGAGTGAGAGATAGAGATAGAGAGCTGCAGGATTTTACAGTTCACGTATGGGCCTTATACTAGTCTGCGTTTCTGTACTTACCTATAAGATATTAGAACGGAAATGACTCTTTCAACACAGACTGGAATAATGAGCGTGCGCTCTATTATCTATTTGTATTTTCACTGGACTGTCAAAGTCTGGTAGTATCGCGAGAAGCAAACCAAAAAATTGAAGAACATAAATGGAATGAGTCTATTTGGTCTCTCGACACGAGCGTGCAACAGCTGCAAGAGAGCAAAGACTACTGACGTGCCGAGCGGCTAGAACTCAAACGGTGCATCCCTCGGAGCTAATAGAGCTGGAAGTGGGGGAGTTCTTTGCACTACGCTCGGTCAGCTTAGGGAGAATAGAACGAGCGATTTTTCCGCCGCCATAGCCTGAAATGCCGTGTCCGTGTGGTTGTGTGCGTAGTCCGTGTCTATAGTCCTAGAGGAAAAGTGCACGAAAAAGGATGGGGAGCGACGATGCCGCCGCTGTAGTCGCAGCGTGACAGTGGGGGAGAAAAAGAACAGAGCTCTTGGAAACTCTGTGCATCTGTGTGAGTGCGAAAAGGATAGAACCAACGCGGCTTAGGTCGTTAAGATTTCTCTGCCCCCCCCCCCCCCCGTCTCTTCCCTCCTGCCCCTTAAAATCATGTTCTTTTATAAGGACTGTGTCAATAGATTGATTTCGATCTATTTTAGTACGTTTCAAATGTGAGTTATTTGATAAATTGGTGTTATTTTGTTGTAGTGACTTCGTTAGAGATACATTTGTTTATTTATTGAAATGTAACGAAATTAATTTTTTCTTACTGGGGCTCAAACAGTTAGAACAATAGAATTGAAAAGGCTAATTTACATTTCATTTATTATATAATTACTTAATTTAATTCATTGGAATTATTCGGGTTGCAATCGATTTTATTATGCTAATAAACAATTAGATCTGCTTTTAGTACGTTAAATAAAAACTCATTGAAAATATTATGGGCTTAGAATAGCTTGTAGTGGTGAATCGGTGTGACACTGCGAGAGAGAGAGAGAGAGAGTAGCGCGGAAAATCACAAGGTCGTTGCGGAAAGTGGGGAAGTAGAAAGTGTGGGCCTTGTGGCCCTTTAAGCGTCGGTTCTGAAAGATACGAAGGTCATTTGAAATTCACAAAAATTTAACAAAATACATAAGAAGTAAATTTAAACTGTAACACTTTTGCACGGTAACTTGGTAAAAACGTTCTATAAATATTTTTCAAAGTCTCTTGTTTGAAAATGATTCTTCATAAATGTTGAGAATTTTTCTTATTCTTCGTTAAGATTTGCTTTGTCAACATTCATACAGATTCATGTCCAAACTTTGCAAAAGCTATTACAAGTTTTTCACATGAAACGCACAAAATAAGTAATCTAGCTATCAATCATTGATTATTTCTCGAAGCTGCACACAATAGAGAGATATGCCGCAGTCCCCATATTACTATTTCCATCAGTGCCGTATGTCAGTAAGATGATAATCTATATTAAATATCAGTTGGTAGATAAATATTCTCATGAATCCATCTTACTCACTTTTATTCTATATATTTAATAGTTCATCATACTACATAAATATATAACAATTTGATTTTATTACAACTCACAATCAGTCAGTAATTATTAAATCGAATAATTTTTATTATTTACAATATACGAATGATCGCTCGAAAAGTATAGAACTGATTAGCACCCATGTAGTCTAATTACATTAAAATAACAATAATTTACATGGCATCGTCCCATGTAAAACAATATATAAACAAAATGTGGGCTATGTATGTGAAAACTAAATAGGTTGTTACAAGAATGCTAGGTCCTTTTTTATAGAGTAAAATGATTAAAACTGGCCTAACTTTATGTCAGATTATTTAAAAACTAAAAAAATCATAAAAAATAAATAAATGAATTAAAATATACAAAGTGATTGTAAATAAATACACAAACGGATATAATATTTATATCCGTATACAATATTAGGAATTTCAGGAAGTGTGTTTCTACCGAATTTAGTTTCTTCTGACTAAACACGGGATATAGAAAAATGCTGGGTTATTTAATAACGGATAAAAAATGATTGAGCATCTAAATATTTGTTTCCTCGCATCATCATTTTCATCTACGGATATCAGGTAAATCACTGTGATATTTTCTCCCAGGGCAAACAAAGGCTGGGCAGAATGTGAAAGTATGAAAAAAAAATTTTGTTAACTCAGCTGACCGCCAAACAATACATTTTGAGTGATAATCATTATTTATGGCAGACATAAATAACCACTTATCACAAGCACTTGTTGAGGTTTGTGCATAATTTTTTCGGCTACTTTCTACTTTTTTATCTTGTTTTTGTCCCAGGAAAAACCTTTGACAGCGATTTCTATAAAAATTACATTATATGAATAATCATTGTGGACTGTGTTCGCTCATTTTCCGAATTTCTAAATTAAATTTTTAAATAGAAAAAAATATGAATTATGAAAAATTAAATTTTTAAATAGAAAAAAATATGAATTATGAAAAATCCATTTGGAATACCTTGTCTTCCATGCTTTTTATTTCATGTTGATTTTTTCGAAAAGTCTAAGATAAATTCTTACTTTGTACTTTATAAAGTAAAAGTAGCTACTACTAGACTTGGAGCATAATATTAACCATACTTTGCTCATATTGGACGCATAATTTGCACATTGCCTTTTACAGGGGATTATATGCTTTTGTATTTGTCAAATACTGAAATGATTGTCCAATTAAAAATAGTCCGACAACACTTGTTTAGTTATTTCGTTAATTGTTCAATCACAAATATAATATATAGTCTTGCTTAGAGCATCGTCTGTTAAAATTCCATTCGATATTTTACTCGGAATATTTTCTTTATCACCTAGCACACTCTTCCTTTTTAGGGAGTTCTTGATAGCAACGTTCGAATGTATGTCCGAAAAGTATATAGGAAATAACTTTTTTTTATGTTTTCTGTTGTAACTTTTAAACAAATCTCTATTCTCAAACAACAAAGTCCTCTGTTGTTTGCTTGCTAAGAAAATAGAGAAAAACGAAAGATCGTTGTAAATGTTCAATCTCTTCATATTCTCCAATTCGGCCAAGCAATCTTCGTAGAATTCTTGCATGTGGGAGTTTTCATAAATGACCTCCAAATCTAAATCATTGATCATGAAACCTTTTGAAATTATGAGGGCGAAATGCTTAATAACATATTTCACAGCGCAAGTCAAAGTTTCAGTGCTCATCAGGGAAAATGGAGTGCGATCACTGCGATCAACGACATTGATGTCAGCGCCAAGGCTCAGTAGCAACTGAATGTTTGATAATGATTCATTCGCGCAAGCCGCGTGAATCGGATATTGGCGATCCTCGGCGTTGCGATCGTGAATGCTTGCCCCATTTTCAATCAGCAACTTAGCGATGGTAGATTCTGTGAGGCCTGAAGCTACAAATATTGGTAGTACACCATTTACAGATCTTTGGTTGACGTCTGCACCATATTTTAAGAGTAGTTTGACCTGAAAACGAACAAATCATTAATTTACAACGTGTGATAATTTAAATTCCAAACATACAATACGAAAAATCAAATTAATAGAAATTTTTTTTACTGAACATTTAACGAAACAATTAAAAATAAATTTCAAAGCTTTATCTGCTGGAGGCATCAATACCGTGGCTAATGAGCGAAGTGGCCATCAGCCTTGAAATGTTCAGTAGCGATAGGATCTGAACGGCTTCAACTTCGCCCTAGACAGCATAAATATTTAATAGTTCTTTTTTACTTTTTCAAGACTTGTTACGTTTTCAATAGTTATAATGCGAACATAAAAAACATTTTTTAACAGTAAAAAATCACCTAAAAAAAATTTAATGAAAAATGAAAAAGCGTTATGTGATCTCACCACGTCAACTCGTTCGAAAATTGCTGCGTAAAGAAGCGAAGACCATCCGCAAGAATTAAACAGATCGACAGGCACTTCACAATCTAACAGACTTTGAATAGTCACCACTCGATTGCTATTATCTTGAGCGATGAGACACATAATCGCATTGCCAGCTTGCCTATGTTTAGTCTCCGTATCGTTACCGTGGCTCTCAATAAGCAGTGGTAGGAACTTAGTGGCTTCCGTTATCGAAGCTGCACAATTAATAACGTGATCTTCGACTACGGCATTCCGTTGCAACAATTCAAAAATCACGTGCATCAATTGCTGTTTCACAGCGTAATACAACGGGGTGTAACCTTTGTAATCGCGCGCGTTAACGTCAGCTCCATGCCTGATCATCGACAGAGCCAGTTGATGTTTCGTGAGACTAGTACTGGCAATCAAGGCGTGCAGGTCACCGAGATCGCGCGTTCGCTCGTTTGGATCGGCGCCCGCGCGCACCGACATCGAGGCCATTCGAGTGTCGCTGCCTTCGATTACATAGAATTTGTCCACCCTCAGTGCAGTCGAGGTTAGATCGGAGTTGGAGCAATTTATTCGCCGGCAACGAGCTGCTAGATTTGACGGTGATTCGTAGAAACCGAAGCAGATGCGGCTGTTGGATTGCCAACGATTTGACGCCCTCGTTGAGAATCAATTTGCATACTATTTGTCGGTCTAACTGCGCGATCACGCGTTGTAGCTCGAGCTGTTAAACGCCATGCCTATCCTTCATCTGCACATCGTTTTGCAAGCCAGCACTGCGATCGCGATGTGGATCCCTTGAAACAGCAAATAAAAATTGTTTCGTTATTCACACATTTGCGACGTTGGCCATTGAGACTAAAACGTTGCGTGCACCTACCGCATGCGTCTTCTAAGTAATCACAACTAGTGACGACAGCACTCGATAAGTGTTTCTCGAAGCAACTGCGAGTAAAGGATGAATAAGCGGAGACGAAATTATAAGCTTTATTTAGGGGCTGAGATCGGATCAGGCCAAATGTCCGCCCTCCTTCTATTGTCTTGCATCCTTGGCGCGTAGCCGACGTTCGCTGATTGATCCTTTCAACTACTTCTTATTTCTGCGCTTATACACGAGTAAAAGCAATCGGATTTCAAAGGAAAGACGGATAAACTAAAACTATAAAAGAATTATATATATTATATCCTTGATATTCTATTTCACAACATTGATTGGTTCATAGAAATTGTATATATGTATATATGTATATATTTTTGACAATTGCGAATTAATTTGCCAGATATATCATATAATTGACAGTCGAAAAACAAAGGGGATAAGCTTGGAAAAGATTCTGGCAACTACGGCTCTACTTGAACAACTCAAAACCCGTATAGGCATATATAATAGAAAAGTAGGGGCCACAGTTTTCTACCTGTCAATGTAAGCATACGCGGATGGATACACGCACGGACACAAACGCAATCCTACGGATATAATTCATAAAAAATGACTTTTCCCATGATTTGTAATGAAAATATTGTAGAAAAATTTTTTGTTTATTACATGCGGAACTCCATCTCTTTCTAGCTATTTCTCTCTCTCTCTCTCTCTCTCTCTCTGTCTCTGTCTCTCTCCGTCTCTCCTCTCTCTCGTTTTCACTCTTTTTGTCTCTCTGTTTCTCTCTCTCTCTCTCTCTTTCGGCCAAGGTAAGTATTAGTTATTTATATGCCTTATGCGAGTCAAGCGCCAATATGGAGGGGGAAGATATCTGTTACCGCAGGACAGTATATCTTATATCCCCGCGCTACAAACTTCTTTCGCGTGCCTTACTATCGTTAGGTTTGGTCATGGTGCTTAAAAAATTTTATAAACATGGCGAAGGCACATTCGAGATACATGAAGGCTACACTCAGTGAATATATGTACGACGCAACTGTATACTATATATCCTTTCTGCTAACATGTGACCCATGTGCTAGCAACACGATACAATATACTATAGCACGTAGTTGACTGCCTCGACTCCGTCTCAAATGTCAATCTACACGTGCTGTGGGCTCGCTGATATCACTGCCATGGATCATGTATTATTTTTTATTCAGTGAAACAGAAATTACCATACTACCGACCGAGCCGCGACCGTGGAACGAATGCTATATACTTTCATGCCAGGCTCGGTCGGCAATATACTAATTTCAACCTCATTAGGCAAAAATAGTAGATTACAACGAATGGCCTGGATGTTCACCTCAGATGTCCATTTACATGTGCTGCGGACTAGCCAATACTTTCCTGGCCTTGTGTCATCTACAATTTTTTCCCAGAAAGACTGAAATTAACATGTTACCAACCGAGCCTGCTACTTTTTGGCCGCTGAACAAAAAAATAGTATACGTATCACGGCCGGAAAATTGACAAGCTATTAGCACGTACTTGTCAACCTCGGCTGCTATTCGGTTGTTAATTCTGACATACTATGGACTTGTACACTTACTTTTCCAATATAAGAATGGAAAATAATTCTAATGTAATAATTTATTATCATTTAGTGAAAATGTTTACTGATGTAACCTTGAAATTTGTACACATTTAGACTTGATAGAAAAAGAACATGTTTATTTTAAAAACGAACAATTATGTATTTTGTCAAAAGACGAGGAAAAAGAATATTTCTCGTTTTCATTACATCACACTTTTTATTTGACATATATACAATTAGAAAAATGTCATATTCATAGATTAAATTATCAATGGTTATAAATCAGAAGCTAAAATCGTGCTTACGTTGAGTTATACACATATATTTGTAGAAGATATTTATATATATCTTTAGACAATTTCTACGAGTAGAAAAAAAATATATTCTTACGTTGAACGCGGCATAATTAATTTAAAAGAATCTTTATAGTTTGTGAATTTGCAGTGAAAAATGTTTGCTATTGCTGCAAACATTTTATTTGCACAGCAAACAAAACTTTGCAATCCACAGATTTGATTGATTAGAAATTACAGTATTGACTCCTGTACAAGTAAAATCCTATCCGAGAAAGAAATTTCGTGTCTGGTTGTTTCAAATACAATCAAGCCAAAGAGGCTTGGAATGTCGCAGTACGTCATCTACGGAGCTTCTATATTAATGCTCATCTTCTTAACAAATTTCGTCATGCGGAGAAAAATAGAACTGTTGCTGTAATATTTCAGATTCCTCGTAAGACAAATAGCTCGCAATCTTTGCAATCACTAACCTAGGCAAAATGCCTTGAAATATTTCATTCAAGGAATCCTCATTATGTACATATATATCTTTCGTATTCTCAGCAATTATAAATACATATTTCATCTCTACTAGATACAGCGAAAATAATGACTCGTGCTGGCTTTTAAAATTGTTAACTATATCTCTATTTCTAAGAAGCTTCGACAATTCGACGATATCCTTAGAAAAGAAGCAGAAGAACGAGATAGTCTCGTAGATCTTAGTATCTTTCATCTTTTGTAATTCGTTTAAACAGTCCTCGTAAAAATTGTTGATTATAGCACTGTTCTTGATGACTTTGACGTTATTTTTGTGAATCTGTAGACCCTTCGTCTGCAATAATGCGAGATGTTTCAAAATTAACATGACACACGGTAGGGTGGTTGGTGTCAAAACTAGGTACTGAAACGGAGTGAGGCCCCGACCGTCTTCAGCGTTCAAGTCCGCGTCGAATTGCAGCAACAAGTGAATGTTTTGAAACGAAGCGGCTTTGCAGGCTACGTGAATGGGATGCCGCTTATCGTCGTCATAGATTTGCAGATCGGCACCTCGGTCAATCAGTATTTTCGTGATGGAAGAATCTTGTAGCTTAGCTGATTCAAATAGCGGTGTTGAACCTATGATAGACCTTATATTTATCTCTGCTCCGTAATCTAACAATATCTCTACCTGCACCCGTAATCACGCAAAATAAGAATTCACTAAAAGTTGCTTTTACGAATGACAAAATTTTTTAGATCAATGGAATGACAAAAGTATAACTTACGACATTAGTCCCCCCACTCGAAGCCGCCCAGTGAAGCAACGACATGCCAGCTTCATCTATCTCATTGACATTCACATTCATTTGCAGCAATTTTCGCATGGCGCCCAATTTTTGCACTTCATTGGTGATGACAAGATACTGCAAGGCAATCATGGCTTTTCGACTCCTGGTTTCTTCGTCAACGTTGTAGGAAACGAGTATGGGCAAGATAGCTTCAGCGTAGACATTACAGGTGGCCGTAAGCAGAAGATCGTGACCATCGTTATTTATGGCCTCGATGTCCGCGCCTCTGTTCAACAGCTCCAGGACGAGAGCGCAATCCGCGTCGTACTGCATCGCCACGTGGAGGACGGAGTTGCCTTTGGCATCGCGAGCGTTAACGTCAGCGCCGTGCTCGATCATGAAGACGGTAATCTCGGTATTAGTATACATTTGCCACCACATGATGACGGCGTGCAGGACACTCGGTTGCCTCGGATCACTGAGCAGCTTCTCGCGCAGGTCCGCGCCGGCGGATACCAGCAAGCGCATGATCGGCAAGTCACGATGTTTTATGGCAACCCATAACGGCGAGTCGTTGTAGCCTTCGGGAGTACTCAGGTCGGGCTTGGCTTTCAAAAGCTCCTTCACTAGGTTGCTGTCGTAGGATTGGACGGCGTGCCACAGGAAGCGAGTCAAGAGTTTCGGTTCGACATCCGACAGCGAGACATCTGTGCCGAAGATGAGCTGTCGTCCTTTCTCTATGTCGGCGTTCACAATAGCGTCTAGCAATTCTTGATGTCGACTTGATTTATACTTTTTGTCTGCTTTCCCCTCGAGCGATTCGTTCGTATCCATGTCGAACCGCTGGACTCGCAGTGAGATTGAGACGGGGTGAAGTCGAAAGAAGTGGATATTCACAACTCTTATTCACATAACCACTTTGAATGAGATGACGTCGACGACTAAACCCTAAGCGGTTAGTCTAAGTCTCGCCAATATCTATAACAACGGCCAATCCAAGATAGGGGAAGAAGATGGCTCATTAACGTTAACTACTTATTTCTGGCGAATCGCTACAATTTTATATTTAGCTATACAATAATACTATTCCAAGGGTAAATGGAAAATCGAATTTTTAAAGAAAATTGAACTAATACTATTTTCCCTACTTGGCTATTTTTTATATTCCCTGTAACTTTATAATTACAGTATTCCCAAAAAATTTCCCACGTATGTTTAAAACTTAATTGTAAACGCATAAATTATATGAAAAAGGAGCTATCGTACGCATGCAAAGCTCTACGGTATAAGGAATGCAAATTAAATCTACGATAGTTCAAATCTCCGTTAAATTGAAATGAAGATACACGTGTACTTATTTTCATTCGTCGCTCGTTATTGATCATGATGGCAAAAGTTTGATGGAAATAATGATTTTTGAATCGATGGTGGAATATCAATAGAAATACTTTTACTTATAGAATAAAATACTTTTGCCCTTATCTAGTAAATTAAAAATGTATTTAATTTAAATAGATTATTCTTGAAGTCATGTATAACATAAATTGTTATTGTTGAATCTTCAGAAATTAGCATTTTCCACTTATGAATCAGTTAATAATGTGCTAATTTTGGCTTCACTGGGCAAAAAAATAATATATGACCGATGGCCGTAATATGAGCTAGCCCATAGCACGTGTTCGAAATGAGTTATGGATTTACTAATACTTCGTCGGCTTTGGGTTTCGATCTATTAATACGCACAACAACTGGAACAATCGGTAAGCCTATAGCACATGTTCCTCGCACGATATGGACTTACGATAGTACATTTCGATACTTCTACGAGAAAGTGATTTTAGCCTCGCGCGGCCTCTTCACTTTCGCTACGCTCGGGCGCAAACGTCCACACGAGGCTAAAATCACTTTCTCGCAGTAGTATCGAAATGTACTACCCCGACCTATGCACGTAATATACTATTTGTAATTTTCATATTGGCCTCTCTAAAGATACAATTGATAATGAAAAATGCTAAGACCATCATATCTGTTATAAGTTTATTACACGTAAACAAAGTCTAAGAAATTATTATTGAACGAAATGCATTATTTACTGAGCAACGATCATCAGTTAATGATAAACTTTTCCTAGTAGTGATACGAAGAAGATAGAGATATAATTTTCACGCATGTATCAACAATCCGCAGATGTTATGAAGTACCCAATACGTAAATGGTTTTATGCCAATATTCAACAGCTATTATATTAGAAAAGTAATCCATAAAAAATTGGTATGTTTGGCAACATTGAATCGCATAATATTATTAATAAGTGCTGTTCAATTTACAGGTTCTTTACTTAACATACTAATATTTCATGATGATTCGTGCTACGTTAGCACAAAAAAATGCTGATTTCAAAATGTGTTTTTTTTTTATTTTTAATTGACCTTCTTCTCTCAACAATCTGATGGAGTTCATTATATTTACAGTACTGTATAGAAAACTATATGAGATTTAATATGCAAAGATGATGAACATTTTTATAAACACAAATGATATAAATAAAAAACCTATTATTACCTACTTGAAACCTGTTAGAGTTTTTTTTTAAGAAACAATATATATACAAATCTTTTCTTGAAGAATAATTAGACGTTCTAAATAATTTCATTCAAGTCAATTGAAAAAAATAGTGGAGCTTCAGTTGTTATGTTGGTTTTTTAATTATTTTGCAAGTAAAAGAGCTAAATTAGCGTATATTCGTAATAATTTTAAAGTTTAATCTAAATTACCATTTTTTTATTATTCCTTTATTTTTATTTTATATATAAATAATAGAACTTACATATGACACATTTTGACATTTTTTATACTAGAAATACAATCTTATAAAAATATTTTTTTCTTTGTATACCTGTAACCACTCAATCTCATACCTCTTACATTAATTTGACGGATTAATTAAATTAATAAATTATTCAATTAAAAAGCATGATTTACATTTACATTTACTAACACTTTTTTATTCAACTGGATTCGTCACTCGCTGTAAAACAGCGTTTCTATACTGCAGCAGCATGACGCCACATAATTCCGGAAATTCTTTCATTATAAATTTGCTATTTTGAAAAAAATTATGAACATCGTTCTGCTCCCACTCTGTCAAGGATCGATAAATAGAAAGACTATCATTCATAAAAGTTTTCACAGTTAAACCACTACATATTTCTGTGTTGCACATTTTGTTCACTTCTTCTTCACATTTTAACAGAATACTGTCATTCATAAAACATCTATTTTGTATTAATTTAAACATATCATCTTCAACGGAGCTTCTCAAAAGTCCAAAAATCTTCATCTTACATGCTTGAATTCGAAGTAGTTCAATAATTTGAGGTATTTGCTTTGGTAGAAAATGATTCCTTGACATTGCTAATAAAGACATAGATAGTGGAGATTCATTTTTGAAATCGAGCACATTGATATCGGCACCGAGTTTTAGTAAAGCCTCAACTGCTTGTACATTGTTGAAAGAAACAGCGTTATGAATTAAAGATTTCCCTGTACAATTTAAAAAGATAGAAAAATATTTTAGAATCAGGCTTCCCTTTCAAAACTTCATCGAATCAATCAATTGATCGATAGTATCAACTGATTCAGTCGATGATCTACTTTCACGTTTCATGCAATAGATAAACGTTACAATTGTATTGACTAAAAGTATAATAAAATATTAAAGTATTTCTATCTAACTAGACGTTATAATATGTCAATAGTAATTAATAATTTCATAAAACGTGATTCCAATGAAATAGATACATTAGAAACCACTAAATTACCATGCTTATCTAGTTGTTGGAGTTTGCAGCCTAGTTTTATCAATTGCTCGATTGCGTCAACATAAAAATCTACTGTTAAACATTCATCTTGTTTGATTGATATAATGCTATGAATAGCATTGAATCCCTCACTAATTGCAATCTTCAGATCATCATGTTCAGTTAACATTTTTAAAATCATTTCACGTTCGTTTGGTATTGCGTTTTTCACAGCCAATCCAAGTATTCCCTCGAATGCCCGATAACACGTTACATCGAATTTACTGTTTTGCTTTAAGAAGAAATCAAATTGATCGAGCCTATAGCCTTTTAACTCAAAAAGAAGAACTAGTGGTGTCGCGCCTTGCAAATTTTTTGCAGAAAGGTCAGCTCCATATCTACATAAAAAATTACGTTCATCGAAGTGTATAAATAAATTTAATGTTAATAAATTTAGCAAACTAAAAACTCAAAATTTGTTGATGGCTTAGGTAAAAAAATTACTTAAAAATATTATGTACAATCAAGTTTTCATTCTATCAATTATAAAAAACAACAAAATGCTTCCGTCGAATTTTACATTTAACTCATCATAAAACATCAGTACATTATAAAAATACCATTACTTATCTGTATTTTAACTAAATATTACCAAAAATTTAGAGCAGCGATTTTATTAATACTACATTTCAAAACTAAGTTCATTCGATGTGAATTACTTAATATTTGGGTGTCAAAATAGCTGAATAGAATTTGTTTGTTTCGGTTTTGACTACCATTATAAAAGATTATAGAATGAAGTGTAAATGGAGAAAGATTTGAATTGCATAGAATAAATATTATATACCTGTGTAACATTATAAGTATTTCTAGATCAATACAATTATGTATTAGACCAGTGTGTAGTGGCGTATTTCCTTCAATAGTTTCATGTCTAACATTTGCTCCTCTTGCAATCAAAAATCTAGCTAAATTTGTATGACGATTGTCTAAAGCAAAGTGAAGACCGGTAAAGCCACTGAGTTCTTTGCCATGGAAGTAGTCTATGTGGTGATCGACATCGATACCTTTCTCTAAGAATTTTGTCACGATTTCAACGTTATTCCTAATACAAGCAATATGAAAATGCGATAGCCCTGAATGTAAATGCGTTGGATTTACATTGTACAATATTTGACAGTACAAGAATAAATCCACTATTGAGAGTAACGTTTGCCCTGATAAAAAAAAATAATAAATAAATAATTTTATATGGTTTTACTAATCTGAAAATTACAACAATTGAATTTACTTGAATAAGTTCTTTTGTTTGCTTCTATGAACACCCAATGTAAAGGAGTACAAGTTAATGTACTACCCCTAAGCGTTACGTCAGCCCCATTTTTGAGTAATAATTTAATAAGGGTAATTAGATTCTTCGGGATTCTTTGAGCCATGAAACCTTGAACAATAAGCAGATACAGTGGTGTGTATCCCTGCCACTCATCAGTTTCATAATTGTACTCGTCTTGTATGAGCGCATTAACATCAGCTCCTCTCTCTAGTAAATCTTCTATCCACTCGTGGTCAAAAGAAGCACATGCTATATGCAACATGGTCACTCCACTTTCCATTATCGGATCGATAGACTGCTTATATATGTTCCTCGCCTTGGCTATTATGCATTTCGAAAAATCACTGTCCATGTAACACAAAGCTTGGATGAAGGCATTTTTCGAATTATAATCGAAATTCATTTTCTTCAATACGTCTGCACCGCCTTCAATTAAAGCTCGTGTTGCATGTTCAGAATCATAACTAGCGGCTATGTACAAAGGCGTCTGTTCATCGAAATGCGACAATGTATCGTAAAAATCCTTTTTCTCCTCAACCATTTCGTACTTGAATACTGCTTCGATTTCTGAACCAGATTCTAGTAGTTTTTTCACTGCCCCGTAATCGTCGGCGAAGGCCGCGACATGCAAATGAGTCAAGCCATGATTAGATACCACATCTTTCAAGTCCTTAGTTTTGCTGAAAAGTAACTTAGCCAAAAATTTATTGGATGTATAATGTCTCAGAGCGAGGTGAATTGGAGTCAGTCCAAGCATATCTTGTGCGTAAACATCAGCACCATTCTCCAGAAGTAATTGAATTATGTCGATATGGCCGAAAATTACAGCCACGTGAAGTAGCGTAGAGTGAGGTTGCACAAAAATTAAACTAGGTTTTTCCTCGTCAAAGCGTGCTGTAGTATACCATTTGAAGCTTCTCCTTACTGCACTATTTGCGTCGATTTTTCTTTTTAGACACTTTTTAACAAAGGTCAGGTGACCTGCAGCGCAAGCGATGTGCAAATGAGTCAAATTATATGAATCAGCTACATCATTTGTACAATAATCTAGAAGCATGTTTACAATGTTTATTTTGTGCAGCTTGAAAGCAAGATGAATGGGAGTGAAACCTTGTGCATTTTTAAATGAAAGACTGCAACCTCGTACTAAACACAGGTGTATCCTTGTCAAGTACGCATTTTCTTCATCCTTAGTGCAATTGTAGGATTGTTCAGTTGCATCTACATTCATACTATAGAATGTTTCATTATAAAAAGTTTGTAAATCTTTGGTTTTCTCATTCATCATTACTGATAAGTGTAGAATAGTATTCTTTGGCCAGTGTAGTGAATCAGCTGATATATGAACGTTGACATGCACTAACCTTTGAAGATAATTATTAAAATTATTGCAATTATCCATAATTAGTAGGATATTCGATAAAGTAGATCCATCTGATAATAAAATATCCCCTAATTCAGGGTTACATATTAAAATTGAATGCATAACTCTTGGAGAGTATCTTTCTATACAAATATCTAATGCAGTTTTTTCATCTGCATTTCGTAAAATTTTACATCCTCTCTCCAATAAAAGCTTTACTGCTCCAAAATTACAATAAGCTGCAAAATGCATTGCGGTATAGCCTGGACAAAAATCACGGTCGTATTCGATAGATTCATTAAGATCAATAGTTTGTTTCAACATATTTTTCAAAATAGACTTATCTGATAGTGCACAAGCCATATGAAGTGCACTGAGTCCTATATTATCAACAAAATTCGTTTCTTCAGCATTTTTATTTTTTAAAATATGCGACAAAATCATTTCCAGACTTTCTATTTCTGCTTTGACTACTGAACAGCATCCTGATTTTCCCAAATATATATAATCAGCTAAGTTCATAAGACGCTCTAAAAGTAGATGTAAAGAACTTTTACCATGGGCATTTTTTATATTTATATCTGCACCACGATCTACAAGTAACTTAACAGCGTCAACAGAAGAATATCTGATACCACAATGTAAGGCTGTGTATTCAGTAAACTTCCAATTACTGTTAAATGCTTGATCAATAGGTTCTCCAATATTCAAAAAAAATTTAATAGCTTCAGTGTGATTAACAATGCAGGCTATATGAAAATGACTAATTCCATGTTCATTTTTGGGATTGGTAATATTGTCAATCTCAACTTGTGCAGACAGTAATATATCTGCCATTAAATGTTTCAACCTACCCATCTTTTTCCAAATATTTACTGGTTTTAAATTGAGATATCGCAGAGCTAAATGAAGAGGTGATGAGGACTCCTCAGGAGCGAAATTCGCTGACTGTTTACATAAATCAACGTTTCGATTCAATAATGCGTATACACTTTCATAACATGACTTTTGAACAGCTACATGTAAATAGGTCTTCCCGAAATATAATTTAGTTAGAGCAGATTGATGAGGATGTGCTTGGAGAGAGTAATGAACATTGACTTTCTTCAAAAGTTCAAGTCTCTGTTTAGTAGAAAATAGAAAATTAAACTGAGCTAATCTTAGTTCATCCATTATTGTTGTTTGTCCTTCGATGATGTTTTGATTTTTTCTATATGTGCAACACACAATGCAAATTGTAAAATTCAAAAAATTAAAATTCCATATCCAATTGATAAATAATTTATTAATTACTTGCATAAACAATTAGATTCACTACTTAACGTGTTAATTAGTTAAATTTTATCTACTCTAAGATATATAATTGATTAATGGAGTATATATATAAATGAATTTAATATTTGATAGTAATGGATGTATGACATCATAATTGATGTATGTTATTACTTTTCCGATATATATATACTAAGTGTTATATGTATATTACCTTTAAAATTTTTCCGCGCCCCAGCTCGTACTATGCTTTGCACTATAGATAATTTTTTATAAAATTAAATTATCACTAGCAGTAGGTAAACTGTCTGTTATTGATAGCAAAACGCAATGCAATATTACTTTATACAGTATTGAAACTGTCAACTTTTATGTGTTATTGTGTTGCTATTTATTTTTGAATGTTTGTTTCAACATCAGCACCCAATGACTAACTTAGATACTCAACTACTTGGTACTCACGTGGTACAAAGTCAGCTGATTCAGTGATTTGTGCGCATGTATAGTACACGATTCATACAACGATCGTTATTATATTATTACCGTTATCCCGCCAAAACAGGATTTGTTCGTTGGAGAGAGGACATACTTCTAAAATTCACTTCGTTCGATGTCACAATATTCAGAGGTAGGAAGGAGTTTCAAAAAGTACCCTCGTGTGCTCGCAAACCTTTTCTTATTATACTTATGATTATATTTATTGAGTAAAGATAAAAGTCTCTACTAAAGCTGTTATTTATTACAGGTATCCTAAGGCACAAATTCCAGTAGGAAAAATGACTCCAAAATGAGCAGGAAATAATTTGAACTCTAATAGAGGCCGAAAGAGCTCCAAAAGGAATATTTCAAATATGAAATGCAAGCATAAAATGCAGAGCGATGACATCACCAGGAAAAAAGCTATGGAAAAAGTTAAAACACTGGAGCTTGCGCTTGGAGAACAAGATTATAATCTAGAAGTGTTACCTCTTATTATAGAAGTTGTCAAATCAGTCAAATTATCTACAGATTTTATCATACAACTCCTAAAGTTTTGCATCAGAGTAGAAAGTGAAAATGTTGTCAAACAAATCCTTTCCAGTCAAAATGTCGACTTGAAAACCTCAGAAGAAGGAACAATACTGTGTGACGCAATCGCTACTGGTAATATAGCCATAACAACATTGTTGGTCCGTGCTAATGCTGATGTAAATGTATGTGATGATATAAATTGCTCACTCTTGCATCAAGTTTTGAGAAGCAGAAAGATTAAAAATGAAACAGAAAAGATAGAGTTTGTTAAATTATTACTGGAAAATGGAGCTGATGTGAATGCTTTCGATAATGTAGGGTTCAGCGTGCTTCATAGAGCAATTAAGTGTAACGATTGCTCCTCCGAACTAATTGACATCCTAGTACAGTATGGTGCCAATGTAATTTTTGAAGGAGAACCTAACTTGGATTATTTCTTTCATAATGTTTGTGACCGTAGACCGGAAATTCTACTGAAACTTATTGATTATCAAGTAACAGATGACCAAACTAGAAATAAGAGACGGGTAATAGCAATTAATTATCTGATGATGAGTAAACATGAAAAAGCACTGACCATCATGAAGAATATATTAGACCTTGGTGTGCAAGTTGATACTATTTACCACGTAAACGACTTGATCGCGGAACCTACTACACTTCTGCACAAAGCTTTAAGTTTGAAAAATGAAGTTGCGGTAAATTACTTTTACTATGTTTACTTATTTATGAGAAACAAATAGTTTCTTGATTTACTAGCAGTGCTCAATATTAATATTATATTTCAAATTCGCTATAATATAGGGTATTTTATAGAATGAGTAGTCTCAAATTCAACAAATAATATATTAATTGTTGTATAATAAGCTATCTTTGAATATTTTTCTTTGAAAAAAAAATGTATTTTAAATTGTTCTGATTCTAGTAATTATTATTCTATTTGTCTCAAATAAAGTAAGAACTTTAGTTTATAGAAAATTAATTTGTAAAATTTAATTTGCAGATTAAATTACTACTGGATTATGGAGCTGATCCAAATCAAAAAGATAGATATGGTTCTACTGCACTATTCCGAGCTACAGTTTTCAAAGACTCCACTAATGCAAGTCGATGGCTTATTGAACATGGCGCGTCTGTTCATGCTCGAAACACAGATGGAAGGTATCCGATCCATGGTGCGTGTTTGCATGATTCAGAAAGGAATATACATTTGTTATTAAACCTTGATGCAAAGCTCGATGTTATGGACGTTGACGGCCTTACACCATTTTACTGGACCGGCGATAAATCTGATTATACCTCCACTCAATGTTTCATCATTAAATATTTCGCCTTATACACTGAAAGAGATTTATATGTTTTTTTCAAAGATTGGATAAGTCTTGATATCTCTCGAAATTATCAATTTGCAAAATGCACATTAGAATTAGGTAAAATGCAAAATAAAATGATCTGTGATGATATTTCTTATTATTCGTTATTATCTGAAGACATGTTTAGTATGCTACAACTAATGAAGAATCCTACTTTTTCTGTAAATTTTAAGCGGTATAAGAAAAAGCGAATTAGGATGTTTCCAGAATACTCAAACATGCTCTTGCAATCTTTTGAAATTGCTAAAAAAAGATATGACATATTTTTTGCAGAAAAGGAACGTCTTCAAGAAATTTTAAGTATAATTTTTCCTGACGTTGTAATTGATAGGGTAGTATTTTGTTTATCTTACGAAAAATTGACACGTTGTCGATATGATTATTACATGTCTCTTCACGCCGGCTTGAAAATCGGCAAAGCTTACACAAAGAAAATTTTATAAGATACTGACAAATTTTTGAATAGATTATATATCTGTTTGATGGACAGTAACTTAATAACTTTCAAATATTACTACTACAACAATTATTTGTAGAACTTTTTTTGTATCAAGTCATGTAAGCAGTCACTTTATGTATAAAATGTGAAATTTTATTTCAAAATGTGATGTATAATTATTTTTGTACGTAATCATGCCTACGTAGAATAATATTGTATAAACGTATTATCGAAGTTTTTAATAATGTTAACTGTATATGTAAATATAATTGATTACATGCTATTTGTATTATAAGATTTATTGAATTGTATTAAAACTGAACAGATATGTTACTTTTACAATTTTTACAAAATACAGTTCTGTAAATTAAATAAAAGGGCCTAATATTTATTTTTTATTTAGTACAAACTGCATGAAATCGCTAGCTAACGTGCGATCTCAGTAATATTTAAATACGATACTATGTGCCAAGAAACATAGGAACATTCATAAAACTATTAGTATTCGGCATATCGGTTCTATACTAACCGTTGGAAAATTTAAAGAAGCACAATAACTTTCAATAGCACAAAGCATTTTTCTTGACTTGCAACTAGCTCAATATGCGTGATCTTATCTAAATCCTCATTTTTCAATTTATCTTAAAGTTTAGAAAATAATTTTTGTTCTGATTCTTTCCGACATTCTTCAGCTTCTGAATTATCAGAATCGTATACTGTGTACAAATGTACAATAAAAATTGTAAATTGTGCAAAATGTAGCAGTGATTGGAAGAGCGTGGGAGTGTACGTAGCACGGAGGGTGCAGGGGGTTTGGGAAGCTGACCCCCTGACCGAAAAATAAATCATAAATCAATAATATAAAAATTAAAAAATAAAAGGAATGGTGGAGAATCATTAAAATCTGAATGAAATCACCGTATCATGGCTGTGACTGATAAAGATTGTTATTATGAAACAAAAATTTGGAACAATAGCAGTACTCGTTTGACCGAAGGATACAAAAGTTGGACCAGTTCAAAGTCCGAGATGAAGTTACTGAGAATGTAAGATGAATTCTTATAGTTCTTATGAGTATTTCAGAAAATATCTGATTATTGCTAATTTTTTAGTACGCGCTATACAACCACATAGGCTATTCTCAATAAATTATTTATGCATCTTGAAAAAATGTATCAAGAATGAATGTGTCAATGAATGCGCATTTATTGGGAAATTATCTAGAGCAATGTTTGGAAAAAATATTTGAAATCTACATACACAAGTAGCTATGCACGATAATTGTTGATGAAAATTCTAGAAAGAAAATTAATGAAGAAGAGCTGAAAGCAGTAAAGGTTAGTTACAATTTTTGAGGATAACTTTCGTCACTTACTCATTTATTTTACTATTCCACTTAAACTGTATCTTTTTTATAGTTTGTTTGAGGTATTGAGTTTGCGCTTACGCAAGACATCTACCAAGAAATCAGACCATACATCAAATAACTTCGTTTGTACATATAAGAAAAATATTATCACAAAAACTCAATTACCAATTCAACTATTAATGAAAAAAGATAAAGACAGAGTTACTTGTGTCCTAAATATAAATTCGACGATTCATTTCTTACAAAGTGCAAAATAAGATGATCGTTGGCGTTTATTTAAATTTACATTAAAATACTAGTTACTCTTAATAAAAGAATTGATAAATTGAAGATAAAAAAAATTTAGAGCTATTTCTCGTGGCGTGCGGTTATTTATTTTTAGACTTTGTTAAAATTTGATATATATATTAGTTTTTATTTCATTAATAAGTATTGTATTAATAAATGAAAGATGTTTTGCAGAAATTATTACAGATTTACTTTATAGAAAATAAAACTTTGCGATCCAATTGATGTGCATTAAGATATATTAATATATAGAATTTATAAATATCGTTTATCGAACAAATAAATAAATAAACAGCTATCACTATTATTTTTCCAAAATATTATCTAATACTATACTGATTTCATTAATTTCAAATTTTTTGTGGTACATATTTCGTATAACATGATGAATATGAAAATCATACATATTTATGACATAGCAGAAATATTATTTACATACGTTATTTGTACATAATACGTACAAATTATATACGTATCTTGTATACAAATTTCAAACTAAATATGTACACAAAATACTTAAGTATCGTCTCTGAATTTCATGCGTATTCTTAAATGGAAAGATGTACGAAATGGAAATCAATGTACGAAATTCGTACATTGATCTCGAGGGTAAACACATTATAATCATCAATATTCGACGAGTGACATTGAATGATTGTAATATGACGTATGCGTAACTTGCGTAATTTACAAACATTACATGTGATTAATTTATATTTACACAAAAGATTTTACTCTAATCTTATTTGAAATTCAAGCATTTTATAATAGATGTTGAATCAAGCTTTTACATATATAAGAAAACGTACCATATCGAATAGTATTCACACACTGAATTAAATCATTAAAGACGTCGAGTGCTAATTTTTTTTGTTAGCTAACGATATTAGTAACATGAAATTGAAATTTGGCATTGTCGCATTATAATCCTAATACATATATATATATATATATATATATATATATATATATATATATATATATATATAAAGTGATTGTTTATGTTTGTTTGATATACATAATCTTGGACAAGTTTTCCGTGAATGTGAGGCTTTTTATTAATAATTTTTATAATTTAGTGAAGCCATTGTAAACCGCGAAAAAATGTTCTCTAGTTAGTGTATACACTTGCATATATGCATTTATTTACTAAAAGAACACAGGCGCTGACTGGCTTATAGTTATGGCATCTGTGTTATATATCCTATGATTACGAAGTATGAATTTTTGCCTTGCTTGCAGTGTGAGCATTGGCAGAAAAAAATAAAATATACCTTGGTCAAAAGTTAATTATTATCGTTGCATATCGAAGATTTCATTCTGCATTGAATATAAATTACAATAATATTGTAACTTGCGTTCAATATTACAATGATAGAACTGGTTTTTGCAAAAAAAGTACCACGACCGTTTCAATGACTGAGTCTGCACATAATTAATTTATCGTCCACGATTCCTGGAACAGGTCAATGGTCAGTGCAACTCCCACTCTCATTCGTATGGTTCACTGCATGGAAATAACGGCAGTGGAAGCAGTCAGTTGGAATTCACTCCTTTGTCCAAAAGTATCGCGACATTTACGCGGCTTCTCGAATTCTCTGCGTTAGCACCTGCATTTACTGGCGATACCTGTAAGTAGATACCCAATGTAAATAAATCTAACTCGAGCAATTGAAACTGTAGATATGATATTGATGCTCAAGACTGATCTTAAATGATCTATAATTTGTCATTGCTGAACATTTTTGTTACTTTAAAAACTTTCACAATGAGCTCCATGAATAACATTTGACACTTAATATTTTGTGAATTGCAATATCATTATTATCTTTGTCAATTTACTCTAAAAGCAATTGTATTTATATTTAAAAATGTTTCATAACAGCTTTTAAATAAATCTTTACCATAATCTAAATGGTAATCCGAATACATTGATTATTTTCATAGTTATTAATCACTATGAGCATCCTTCTTTAAACAAGAAATATATCAGTCTATATAAAGCAAATTTTTTTTCTATAATGTTAAACGAGTTTGATTAACAAAACGTGGTTAATCAGCACTTTTAGGCAGAAAATAGCGTTCAAAAATATTGATAGAAATATCATTTTTCAAAGCACCAACAATTAAATCGAATGACGCTGTCCTGTGTTTGCTCACAATTGGTTATTCCGTTTGTTCTTTTACTGAATTGCACGTTACCCATTTGGTAATTACATATTAGTCATTCTTAAATACTATTAAATCATTTCAGGAAAACAAACTGCACAAAAACAATGACTAATAATGAAATGTTGGGAAAATATACTCATTATTCCATAGCAATGAATTGCGTCAATATTTTATCAACTTGTAAAATTCATGCATTGTAATTTTTCCAATATATACAATTTAAGAACTAATTTTGGAAGAAAAAACATTAGTTAAATAAAACTTATATTCACAAACTTCTGAATTAAAATCTCACAAGACAACAATTCAATTCCGTACCTTACGAGAATTGTAGTAAATTACTAATGATTGTTTATTACTATTTCAGTGAATACTTTAAATAAACAAATTTTACGTTTAATCGAAAGTTCAACATCGTATTACTTACAATATGTACAGGATATTTTTTATTTTATTTAGTGAGTATATTTATATAGGCCTACTATCATATAAACATTTGGTGTTACCATAAAAACTTTTTATTTTTCAAGGCATTTTGCAGAGCTTCTCAAGTACAGCTGATGCGCTCATCGCTAGCAATACAAAATCAATCAATATGGATGAATGTCCATCATTTATCGTATCCATCGGCACGGAGAACAATCACATCTGCGGTGGAGCTCTCATATCGCAAAGACACGTCCTCACATCCGAACTCTGCGTACAAAATCAAAGAGCGAAAAATTTGAAAGTATCAATCGGTCCCACAGATTTGCTCTCCGATAGCAATTACGAGTACGTAAACGTTGAGTCAGTCATGCGTTTCGACGACTGGATCAAACGTCATCATTCGACATTTTACCCTAACAACGACATTGCTATTTTAACGGTAATAAATAGTTAGGTTCTAGTATAGTTTTCATATGGAGTTTTTCATTAACAATGTTATAATTAGTTGAAGCAAGCAGTGACTGACGTGAAGCCAGGATTGATTAACGATACATCTCTAAACATTAATTTCTACGGTAAAAACGTAGTGACAGTAGGTTGGGAGCAGGACGACGATAAAAATCTTTTGAGATGCTTACAAACAAGTGTTTTAAAAGTGTTGACGCCGGATCAGTGTAATGAAAATCTTTATAGACTGACGGGGAGTCGATTTAAGATCAATGAAAAATACTTCTGCACTATCGGAGCCTCTCAATTGCTCGGCAAGGTAAATTAATGTAATTTCATGTCACGTGAACACCTGATTATTATTCTATTGCGTTTGTCATTAGGAAAATGAAGGCAGTCCGATATTATACAATAATTTAATTATCGGAGTGAACCATGGAAAATTCATAGATATCATTGGAGATCGACACGTTGAGCAGGACTTACATATAGGTTTAGAATATTACCAAAGATTTATCCAGGACATTTTGAGCAATGCTTAATTTTCTACAAGTTTTACAGCTTGTTTTATAAGTGTTATGAAAAGTCATTGAAAAACTATGTTACTCTTTTGAAACTCATATGTCAACTATACAAGCAAATACAATATCATTAGATTGTAAAATGTTAATAAAATTGATATAATTTTTAACTGATTCCATAATTTTTCTGTCCCTTCAGACTTCAGCATTGGAAAATAATATGTATATTTAAGCAACAATTTTTATTGACTTTTGCCATGTAATACAGAATTAGAAAAATATAAATATAAATATATGTAGCGAAACTATTGTAAATATATTATTGATATTCAATGTCACTGAAATATTCCATTCACAAAGCCAGTAATTTACTTAGGCGATAGCGTCTTCAAACAAACAAATTTCTAACCCCGTAGTGCTACTTTACCCCGTTTTAATGGGCGATTAACTAAGCTTCTGTAAGTAGCTAATTAATAAGACATAATCGCCTAGTAATATAGTCATAGGCTACAGAAACAGTTCAAATATATATTCTGCCGAAAGTAAATCAGTTCTAGCAGTGGCTTCTATGGTTTTTTTCTTTTTGGCATTGTAATTTGATTTTTGTATTCCGTCGACGAACTTCCTTAGTTTCACTCTCAACTGACTTTTGACTTTCCGATACTAATTTCAAGTAAGCAAATTTCGTTATTGTATTTCAATATTCATTGAAAATTGAAAAGTGATAACTTCTGAGAAATAGCTTTTTACAAATAACTAATACATCTTAATGTTGAAAAAAAAACGATTGGCGACCTATTTGAAGCTTTACTGATTTTTTGATTCGACTTTCTCAAAGTCGTCGAAGCATCCTAACATGTCATCCGAGCAATTAAACGATTCCCATGCTGATCAGGAACAAGTAAATTCATCCGAGGAATTAGAGAACGTAATCTATGATAGTGACTGCACTGACTCTTCCGATTTGGAGAACCAACGTAATAACGAATTGCTCAATCGCTTACGCGCCGCAGTGAAAAGCCACGATGTGTCGCTGGTGCTTGAAATTTTGCAAGAGAAGCCAAATTTACAAACAAACAAAGGCGGCTACATACTGTGGGATGCCATATTGGAAGATAACATGGAGATAGCTTCAATACTAATCCGCTCGGGAGCCAATGTGAACGTAAAAAAACCAAACGACACCTTCGAGTCAAGTTTATTATACGAACTTGGATCCAGCAAAAATCTAAAACATCACGAAGTTGCACTGTTGACGATGGAATATGGGGGAGAGGCCACTGTATTCGAGATGGAATACATATTTTGTCGCGCCATCGACACTGGATCTCTAAGCATCGTCGAAGCTTTACTCAAAAAAGGCACCGAAGTTAGAAATTCCGTTATACACCAGATGGTCAGAAGCCCACATATTGTGCAACTGGTTGGTTTGATTATTGATCAAGATACGATTCCTGTTGAGACGAAGTATGTGCGGGCGGTTAATACTTTCTATCAGCTCTACCTTCTCCCTGGTGATGAACATCAAATTTTACCAGCTATCGATGCTATGTGTTCGCGACTGGATGTTGATGTGATCAACACGTATGGCGATGTGCTGATTTGCGCTATTCGCTGCAGAAAAAGTAAAACGGTAAGTTTTATGAAGATTCAACCCGTGATTTACAATTCCTTTCAATATTTTCTTGTTTTTCAATAGTACCTGCTACGTTTGATCATTTCTCATTTAATTCTTATGAATTTAATTAATTAATTACATTGTTTGTGTATTTAAAGGTACAGGTATTGATCGAATATGGAATCAATGTGAATAAATCATCAAGGGATGGAGTTTTACCGCTGTACTTGTCAGCCAGTACGAATCAACCCGAAGTTGTTAAGTTGCTTATCTTTGCTGGTGCCAAAATTAACGCTCACTGTGGAAGCGAGTCGAGATCTCAAATTTCACATTATGGTCAGTGTGCCTTGCATGCCGCCTGCAGAGGAGTGCCAAAACTAAAAGTCTTAAACATTCTGCTATACCATGAAGCTGATGTGAAAGTTCTCGATCTACTTCATCGAACGCCGTTCTCTTACGCGAAATTTTTGAAATCTCTAACCGATATTCATCGAATGATGATCAAACGTTTTGCGATTTTGGAGAGCAAGGGTGTCGATATTCATCCATCCGATAAGAAAATTATCGAGGAAAACCCCCTAATGAAAAAGTTCTGCGACGAGTGCATGAGCGAACTGACTTCGATGAAATCTATCAATATTTCAGAGTGTACGACGTTATTTTCCATTCTGATTCAGAATGTAGAGAAACTATCGTTTTTCATGCGAAGTCGACGGTTTCGAGACAAATGTGGCGAAAATCAGCTGGAAAAGTTATTTCCACATTATGTCGAAGATGTGAAGCTTAAATTGAAGAATGCCGAGAAACGAAAAAACGCCATGGCCGTCAGAGAAGGCCAACTGCGCGAGATCTTCAACTACGTACTGCCATACCCGGTTTTAGAAAATATTCTTTTTCATTGCTATCAAAACACAGTCAATTTTAAATGAAATAATGTAACTTTCTGCGTGCACATTGTGATTCGTATATTAATATCACTGAAATATTGTATACGTCAAATCATACAAACAACGCTAAGTAAATAACCACTTTATTAACTTTATTAACTTATACTGACTGTCGATTAATAAGTTTTTATTGTATTTTGACATAAGCTAACGAATGCTGAAAAAAGATTGCTATATGAAATTGCTAAAATGAAATTTATTTGTTATCTGTAGTCTTCAATATGATTTTGATATAATTTGTAGCGTAATGCTTGAAATTGGCACTAGGTTAAATGTTATCAATATCAGATAAGTCAAGCTGTCTCCTATAGCTAAAACTATGGAGCTGTTACTATTAGTAGTAACTTGCTTAACTTGCCAAATATTTGTGTATTCATAAAAAAATACATTTGCATTTCCACAACTCTTGAATTGATAGAATTTTAAAATAAAATTCATATTTCAAAACTTTTAAACTATCAAGATTCCAATTTTTGTCCTAAAGACGTTCACAAGTCATAACAATTGAAGTTCGTGAATTAGGGTTTTACTTTACAAAAATAATCGAGTCTTTAAAAATACTACAAGCAATTACTTTCATGATCCATTTATGTTGCTTTATCGTGTCGATACATTGCTAATTATTTTACAAGCTCGTATGGGGTATTCTTTGATAATAAGGCTCATATTTTATGTAAGAATACAATACAATAATTTTACTGTACTAATGATTTATTCTAGTGAGATTTTTATTAGAAACTAGCTGAAATTCATTTCATAGTTGTAATGTAAGTGCATATTAATACTTACAGGTAAAAAACACACCACACAGCAACTAAGTAATTAATTTCGTAAATATATTACGAAACAACAAGAAATGTTATAAATATCATTTAAACCAATAACGTACAAATAGTATATAGTACACTAACATCAGACTATAGTATATTTTCATATACTAATTTCAAACTACACATTTATACAATAACAAATACGACAATCGTACTCATAAAACAATAACTAAAAATTGATTTTTACAGAGACATCAAACTTCAAAATTATTAAAAAATAAAAAGATTGGAATAAAACAAAAAAGTACGTCATTCGAATGGAAAGTTCAAAAGTTTCTTCCCCCAATCACGTAGTAATACGTTTATGAAATGGTCGCTAAGTCAGCCCTGGTATTTTGCACTTTCGCGTGAAGAGACATGTAATAATGGTATCGGCAACGCTCCAATTGTTCTTTGCAAGAGAACCATGCTATATTTTCAATTACGAGATTAGGAAATATTCCAATAAAAGTATTTTGAATACGGTTCAGTTCTGCTAAAAATACTTTGTATCTGTTCTTAGCAATTTCAAAAGAATCTAAGAGCATGTAGGCATATTTCGGAAATAAAGTTTTTCGCCTTCGTGAACTTCGTTTAAAATTACTAGAGAAAACAGGATTTCCCATCAATCGCAGAAGGCTGTATATACTTTTACTGAATAGAGCAAAATAGGAAATGTTATTGAAAATGTATTCAGTTTTCATTTGTATTAACTCTAAGGTGCACTTTTGGAAATAACGTTGCAAAAACCTTGAACTATTAATCTTGTCCATATCGCTATCGCTGACTTGTCCTCCTTTGGCAATTATCAAAGCGAAATGTTTCATAAACAGATATTGAATCTTCTGGGTATTGTCTCTGGTATAGTGGAATGGCGTGAAACCTCCGTAGTCCAAAATATTTATGTCGACACCAAGATTCAGAAGCAAGTGCGCACTCTTTATCGACCTATGAATACACGCCCCGTGAAGTGGAGTCCAACCGAACCCGTTGTCATTAGCAGCGCGAAGGTTGGCACCTTTTTGAATCAGCCACCTACAAACACGCGAGCAGTCGACAGCACTAGTAGCTCGGAAGAGCGGAGTGATACCAAAGCTGTCGGGTTGCTCTGCATTTGCGCCGTAATCCAGTAACAGCTTCACCTGCGAACCGAAATGTTAAACGCGTATATACAAACGTATCTTTCGAATAAATAATATTTGAAAAGTATCACGAGGACGTATAGGACACACATTACCTCCCGTTTTCAATAGACTCTAGTGGAAAATGTAGAGTGGACAGGCACCTTACCATGTGTTTCCTATTCCATGCTAGCGCCGCCATTAAAAGTGAACTCGGTCTTCTTCCAGCGTCTTCACTGTAAAATGGTTCGATGGAGTTAACGTTCACACCTAAATCTAATATCTTCTTGATTATCTTGTGTGCACCAGGGTAATTACTAGAGATAAGACCATCAATAGCCATGAATCCTCTTTTGTTCCGTGCCTTCTCGTCCAGCTCTGGTAAAGCGACCAACATTGGTAATATGTGCGGCTTTATTCTCGAAGCTGAGAAAATGTCATTCAACCTCACGTAATCAGTCGTTAATTCCGCACCGTACTGTAAAAGGATTTCTACCACTTCAGTTGGACAATGATAAAGCATGATCGCATCGCTGAGCGCGCTGCGACCTTGACTGTCTCGAACATTGGCGGCGGCACCTTTCTTCAACACTAACTTAACGAGTTTTATCTTCTTCTTATTGTCGACCTTGTCGAAGTTTCTCACGATTTCGTGAAGAAGAGTGCGATTACTGTTGACTCTGCACACGTTCGTGTCAACTCCTGAAGATACCAACATGCTAGTGATTTCGATTTGGCCATTGTCTACAGATGTCCATAACAATTCAACTCCCTCGGGTGTATTGAGATTGATCTTCTGACTGTTGAGAACCAGCCGTACAAGAAGTTTCTTTCCTACTGTCACGCCAAGAATCAGCAAACGCATCAATATACTCGTTGGTAAATCTGGCATTTTCGCGACTCTGTGGGCGAGACGCAACAAGCTAGGGTCATGACTTTCTTTATTATCCAGTGCATACTCCAAGTCTCGCAGGGCAGCCAATTTCTGAGCCTGGACGCCGAAGCTAACGTCCGCTTTTTTATCTTTTAGTCTTGACTTGCTGTTAGCCTTCTTACCAGACACAGATTTATTAGTTTTCATTTTTCATCCGCATCCACACCCTTTAACGATACCAAATAATTTTTTTTATCTATTTGAGTAAATTATAATCCAGAGAGAAGATTACTTTTCTTATTAAATAATTATCACATAATCACATAACATTTATAGCCTCGTTTTTATTTGCAGTATATTGCATTGGCTCACGAATGACACGAAAAATATGAAACTAACCGACTAATTCTGCTTTTAAAATACGTACAGCTGCGATCAATGGAGAACTACAGCGTCCTTACTGACGAGTATTAGCGCTTACCCCGAATTGAGTAGATAATTCGACGTAATGATTATATGCTAGTCGTAAACCCTGTCTAATACAACTGCTGCTTGATCCTATTACTTCTCTTTCTCGAGTAGAGTCTTCTTCTTAATTCCCTCAAACTAATGTGCCAACTTAATTTCCTCAAACTAATTTGCGACTACAAACCTGTTTATTAAAACAAAAAGAAAGAATGCTTGTTCTCCGATATCTAAATGTAATTTGACAATTTTACTCGAACGTTTTGGTCGATGTTCAAAATTCATGCGCGCAGGAAAAATATTCCAATAAAAAATAATAATTTGTCAACAATAAGAGAAGACTTATTTTAAGGTGATTATTAAAACATCGAAGGCAATGGTGATCAGCAACGTTGCTGCACTTGCCTTTAAAATTACTTCGTCGTGCACCGATAAAATTAGTAACGCACGACAAACAATTGTAAAGGAGGGATCACCGAAAATTCTAATATTTCATCAACGTTTTTAGAAATTTGGGAGGTCCTGATTATCGATTATCGAAGTGTTGATACTGGAATAATAGAGACGTGATATTTTCATTCACATAAAATAATTATGCCGCAATATTCAATAACGTTTGGTAAGGAGCTTCTCCAAGAGTTGCGCTTTCATAATCCTTTTCCAGTACATAAATAATAGTCGAATCCATAATTATATCAATCAGTAATGTAAGCGGCAACGATAAGCCTACGATATTTATGTAAGACGTTATCATTGTCCACGAGGAAATCGGATCATCTTCACTTTTTTGTCAGCGTAAGAAGAGCATTATAATATTTGTCAAAAACAAAACCACAGCCAGTATTATCCAACTCAACTGAACGATCTGAAACACATACAACAGTAAAGTAAAATGATCTAAATGAATTTCTTAAATGTTAGATGAAAAAAATACTCACTTTTGAATGCTATAATTGGTGACTATCCCAACCCTAATTAAACGAAACTAACTTTTTTTTCTAGTCGAAAACAATTTCGACCGTTTCCATTTTTGCTGAATCTGTAACCACAGGAATAGTTGAGAGCCGAAGCTGCAAGCAATGTCGAATTTGAATTACAATATTGCATATACAAATTACAAATAGCGGTGGCAAGACAGCTATTGCATTGAGGCATACAGCATCCAGGTGGTATTACCAATAGTCCCGTGATAAAAGATCTTGATAGGGTGTTATTCTATGGATGCAGAAATACGCGGCGGTTATTGAGGATGTCTTGAATGCTTCGAAATAAAAAGTATAATGTAACAGTTTTCTCCAAGAATCATGTAGAATAATACATTTGTAAAGTCGAGACGTTTCAATATTGTTATTGTAAAAATAAAAGTATAAAATTGACTTGAATAAGAATAATCTAAAAGTTATCATGTGGCGATAGAACAGATAAAATCTTAAATGAATCATTATTATTTAATAGAAAATATTTTAAACACTATTTAAGAGAGAATATTTTCAATGTATCCCTCCTTCGGGTATATATCAAGAACTCACTTATAGGGAATCTACGCAGCCGCATATGGGTTATGCACTGCGCGGATGCTGTATACTGAAAAAAATTATGAGGGGCTCATGGATCTTTGTAAAATAAATGTACTATTAGTTCTAATGCTACGCGGATGGATCGTTTGTAATACGTTGATTTACAAAAGATACATTTTTTTATTTGATAATGCATGTAAAGTTAACTATATATATTGAATTATTGTCAATGACACAAGCGAAATAGAACATTTTTAAGCTTGGAAATTCATGAAATCGCTTTACCGTCCAAACATTTTTGTTTATTTATTTTGAGATTATACGTGATATGATTTCTCAATCAAATATAAGAAATTTATGCTATTTATAACGCTTTGAAAAAATTACATTTAATATTTATAACGAAACAATCATTGATCGGGCTTCCTTTGAAATTTAAGTGAGTGACTAGCAAAACGGTTTTGGACTATAACTGTTGCATCAATATCTTCAATAATTTCACCATGGTTTACATCATAACAGACAACTATTTGTAAGATTAATTATTGATTGAATTAATTGATTGAATTAATCAATTTAAATGTAATAAACAACATAAGACGAACGTCTATATAATATCACAACTCTTGAATGTTTCGGTAGAAAATCATTCAAATGTACGTGAAGCTATTGAAGGACTACTGACAAAGTTGAAGTTTGATCAGGATTATCATGTAGAGATTTTTTATACGAATAACTATTATTAGTAATTATAATTTGATTTATAATATCACTATATCATTAGTAATTTTTCGGTACAATTTCATAGCACTATGCTATATGCTATTCCTAAAGTAAAGTACTCTCAAACTTTCGAAATTTTAATCAAATATCTTCACAAGCGGCAGGTTTTTGCCTCAATAAGGAACTTTATATACCAGTACAAAACCAATTCATCATTAATTATAAAATAATCTAAAACAGTGAAATCAAAATTCTGGAAAACAGATTTATCGAATATATATGTTCATGCTAAAACAACTCTGTCCAATTATGCTACCGACTATTTGTACCTACGTTAGTGGATACATAGGAAAATTTAATTGTAAAAAAACGTAGTATATTGAATTATTTTTTTCAATCAATAATTTTCAATTTTGAAAATATTTTTATAGCAAATATGAAAGAAAAACACGACTATTTTTAGATCATATTTAAATATATTTAAATACTCGTATTTGTATGTACAAATTTCGCAAGCTAACATGTTGCTTACTTTTATTAAATCTCATTGAAGATTTGAGATTTTACACCGAAAATAAGAGATATTAAGTTCAATGTATAAAAATATATACAAAGCTAATTTACTTAATATTATCTTCGAGTTCAACAGCTTTTCCCGATTTTTATGAATACATGATTATTTAATATTGTTTTCACCTGTGAGGCTCCTTTTCACAATATTTTAAGTGACTATGCCAACTTTGAGGATTATTCACTTTATTACCGCATTTGGGACATGCTGAAAAATAATCATTAATTTAATATTCAAAAATAAATTTGTATTGAATATTTTGATAAATAAATGGAAACTAAAATATCATAAATCAATCGTTACCAATATATAAAACAATAATGATAAAGAATTTATGTATAATAATTTTATTTACAGATGACTTACAGAAAAAATTGAAATTTTGAAAGTTAAAAATCGTTTACTTACGAATCAACTTAGTTTCACTAGTAATCAATACATCATTTTTGTAATGTTTATCTATCACATGATCTGACAAACACGATGGATCTCGTGTCATATAAGAGCATAAGCTACAACGCAAAACAGTATCTGGTATACAGCTGAATAAATGCCTCCTGAAGGTTTCTTGCGTTTTTAACTTTCCACTGCATTTTGGACATTCTAACATATCAATACACTTTTATTTCTAAACATTCATTAAACTAATTTTAACTGTATAAAAAGAGGAAATATGAAACGTACCATATGACTCTAAAATGCTCCAACAGTGTACTCGTAAAACGTGATTCTTCAAACACAAACCATATCTAGTTTTAAATGAACACATGTTACAATCCAAAAATGGCTTTTTTGGGCAATAGAAATTATGAAACATTATAGTTTCATGGTCTTTCAATTTTTGGCCACATTTATCACACACTGAAATACAAAATAAATACAAAATAATATATGGGTTTATATAGAAAATTCAGACAAACATAAGATACAAGCTCATTACTTGCTGTGGGCTCATCATCTGGTGAATCAACACTATCTTCAAGTTCCAATGTTGAGGGATGTATTAAGTCTACATGCTTTTTTAATGTTTTAGGGCGCTTAGTTTTATAAGGACAATAATCACATTGCAAAAAATCCTTATCACAATATATTAAATGACGAGTCACAACTTGTTTGTTTTTGTATTTTTTACCACATTTTGGACATTCTAAAAATAATGAAAAATATAATTATCAATATAATTATTGATTTTAATTTTGAATCTAATAAAAATAATTAATTAATAGAATACATATAAATAAGCTTACCTATTCTATTTTTACATAACGATCCATTTTGTTCATGTTTATGCTGAATATGATTCATAAGATCGGCTTGTATGTAAGTTTTATATTTACATAGAGTACATTCATATTCTTTACAGTTAATAGCATGAATGCATAAAGCCTCTTTATTTTGAAATATTTCGTAACAAATTCGACACACTGAAAAACAATTATCAACATAACATGTTAATCTCAGATTGATCAATAAGAAAATTAATAACATCAAATCTATCATTACTTTGTTCAGTGGATGATGAAGTTGGAATATCAAGTTGACACGATGCAATTCGAATGTCTAAATTATTTTTCAGAAAAACAACTTTTGTTTTGTGATTCTGATAAATATGTTTCTTGAGTTGAGATTTTCTAAAAGTATGAAAAATACAATGATTGCAATTATATATTTGACAGTGGATTGTATGTGCACTTAAAGCTTTTTGATGTTTGAATGTTTTATTGCAAAAACTACACACTGTAAAAAAATAATAATTATCAATCAATAATAAGTAATGTATGGGTAAAAAAAAATTATAATAAATGATAACAATACCTTTTTTAGTCATAGAATGATCACTTACTGGAGACAAAGGAACAGTTTCTGTTTCTGGTACATCTATGTTAGGTGAGAAATCTTTTTCCACTTTTGGTTGTACATGTTTTGCTAAGATGTGGGTTCTTAAATTCCATTTATTAAAAGTTTTATAACCACAATGGTGACACTCACAACGAGGCTTTTTACCACACATCCATTTATGTGTAGAGAAACTGTGTCTGTTCTTTAATACTTTATTACATTTAGGACAGGCTGAAAAAATAAATAGTTTTATGTGGATGAATTAATAAATCTTGTAGTTAAAAAAGGTAATAGAATTTTCATCAAAAAGTTGATATGTAACTTACTTTTGGTCTGTTCCTCAGGCTTTAGATGTACAGTGTTGAAATGTCGTTTCAGTTCATTGGTTTTAAATGTCTCAAAGTCACAATGCATACAGCGTAATCTCTCACATTTGAACATATGCAGATATAAATGATTTTTGGTCTTGTACTTTTTGTGACAATTAGGACAATCTGACAAATGCATAATATTTAATGTTGGTGATTTAAATATAAATATAATAATATAATGCATATAATAATATAATGCTCATACCTAAATTCGGTGAAAAAATTTCCTTTACCTCAGTGATGGTAAGAATTGGCTTAAACTTTTTCTGCAAATCTGCTATAAGATTTTAAATAAAATCTTCAACCAAATTTAATTAAGATAACTAACTGTATGTTAATTAACAAATTTGTATTTATTTACCTCGATAAGATTGCCAATGTTTTTTGAAATATGAGTCTTCAAAAGTTCTGAATTTACATGGTGGACTTCCTATAATTTTACACTGTGCTGAATGCTCTTTTAAATTTTGAAGATTTTGGAACATTTTATGACAGATTTTGCACTCTGAAATATTAATTATTATACTCTTTATATACAAAATTCACTAATTAATTAAATTATATGGATACAATGTAATATTACGATGTATTATCTTTTTTCTTTTTATCTTTGGTATAGAAGGTTGCTGTAAAATAATTATTGGGATATCCTCTAAAGGGAATGTATCAGAGTTATCTGCTGTAATGTCAGCTACAGCACCATTTGTATCTACAATAAATAAAATTAATATTACTCACAGATTTACAAGAAAAGCACAATTATAAACGTATTTGAATTAAGTATAAATATTTGAATTAATTATAAGTGTTTGAGTTAGCACACACAAAAATACAACTACAACCCATCACATCAAAGTGCATAATGAAATCGATTTACCACCATCATTATGATCCTGGTCCAAATTCTCATCTTTCAAAAACTGATTTTTATGCTTATTTTCTTGAGTAGTGTCATGAACTGCAAAAATAATCACATAATTAAACATAAAATAGATAAAATAATTACTTCGTCAAAGTATTTACTAGAAGCTGCATTATCTTTCTCCTCTTGAGAAGGTATACCATCAATCTTAACGAATTCAAAAGAATTCGCATTATTTACAGCAGCTGCCATATTTACGCCTTTGTTCTTTGAATCATTAGCATATTTCCTTCGCAACTAAATACATTTATAACTAACCAAGAATATGATTCAAACATATACGTAATTTGCGTAATTAGTGAAAAAAACTATATAAATAGAGAAAATACGTTAAATTCATGTAGGTTATGTTATGCACACGGAGTAGTATAGTAGTAATATAATTCTGAATGTGAAGCCGACCGCTCAGCGGCTCAGCTGTCCATGCGGAAATTGTTTTCACGCGCAGCTTTTTAATTAAAAGTACGCCTTTAACCGGGCCCATTTTTGGACAGTTTTGATGAAGAAATACATTGTATTATTGGAAATCCTCGCTACAAATACTCTAAACAATAAAAATCAATATACATTTTTATGTAATTTTTGACTAATAGAACGGTAGGTTGTTTGTAAAAAAATATTACTTATTATTGCGGCAAAATAAAAATACAAATCAATAAGTGACACAAGTAACAGCTGTATTATACATTATAATAACAAACTGAATTGTCATAAATTAATAATATTCCGTATAAATCACAACGAACTAACTTTTCCAAAATTCAATAAAGCAGCTTGAACAACGATTGCTCATATTGTTTAAGAGGTTATATAAGAATGAGAAGAAATAACATAATAACCGACTGCAAATAAATTAGTAAACATGTAGTTGACTAAAATGATACTCGAAAAGGTACCAAATGTCAAGATATTGCGCCCAACTAAAAATGACAGAAATATTCATACGTGCTGTTATCAACATAAATATCATTAATTCTTACGGATAAACTTTGCTTCAACTACTGGTTTTGACACAATTCGATAGAAAATATACAACATAGCATTCTTGCGCGAACGCGTACGATATGCACGGAAAAAATATCTTCCTTTAAGAAGCAATGGAAAGCAAATACCCAAAGAACATTACCATAACGCTGATATTTTTAACATTTTTATTTGTATAACTTTCTATAATACATCATTTATATTTGTTAGTAATAAAAAATTTTAATTTTTTTCATTTGTTCTTCAGATTTACAACAGATATTGTGTATATCTTTTTAGTTGTTGTTTCAATCGGCATTTGTATAATAATTACGTAAGCAATACACGTGATAATACTGATTAAAATCAAATAATTTATCACACGTAAGCAAATATGCAGCACTTGTTATTTCAAAGCCATAAAATATGTGGATAAATAGCATAAAGAACATAAGAAAATGCAGTAGATTTTATACATAACAAAATTAATAGTGAGTTATCTTATTATCAATTGTGTACATAAATATAAAAGTTCCTCTAAATTAACCTCCATAATTCATTATATTTATTAAAATTATATTTCAATTTCAAAAATAGTGCAATATGTTATAATATATTCATACATTTTTCGAATGAAAATTATAATAAATAAAACAAATGGCGTACGTAAAATTTTTTTGCTTATCTGTCGAAGCGATACTTAAATTGAAATTACCATTTCATTTATCGGGACTATATTTAAATAAATAAAGTTTTACGTTTAAACAAAACGTGTCAAATGTATGAAGGGTCTGCATTTTTGGGTGAAACATAATTTTACGTCATGCCGATAACAAATTATATTTCAATAAAATTATATGTTATATCGTGTTTATGATATTTAATGCGCTTCGCGCGTTCATCTCTTTCGTATTCATTTTACTGCATGAATATAGATCAAAACTTTCATTGGCGAAATTGAAAATTTAATAATTAAATATTAATTAAATGTTCCCATGATTAGCTATGAGATATAACTAATAATATTATTCATTGGTAAGTAAATATGCAGTTATACTGATATACTCATGTTTTAGATTTTATCGTCCAAAATTGTGTTGAAAAATTTCAATGTAGACGTTAAAGAAATTTGTCTTCTCGAGAATAACAAAAGGAGATACGTAATGGATGAATCATATCAATTAATTAATATATAATCCATTATTCACACTTTCATTTCGCGTGACAATATCGTCTAATGGACACAAATGTCGATAATATTTGAAAGAAGATTTAAATCACCACAACTTCTCAAATGAAAGAAAAATTATTCAGAATTATAATTTTTTGGATAATAAATATTTTATTTGTTTTATTTATAGCGATCAACCTCATAAATAGCTAAAGAAAATCAAATATAATATAAGAATTATAAGTTTCCAGGTCAAACTGGTGAATGACATGTTTTGAAACCTAATACTCTCGATTTAAAACCACACAGTACATTGTTTATGATAACATTCGTATTGTAAATAAAAACAAAAAATCAGCTGACTTGCATTAAACCTACCTGACTGACCAACATAACACAAACGTTTCACTCAACAGATGTCAGCACAAGTGTTTGCAGAAAGCCGGCAGCGGCACATTCATCGTTTCAAGCGTCAAGCGAGGTAATACTTTCTTTCTGTCTCTCTCTCTCTCTCTCTCTCTCTCTTTCTCTCTCCTGCAGAGTGCGCGTGCTGTCGCGGCGCAAAGTAACAGCAGCAGGCACTGGCAGGCAGGCAGCCGTAGCCGCAGCCAACCTGCCAACCATCCAGCGAGTAAAGTTTCGGTCAGTCGTCTGTGAGAAGCCGTCGTACGTTGAGGCCGGTTGTTTGCTCTCTTTTCTTTCTCTTGCCCATATCGTGCGATAAGAAAAAATAAAAACCCGCATCGTAGTACAGAGAGAGAAAGAAAAGAGAGAGAGAGCTGAAACTGGTGAATCGTCTCGGTGACGCGTGCGCGCACGCGACATGACGACAACGAGGAGGTGCGTGTATCGAGGAGTTGTAGTGTATTAACTCCGCCTGGGATTATATTAGTGCGAGAGAGATATTACAGCGTCGAAGAGAACCGCAGCAAAAGGAGACGACACGCGCTGGCTGCTGCTGTTGCTCTCTCACTCCTTTGGGCGTGTGAGAGTCTTCAAGCGCTTGGTATGCGCGAGCATTGCCTTTTTTTTTCTGCTCTCCGCTGCTGCTGCCGAAGTTGTTCCTGCTGTAACCTACCCACGACTCTGCTACTGATCAGGACGAAAGTGAGGATCATTTGTAATGTGCTATTCTGACGCGTGAGTGTGGCTATGTGCGTTCTGTTTTGTGTATCTTTCTGCTCTCTCGCGAGGATAACAAGCTGCTGTTGTGCCAGTTGTTAATATGATCGAGTAAACAAATTTCGAAATTGTTTGTTGCGAAATGTCAACAATATGATTAACATATATTTACTCTCCGTGAATCAATCGCAACATACACACACGGCGAAAGAGAGAGAGCGAGAGTAATCGTGCGTATATGTGATTATTCACTGATTCAATTCATTGACCGCTGCTGCTGTTGTACGGCACGTAGGATCTCCACTCGTCACCGTACAATAGCCTTATCTTTTGCCTGGCGAGAGTGGCGAACGCGAGCGAGGAGTCAATGCTCGCGCTCCAGCAGCCGAGCGAGAAATGCAGATTTTTATATTTATCCGTAGGCAGGAGAGCAGAGCCCCACAGCAGCAGTGCGCTTTGCTCGTGAGTGCAGTTCATGGTCGATAATTACGCGCGCGCATCGCAATTTTCTTTCTTCGCACAATACTCACGCGTAGCTATGTGTATACTTTTACCGAGACAGAAAGAGATAGAGAGAGAAATGTATTTTTTTTTGCTGCACGCACATGGAAAACCATAAAGTATCAACGCTTAAAGGGTCGTACACGCTGCTAATCAAATTCTACGGGAACTGGGACGATGAACTTGCTAGCTGCCATTTTACGCGAGAAGCACGTTTTTACGTAATAAGCGCGTATAATAATAGTTTTATTTTCACGATGGTGTCAGTTGTCATTTCCACGATAATTTTTTTTTCCTTTTCTGGGATAACTGCGACGAGTGAAATTGCTAAGTAGGCACATATACGATCGATTAGACAAGTTATAGAACACCAACGCGCTCTGTTCGATTGTTATACGAGCTTTCGAATAATCACGCGGGTTTTATGTTCATACGACGGTGTATCAATTTCTTCGTACGCGCGATGATAATCGAACGAGGCTCACGGATAATCGGCTAATCAAGCGAGTGAGTTATTTTTAATGTTGCCAATCTACCGCGCAATTTGTTTACGTTCTTTGGCTGGCAGACGATGCGTTTGCTAATTATCTTAACAGTGACGAATAAAACGTTCGACTCGATCAATGCCGCAAGCGATGGATTTGAAGAGCTTGGCTTTGACGTAAAGCCCCCGTCGCGAAAGGAAATCGCCGGCTTTTCCCTTATCGGCAAGTGTAAAATCAAACGTGCAGGTGGTGGGCACGCGCGGCAACACGTGCATGCCATCGTCGCGATCGCGCAAAAAGCCAGCAATGCGCGTGAATACGTCGACGAGATTCCAGCCGAAAGAAAAAAAAAAGCAAACGATTGGCAAATGACGGGTCGGAGCGCTCGACGAACCGTTGCGACTTCGCGCCGCGAGATTGACGGAAGCGACGTCTCATTCGATTCTTTATTACGGGCACAGAAATTAAGCGTGATTGCGAAGAGTACACAAGCCTCGCTGGAATTGCTAGCTTGGCGTCCGATAATTTTCATCGCGCGGCGGCGCTTTTCAATTTTCTCACCGAGCTGTGTCGCTCGCGGAAAGTGGGCCTTTTCCGTGACAATTCGTAGCTCGCCGCCTCAAAAGCAGTGTCTCGATTTGCGAAATTCGATTCTCGTCCGGCAACCAGACTCGCGCTCAGCTATCGCGTCGTCAACTTCCTATCCATTTCAATTTTCGTCGTTTCTGCAGCGAAAGGAAAAACATCCTGTGACACGCGAAACCTCGACGACTCTCGTACACACACACACTTACGAAAGGAAAGTGGCCGTACGCCGCCATTGGGAAAATAAGCGATACGTCACTCATTAATAATCAGCTGCTTGGTGCGGAGGCGAGCGACGACCACGACGACATTCAGTTGCCCACGCCACATCCGTACAATGTAACACGCGCTCCTTTCTCAAGCGCGACAGCTGTTTTAGGATTTGCGCAAAGACCATTCGACTTATATGGATTCATTCGCGTGGCGCGCGCGTGTGCGTTTCGCAAATTTCGCCGCCGTTTGAAATTCCAATGCTGGAATAAACAGGAATTACTTGTGTCTTGGATTTATCGCTAATCCGCTTTGATAAGGGCGGCAAGCTGGAAAGATAAACGTAACTTTCGAAGGAAAGAAAACATCTGTTTTTATGCGAACCCATATACGAGTGAAAACTGTCGTTCGTTAAAAGAGAAGGGGGCGGTTTAAAATCCAAACAAGCGTAAGTCGTATCATTATGTCTCTGTGTTTATTAGCGACAGGTGAGTAGCGAGAGAGAGAAAACGAGGTTTTCAGCGCTCCATCGGTTCTTCAATTGCTCGTTTTTTTTTTTGGTTTTTTTTACGCTCCGTTACGGTCTGATAATGTTATACACGCTTTATTACGGTAGTGGTTTTTTCTCGACTGAATTTTTTGGTTTTTAACACGGAAGCGAGTGCTGCTTCGTCCGCGTGCGATTAACTCGATTGCAGGTAAAAGTCTCAATTGGATCCGATTGGTTTTCTCAAGAGATTGTTTCTTGTTGAAATGCTGTTGCAGCCGTGCTTCAAAATAATGGTACATTCATATCTTTCACGCTGAACGATTCTACAATTATTCATCCGAGTTAAGTGAATGTGAACGTTAAAGAAAAAGTCCAATTTAAACAAAACTTCAACTAACGGTAGTTCTGCGCAAGATAAATACGAAAATAAACATCCAATAATCGCTTGGGCATTTGTATTCTCAGTCACGCTGTTGTCTACGGCTGGCGATCAGCAAATATATATCTGCCACTAGCTCGCGTAGTGAGAGGAAGAAAAGATAAAAGTCGTACGGCGGCGAAGTATATCGCCACTGCGCTCTCGAAAAATCTCACGTACGGATCGCGAAACGAATGAACGTTCGTTCACTGCTCTGACAAATAGGCACGTGAGCATTTCCTTTTTTCTTTCTCGTTAATTTTCCATCGATTCTCGCGCGTTTACGGACTCATTGTCGCTCGTATCGCGTCTGTTTTTGTCTTATGGTTCATCGAAGCGAGGCTCTTTTGTTCGAATCCCAGATTAAAGTGCAAGCAGCGTGCGAAATCATACCGATCGCTAAAGTGAATTAGAGCGTCCTTACGTTTCCGCACGTGCGCTGCGCGACTGACTGGCGAAAACCAAGCGTCGACAGGAAAAAAACCAACAAAAAGAAGGTCGCGCGGCCCGGAAGATTTTGGAATGCAAATAAAATTTTATTCGACCTGCGAAGCCGTCGTTCGCATAAAACGCACAATGAAATTATATACTCGTGGCGTCGAATGCTAACAACCGCAAGATGTATTTTTCCTTTGTTTTCCGAGAAGAGGAGCCGAGGGCTGTATCGTCGGGGGTGCGTAGACGAGATTGAGTTTTCCATAAAATCTAAATTTCCTCGGCAAAGCGGATCGGAATCCGCTCCCGTAGAAGGACGAGAAAGGCTACTGCACACAGACCACATGCACGTGACTGGGTGAGAGGTGGGGATAGTGTACACGCGGTGCTCGTGTATCAGCTAATTGCAAGGAGTGCTGCTGCTGCCGCTGCTGCTGGTGTACACCGCGCAAAGGCTTTTCCCTCGCAGCGGCAACTGGGTTTACAACTGATTTAAGGTGCTTTCGAGGAAACCCGCGTCACCATTTTTATTCGCGTAAGCGGGATTTTTGAATCGCGATGCTTTTCAAGCGTGACGCGACGAGTAGTTGTGGTTTTTTTCTTTCTTTTTTTTTTTTTTTTTCAAGGAATTGTGGATTGAATTGTTATTGCTCATTTCACTGAAAGACAAGAGTTTCTGTGAAACAGTTACAAATCATGAATAGACGGGCTTTGAAATTGGAATGCCATTTTTTTAACGCGATTCACTGGAAAAGCTGGAAAAATATTGGATATAACGTTAAAAAAAAGAGACCGTCATAACTAGCAGGATGATGATCCTATTCCGCGACATCAAAAAATGAGAATTCTAACTTGCAAAAAATGCATCTTTGCAGTGTATCATTGGGCGAGCGAAAGAAACATTAGAATAATTAGAAACTCGAGAGAACTAAAGAAGGAAAAAAGAGCGCAATTCCCAATCGTCAAAGGAAAAGGACGTGTGTGCGCGCATGGGAACGTGCAACCATTACGAAACGGTAATAATCTCGGTGGAAAAGAGAAAAAATAAGACTCGCTCGCGCTATATGTCTTATCACTCGCGCGCACCAGGCTATCGGCGTGCTCGCCCAAGGATGTCCGCGCTTTTCTCCTCGTTTCTTAATCACGCGTGCCGTTGAATAATCGACCGACGAGACGACGCGTCGCTCCCGAAAATGAGGGGACCTGTTGTGCCGCGCGCGTCGAACAATCAAGGGAGGCGCGGGTTCGAGAAACTTGCGCATTATAAACCGCACGAAGAGTATAATCGAGCATTGACAGGCAGCTCGACACTCGAATAGGAAGAGAGAAAAGAAGCCAGTCGATTTTTCATTAGGCTACTGCCGTGTTTATATATATCGACGCGGCCTTTGTCCTCGAAATTAGACGACGCGCTGTTGATTCTGTTTTGTTCTTTTCCTTCCGGACACGTTGTAGCTGAGCTCTCTTTTCTTTTCATTTATTATTTCTTATTTTAGCAGCACGTAAGTTACTTGAAGCGAGATCATTCGATTTTTTTTTCAGCTGCGAATATGGGAACGCGTGCAATTGTCAAGTACGCGAGGGGAATGTTTTCCATTTAGTTTACAGGCGACATTGGTTTCTGTACGAAAAACGCACGCGTTTTTAATTATTTTTAATAACGCTTCGATATCTCGATAGATGATCAATTGTACTAATTCGCATTCATTCGTTTCTCTGTCTCAGGTAAGTTGCAAACGATAGAACTCAAGCTCGACAGACTAATTTGTAAGTCTCGTTTGCTTAAACAAGTTCTGCTTATGCACGACGTCCTGCACTTCCATCGAAAACGCACGCGTGATCGTAAAAGAAAAAAGCAAAT